GACACTTCCAGCGAAAACAGTGGGGAGGTTTCAGGACCTCCTGTAAGAACACCCACTCCTCGCCGGAAACTGTCACGCAGAGATTCCAGAAGACGTGTTTCCGTTAAGGAGCTTTTATGTTGGAAGCGATTACAAAAGCAACCACTGTCGGAATCTGCTAGTGACTAGAGTAGCCATGTCTGAGGGGCTCCGTCACAGACAGAGGTTTGTGGACTTGAACAAACTCTGAGGGGATACGATTTTACGCACAAGCAGCTCATCATCCCATCACACTTGTACATATCAATATCACTGGACATTTGGATATATGTTTAAATTTGAACTGATGGAATATTCTTCTTGATAATGTCAGCTGACAATGTTTCAACTTTTCTTTCTTTTTTGTTATACTGTATCTGCAAAATTTAAACACCTTTTTAAAAAAATCACCCTCAGAGCTCTAAATGTCTTGAGATCTAACAATTGGATTGCAGAGGGAATAATTTTTTATTATTATTATGCATTTAATGTATTTCTAACCTAAGATAAATCTTTAGTGAAATTCTCATGGGGGTGATCAGGGTGTTTTATTGTGTTTATCATACTTCCAAGGTGGCCAAGGCTTTCATTCTACAAATTATTATCCCCAGTGATCTGCACTGCGCAGCCTTCCCAAGTGCCCTTCCTTGGTGAAAACTGTGGGACATGCAAGGCTGGGATGTACTGTAAGTGTAGAAGGCAGAGATTCTGTTTTTTAGTTAAAGTCTGTTTACTTGCAAAAAAAGGGTATTTTTTTAACTTTTAAAAAAGAGAGAAAAGAAAGGAAATCCCTTAAGAACAAAAAAAAAGCAAGCACACCAGCCTCACGCATTATGTAGACATCCACCCCAGCTTCCCAAATTTAAAACGGAACTTGGGGGAAGACATTGTGAGGCAAGTCCTCCCATGGGGCTTTTTCAGATCAGTAAGCGTGAGAAGCCAGGGCGGCTGCAGAACTTTGAAGAAAAGTTGAATGGAAAGAAAAACATGCATCATTCACAGCCCCACATCTACAATAAAGTAAGTTCAATCCCACACCCACTAAAATTATAAACACATTCTAATTTGTTCCACACAAGAGATAGAAAAATGAAAGCCTATTTTACAGCTGAAGAATTTTTTTTTTGGGGGGGGGGGGAGAATGGAGTGCAGGCTTTGGCATGACACTCAATATTACAAAACACATTTAAGTAAATCAGCATTCTACCATGGTTATACTCCTTAGGGATGAGAAATTATGTCCATTACAGTTTCTATCAGTTTCTCATTTTTCTACTCTTAAATTCTTCATACTTTGTGATTTGTTTTAAAGAAGTCCACAACAAAATACATTAACATTACTCCTAATATATGTAGTTTTGCCTAATGCAATTCATTTTTATATTATTTTCACTAAAATTGCATTTTTATGCATACTTTCCCCTCATATATGCATTTTTTTACACATTTGTTTTGTCGGAGAATTGCACTGAAAACTTCAGAGAAAAGTGTGAATTTTGAAAGATAGCTGTGTTTCTGCTGTGTATTGTTTTGGAAAGCACAGATTAGATGGGGTCGCACTTTTAATTGGGAGAACCAAATTTCTCTCCCATCTGTAATAATCACAAGTGATATTTAATTCACTATTTGATAACTGTGTGTCATCCAGCTTCATGGAGCTAGCTGCCCTCTTTATTTACTATATTTCTCTTCTTTTCTGCATGGAACATTTGCTGTTTGCGCTATTACTGTTGCAATAGATGGATTATCGTCAGATCTGTGGTTTTCACAGAGCAACCCACACATATTTCCTCTGTACATGGAAATTTCCTTCACAAGATGCAGAATATAGCTCGTTTTCACAAAAGAACATCAGAACTTGCCATTTGCCTTCTTAAATTAGGAACCCTGGCAAAAAGACAACAGTAACACTATATTGTTTGTTTGTTTCTCTCTCCTTACCTCTCTCTACTTTCAGTAAAAAAAATATTAAAAGCTACAGTTTAAAATGAGAGCTAATAAATTTTTGACCAGGCACCAAAGAGGATTGAAATGGGAAATTAATGCTCCGAAACCAACTTCCATGTCAGGTAAAGATGCTGAATATCTCACCTACTAACTTACAAACATAAGTTCATGTAACCACACTTCGGGAGAGGGGCCATGTGTGCAGACAAGAGTCCAAAAGATGCAGCCTTCAGAATATGCTACACAGGCAACAATTTTATATCTCATTTATCCATAAACCCCAGTGCTAAATTCACAGGGAGCCCCAATGAGCCTCCCCACTTCATACAGCCAGTCTCCAACTCATGGAAAACAACAGAAATGGCATTCCAGGGGGAGCAGATCTGGTTTGGTCATTCCCATGCTGTTGCCGTCACTACCTGTTTAGTCAGCTCAGCTTCAGAATGCCTAGAAAGGGCTACAGCTTTCCCCCAAAATGCCTCCTACCGAAGTACCCTGCGAAATCTCTTCCTTCCATCATGGCACTGATATTAGGACCTTGCCGCGCTCACTACTGAGATTACCTGAGCCTCCAGTGACAAAGATGGATGGAGGAGCACGTATCTACCTGTTTCTTCAGAGGGGATGCAAACCCTTGGAGAATCAATGACAACTCCCAGACCTAGGAACCACTCGTCTTCTTATTAGGATTCAGTCTCAGTATGTTGGTCCTCATCCATTGCATCTAGGCATCAGTTCAAAACAGTCTCAGCCTTTCCAGATTCAGATGGCAGTATTCTCTGAACCCGGCCCTGTACGTAGGCCATGCTTGCTAGGGCTGTCAGAAGTTGTAGATCAGAAACACCTAGAGGGTCAAAGGTTCCTCACAACTGATATATGGAATACTTGGAAAGGGCATAACCAGAATATTTTAGCAAATTAGAATTGATTTTGGAGTAAGCTTTATTTCAGTTCCTAAAACTCGTTAAAAATCTCAAAAGTGCTTTCAATTCCTGTACCAATCCAAAATTAGTTGGAGGAGGTCACCCATCTCTCATTTATTTAGAGCCATAGGATAAGAATCTAAAATATAAATCTAAACAACTCCTAAACACACAGATGACACAGACATTTCCCTCCATTTTTAAACCTGCTATCTTTTGAGAAGTATCACTCTTACAATGATTTTCTCAAGTTTCTTCCATAGTACTTCACATTTGCTCAAGTACACTTTTCTAGAAGTACTTTTAACAACCCGATGTGACAAAAATCTAGATCTAGGTGCAACACATTTTTCAGCTGCCTCAAAAGACATTTAACAATATCCCTCCAAGGCCTTTCTTCTCATTTAACACTCTATTTTATTAGTTTCCACTTACCTCACCGTATGAGAAGGATGGTGAAAGAAGTGAAAGCTGGAGTGGGAGGAGGGGATAAAGAGATAACATTTATGGTTCCTAGTTATTTGGCATGCAACCTAAAAAATAATACAATCAAAGCCATGAAAGTAGAATATGGATTTGCAGTTGATGTTTGTTTTGTCAGAACATAGGGATGGCGAACATCTGAGACAGAACTGCCTGCTGGAGAATCAAAGGAAAGCTAACTAACTATTATGTGGCATTGTTGCTATGGACACCAGTGATTCAAAACCTACTCTGGACAGATCCAAGACAGGCACACAATACTTAATACTCCTGAAAGGATTCTTAGTCATCGACACTTTGTTCTCTAAAGCCATTTGGAACATAACATAATAAAGGGAAGCTGCACTTCAACTTTTTTAGAATAATATGGAGAGTTAAAATATAATTTATGTTAAAAATGAGACCCTCATAAACCTCTTTAAAACCTAAATGAGAGCATGAAGGAAGATGAGTTTTATGCTCCCTTGGTACCTTGATCTCCATTTTGCCAAAAGGTGAGCTAGTACAGGACTGTTTAAAAAGGAAATATTGTATTAAAAACATACACTAGCCAGTCCTATATGAATGCTGCCCATGTACTTATTCTGCCTGTCCTGTTCTTTTTCATTTATTCATCATGAGGTGCATATCAGAGCACACACAACTCTGGCTTGTCGTCTCATTGCATGTTCTATCACCTCAAGATGCTACTTTTTGCTGTGGAGAATCAGGATGCTTCGCTAAAAGATTCCAACACTGTTTGGTATACACGTGAGGGAGGGCCTGGCATGTGAGAAACCCCACAAGCAGTATTCAAGCATATTCTCCCCTTCTGTGGTTTCCAGATAATGGTATTCAGAAGCATCACTGTCTCCAACTGTGGCGACAAAGCACGGCCATCACAGCTAGTAACCACGGATAGCCCTCTCCTCCATGAATTTATCTAGTTTAACTATCCACAGCTTCACTGAATGTCCACAAGTTCTAGCACTATGAGAAAAAAAAACTTTTTCTATCCACTTTCTCCATGCCACTTCTATCCACTTCTATCATGTAGAGACATCACCTTGCCAACAAAGGTCCGTATAGTTAAAGCTATGGTTTTCCCAGTAGTGATGTATGGAAGTGAAAGCTGGACCATAAAGAAGGCTGATCGCCGAAGAATTGATGCTTTTGAATTATGGTGCTGGAGGAGACTCTTGAGAGTCCCATGGATTGCAAGAAGATCAAACCTCTCCATTCTTAAGGAAATCAGCCCTGAGTGCTCACTGGAAGGACAGATCCTGAAGCTGAGGCACCAATACTTTGGCCACCTCATGAGAAGAGAAGACTCCCTGGAAAAGACCCTGATGTTGGGAAAGATGGAGGGCACAAGGAGAAGGGGACTCTCCCCCGGTTGCCCTTTTCTGAAATGAATTTAAATGGATCTATGGTAGAACAAGACATGATGTTACCATTTTGCAGCCCAAGCTTTTCTGAAAGCCTTTGGCTAGCACTGATCTCAGTGGCTTTTCAGCATCTGCTTCATGAGGAAGAGGTAACACAGCCTGAGTACATTTCCTTCCGTATCTAGGCTGAATCACTGTACAGTAGCAGCCAAGAGGCAGTCCTCCTTTTCTCACTGCAAGTGATAGTGCCAATCAACATTTTGGTGACATCTTTATTTATACAAGTTCAGACATTGTGGAAAAAATGTTTTACATCATTTATATTATAAGTGCTATGCCTCCTTATATATAATTAATACGCTTCAGCTGAAGAGCAGCGTGTCTTCTAAAAGCAAACATGTGTAAAGACACTGCAAAAAGTGTGTGTAAAATGTATCAAAAATAAAAATATAATGTACATTGTTAAAAATCCATGCTTTATATTCCATTCTTTCCTTTGCCTCTTATAGCATCAAGGCACTGGAACAGGGTTGCCACAGACAAACACATTTTGTGGAGTTTCTGTGGCGCAGGATCCTCAGTACAAAGAATTAACATAATTCTTTAGTGGTAGATTTCTTCCACTCAGTGGATTTAAGATTCCATTTGGGTTCTGGTGTCCTTCAAAAGGGGGGGGGGGGACCAGCTCTGCAACACTGCTACTGTTAGCTACTGAGAAGCACCACAAGGGCTTCCAGACATTTGAAGTGATAGGCATCTTGCTGGTTTTCTTCTTGTTGCTGAAGAGCTAAAAAAGAGAGGAGAGAACCACACACATCACATCAGGTGTTTGCAATTTATCTATCTGATAATTAAAAGTAACATTAAAAAGGCAGGTCCTTCTAAACTTTTGTATTTTTTTTAAAGCAACAATCAGGGCAGAAGTTCTAATAAGCCTTTGGTTTCAGAAAGCATACTACCATAATTGGTTTATAGCAGCACATGCCAGATCACTGATTTATCTGGCTCATTGAGGTAGGTCTACACTGATTAGAGAGGCTGGGGGTTCCCACCCCTGGCCTACACAAACTAGCAGCAACTCTCCAGGGTTCTAGAAAGTGAGTGTTTACCAACCTTGCCTGATGCCAGAGACCGAACCTGGCGCCTTTCCCATGCAAAGCATATGTTCTAGTACCAAGCTAAACTCTTCCCCCAATCGCCCAACGATAATTTTATATAACTAATGCTGGAAATCACATTTGAGAACATACTGGCCCCCTTGATCAAACTACTGTAAGTAGAGCTCTCAAAAGCAGGCTCTGTGAAAATGTTTATGGAAGGAACTTTGGTCTAGTGGAGGCTCCCACTGGAGTACAAGGAGACTCAAGCACTGCCACTCATGCTTCTCCCCTGGGCAACCCAACCCTACAGAGCAGGCTTCCATGCCCACTACAGGAAGCTTAGTAAGGGTCTAACCCAGTCTGAGTCTTTCTCAGAATTAAACTTAATATGCTCATGACATGCAAGATTCTATTCAAAAGGCTAATTTTGACTGTGCCTTTTCTCTAAGATTTTAGGCAATATGCAATGGGGAAAAGCTATGGCAAGTACACAGATGTATCCAATATTCAGTACTAACACACTAGTTCACGTAAAAAGGTTTTTCTTTTTTCTTTTAAGGCACATTATGAATGTCAAAAGTACAGTCCAAAGAACACAAAGCTTCAGGAAATTTGTTGACATTGCTGCAAACCTGTGCGCACTTCCTTTTGGAGCAAGCTCCACTGAACTCAGTGGGATTCATTTACAATAGTACTGCATACTATGTGTTTGTTTCTGTGGTCCACACTGAATATTGATGAGCTGTTTGCAAAACAATCCCCGCATCAGCTGCTACTCCTTTTGAGATGGAAAACCAAATTTTCTCCGTTAAAAACGTACTTTTCTTGACTGAAAGGAAGGCGTCGTCTATTCTTCTTTTTATTGATGGGTTCTTCAAAGTCACTTTTGCCTGTAGCACAAAGAAAGAATAATCCAATGACTGTATTAACTCCCCCGTGCCGATGCTCTTAAGATCATTCCTTCTCCTTGGCAGTCATTTATTGGCAGCAGGCCACAAAGCTATGACATTCAGAAACTTAAGAATGCAACATGTGAGCACACCATTGTGCATAGCGCTGTGGGGCAGAGGAGGGGGGAAGAGACCAGAGTTCAATGAAATACAGCCAATAAAAGGAGCCACAATCTCCCTGAACATGGCTGTTTGCAAAGCTCAGCATAACAGAAAGTTCCTCTTTGAATATTAAGATGCTGCGTGACACACTTGCCAACTTCTTGCTGGATGCAGTGGTGCTGGAATGAGCATAGGGCTGTCTGTTACATGACAATAAGGAGCGTATTTTAAAGCCATGCATCACATAACCTACAATAAGATGCATTATGTGGCCATTTATCAGTGATAATTTGATGCATTATGTACCTCGCAGCTTGCATTCAGAGGCTGAGAGCGGAGGAAGAATATGTGCTTTCAGAAACAGACACCATTTCCTTTTTAATAGCATTTGGAGTTCCACTAAGTGTAATTGGGTGCAGAACAGAAATGTTTTTTCATACTCTGGCAAAACAGGTAATTACAGTACTTAGTTCTCAAGGATTCTGTAAGCTTCAGGGGTGCTTAACACGTGAGGGTGTATCAGAACCACAGAGCTGAAGAAATTATTAAAATGCTCTACACTTCTGCCTCGATCAAACTTCTTGAAGCTTTAAAGAGTTTGAAATGGTGATCTTAACCTTATTAGCTACCATGCAGTGGATGCTTTCTTAGAGATCACTGACCTGGACTTCCTTAAACTTGGACCAATGGCTTAAGATGCATGATGCTAAGGAATACTCACAAACACTCCAACTTCTCAGGAAGAAGTTGTCAGAAACAAAATGGCCCTAGGACCAGTTTCTGTGAGAAGGCAGTTTTCAGTATGGCTGGGATTAAAGCATCCCACACGCTAGTTCTACTATACTGGCAGGGCAAGGATGGATGGGCAAGGTAAACACTGGGAAGCTAACTGGTAGGCAGAAGGTAAGAACCCTTGGGGAAAGATTGTAAGTATGGCGATAGAATAAAAAGAGAGAGTGGGATACAGGCTGAATGGAAAGAATCCCAATGTAAGACTTGCTATTTCACGGGAATAAGGAATTTAACAATTGTCAAGATTAGATCCTGTGCTTTTATGCAAAACACAGAAATGAAGAATTTCTCCAACTGTGGCCTCTCTCATTATAGCAGCATGTTGATTGGCAATCCAAAGGGGTCATTGACTTGGGGGTGCTAAATATGTATTAAATGACTGAAGACCTGCCAATTTTGCTGCAAGCTTTCATTTTTAAAAATGATGTACAGTCTTATTGACCATGCTAATGAAAAGGTAAGATATATAATGTAAAACATAAGAAAAAGCTACAAAGCTTCGGTGAATACATGTCAAAAGAGAGACATCCAGTCTTCTTTTTTTTTTAAAAAAAAAAAGAACCCAAAACACTAACCTTCTGATAATTGTGAAGCAAAGCCCAAAGTGCAGATGCTCCTATTCTTCGAGCTACAGGATTATCACTTTCTAGACAGTCAGATAGCAGTGCAATGGCTTTATCTACAAGGAAGACAAAAGACCACACATGCACCTAACAAAAGGACATTATATCATCGTTTCAGCTTCTCCAGTTCACTCCTGTGGATAATTTGTCTCTTTTTTCTCTGGTAAATATTACAACAGTACGTACAGTAGGTTTATATCATCAGAATAATTTATTTTCAACTAATCACTCCTGACTTCTGCCATTAGAAAGTGTTCTTTGTAAAAATAAATCTGAATTAAATTTCATGTAAAGCCAAGAAACTGCAGGTATCTTAATTATAAAGCAGGCATTCTAATTAGCTAGGAGACCCAAAAATTGTGGGAAAGAGATGGGTACATCACTGCTTTTATTACAATCAAGCAGCATATAAATTCTGTTAAATAATAAAAAAAATAGTATATGCTTTAGTAAAAGCCAAGCGGGTAGGAATTAAGATACTGACAATCTTAACCCACCTGCACTGGCAAAAACCCATTATTCTGCTGCTTCTTACACATGCTTTTCTGTCTTCAAAATGTACCTACACACTTGGCATTCCATTATCACCATGTTCAGAATATTAGGATTCTGTTCTATTATATTTAAAGCAGATTATGAAAATTGAATAATGATTGCCTAAGAAAGGTTTCCAAGTATGAAGGTAATTGTCGATCGAAACTGTTAAGAGTTCTGTTAGAAAGTAACATGTAGCTTCATCTGTTGCCCCCTCCCCCTATGAGAAACCTTGCAACATATAAAAATTCTGTTTCATTGCATTGCTTCCACTACATGTGTGTACACACATGCACACACACACCATATGATCACAAAATATGTGCAGGTTTCTTATGGATCCATTTAGCTGGGGTCTAATTTGCAGTGACGTAAGAATGCTTTTTCCATTAAAATGCTAACCCCTATCTAGGCACAATTCAAAGTGACTATCTATGACAGGCCTAGGCAAACTTGGCCCTCCAGATGTTTTGGGACTACAATTCCCATCATCCCTGACCACTGGTCCTGTTAGCTAGGGATGGTGGGAATTGTAGTCCCAAAACATCTGGAGGGCCGAGTTTGCATATGCCTGATCTATGAAGTCCTAAACAGCTGAGGACCAAGTTATATGAAGGACTGTACTGTACCACTGCACTTCCTAACCTTGGGTCCCCAGATGTTATTGAACTACAACCCACCTCCCCTCCTTGAGCACTGAGGTTGATGGGAGTTGTAGTCCTACAGCATCCAGGGAGCAGAGGTTGGGAAAGGCTGTGGTAGAGGACAGCCCATATTATCGCATGAGCCTGCCTAGTCATTCTGGGTGTTCCTCACCAAACATAGGCAGCAGGTAATTCGGCAGCGATGGTCCACATGTGAAAAGCTGCCTGATGCCAAGCAAAGTACTTTATAATACAAACACTCAGGCATTCCAATATGTTTCATAGTAGGATGTAACTTGTTTTTCTAGCTGGGTTATTTTTTTCTAATTTTACAGATTTTATAGCCACTGTAGTGCAACTTTATGCTATTCTTTCACTTTTACTGTACATGTTTTCTGATTTTAAGTTGCACACAATTTGGAGCTTTGCACTAAAGGGTAGTGCCTAAGTTCTTTAAATAAATTATTTGTTGGCATGCCACAGCATATGATAAATTTATTTCAGGAGTGCCCTAGCCAACTCCCTGCTCTAGAGTTCCAAAATGCTCAATTAGCAACTGTATAAATTTAATTAACACACAGTTCTCAATCAAGTTTAATCATATATAAAATCTGACATACCGTAGATTCCGGTGTATTAGGTGACAGGGCGTATTAGACGACCCCCCAAATCGGCAGCTGCAATTTGGGGGTTTGTCATAAAAGCCCAGTCGCCTAATACGCTGGGCAGCTCCACGCCGGGAGAAAGCCGCCCGGCGCGGAGCGGAGCCCGCCACTCCTGCTGCTGCTTCTGAAGCAGCAGTGGGATTGCTCCGCGCCAGGCGGTTCTCTCCCGGTGCGGAGTGGAGCCTGCCACCGCTGCTGCTTCGAAGCCACCACAGCAGCAGTGGGGGGTGGGGTCCGCTCCGTGCCACCTATACCCAGCGTATAAGACGACCCCCGACTTTTTAACCTCTTTTCCGGGGTTAAAAAGTCGTCTTATATGCCGGAATCTACGGTACTCACCAAGGTTAATATATATGGCAATTTATCATTACCATAAAATAGCATAGCTGTATCATGGCAACACTTTAAACAATCAGTACCTACCATTAGCCAATATCTTGGATTTGTTGACTGGGTTAAAGCAGGTGTTGTGCAGAATCAGAAGGATCGTATATGGATGGCTTCGGTGTTTGTACTTGGCCATCTCTATAAGCTGATCTAAGCTACCATTCAGCTTCACAATCATTTGCTGCCCATCTTCTCCAAATGATAAATTCAAGAGGAGTTTCAGCCAAGCAACAGCCAGGGGACCAAGGCTTTTGTTTCCTCCTTTTGGCAATGACAGCGACAAAAAGTTCTGCAGAAAGTTACTCTGGAATATGACAGGGGCAAAAGCGTACCACGTTATTGAAGAACACCATTTCACAGTTCTTCTGTGAAACACATTTCCTCCCTCAAATAAGCTATTTCTCCAGAACCTTTGATCTAGAAACACTGTTCTGCAGTTTTGATAAATTAGCTCTTCCTCCCAAGTGACCCTTCAAATTGTAGCATATTTTCATGTATTGCTTCAGCCTGACCATCGCTTCAGTGAATGACCTCAGCCTACACAAAACAGAACAGAATGAACATACCATTTCCCCAAACTTCCTGAAATTATGAAAAAATCAACACTAGCCTGAAACTAGAATGCTGTTTTCATAACAGATATTAATAATGCAGTCAGTAAAAATAAATAAATAAAATCCTCCTCTTCCTACACTGTTCAGTCAATACAGTTTATGCATTATACTCTGGGAACATTATTGCCATCAGATGTGTTAATACTGAGCTATACTCAACCCTCATGGCAGACAAGTGTCATTAAGCAGGTGATTAGTACATACTAATTTAAGACTTAGTTACTTCAGCAAGCTTAACATATGAATCATTATTTTTTAAATAACTTTCTGATCAGCTGACCCATTTTTGTATTTCTGCCTCTTTATTTTATTCTGTTGCATTTCATTTGACATTCTGTAAACCAAATTTTTGGTATAGAAATCAAGCAATAATACTAATAGCAAAGTCAAAAGTAGTTTTAAGTGTGGAATGCTGTACTATGCCAACCAACTTATCAAGACCAGAAGTAAGGACACAATCAATTCCCATTTCTGCTCTGCTTGATGGGCAAAAGGAATAGAGACTATTATTTCCTTGTTCCACTCATTGTCTTGCTCTAAGAAGCAGAAAAGATCGTGAGCTCACAGATGAGGGAGGGAATTGCCCTAATGATTAAGTGCTTTATAGTTTCCAACAGCGTTCATCAAGCATAAGCAGGAAATTACTGTATTATTCAAAAGAGAATTATTGCATCAAAGCAAGCCAATCATTTCTGGAAAAAGGCACATCCCATGCTTTTCATTTTTGAGATAACAATACTGACATTTTTTTCAAAGCAGCAAAGAATGTAAATGAAGATCAAGGGATAGAGGCCCACCTTTCTACAAAAAGCAATGTTGACACATGACAAAGTATATTGACAGTGCATATAATTAATGTCTAAATGTATTGGAGCTGTATGCAAATATTATCCTAATTATTTTACTTTACGATGTGCAACATAGAAAACTGGTGAGTAGGGAACAGCAGTTGAAACAGCAGCTAGGAAAACAGTGTGCACAATATAGCAATGAGGAAGCAATCCTATAGCAAGATATTCCAGGATAAGGGTCCATTAATATCAATCCATTAATTTCAATGGATCTACACTGAGCAAAGTTGGTTGAATACAACCCATAGTCTTTAAATTAGGCTTGTATGCAAAAGTATGCAAAGTAACTAAATTATGCCTATACTACAATTCTTTTCTTTTAAAAAATAAATAAATAATGTCCTGTGACAAAAAAATCATGTATAGTAGTTGTTGTTTTTGCAAATTGTCATAACCAACAATTAAATTACATGGATGAATAATAGAAAACAGCTTTTTTTCAAAACTTTTCATTGTTGTTGATGATAACTGTATCATCTTACAATCCCTATATGTGGGCTTTTGAGGAGTGTGCACTAACATACTGCTTATTCACTTTAAGCCATAGTTTAAAATAAACTATGGTTTAATGTGATGTATGAACCAAGCCTATGTTTGCTATGCCTTTCCCTATAACTTACCCTCCAATTCATCATCCTAAGCATCATTTTTCTGTTCACAATTTTTTGCTTGGTTCAGACCACATAAGTGTCTTAACATCTTCACTTGGTTTTGTGCAAAACCTAAACTTTTTTGTGAAGTTTAGAAATAAAATGTATGCATACCTTCTGAAGAACACCCTTGCAGTCATGAGATACAACGGCGTTAGCCAGAAGATTAAAGGTCATCTGCTGGATGGTGCTGTTCTCGGCTGGGGTTTGGGCAGCCAACTTCACAATGCTATGCATTAGAGAGTTTCCAGCTGCTGTTCGTTGGGCTGTTTGAAGAGGAGACAATCCACTGCTTGCCAAACACAGAGAACCACAGCCTTCAAAGATGGAACCACAGTTGCATTTAACCATCAGGAAAAACATATACATATACAGTTTCCATAAATACATGTATCCTTTTTGTATAAAAATGTAATCTTATCAATTTCATTATGATTTATGAAATATGTATTTTCAAAACAACATACCAAGACCTATGAATGAACCATTAAAGTATTTATACAGCCTTTTTTATCAGCTTTCTACTAAAATTATTGTAAGTTGATCAGAGAAGAAAATTTATGCTTCAAGCTTCTTCTCAATAAGAAGTACATTAAATTTGGGTCAGTTAAAATAACCAGAAACGGTTTGTGCATGTACATATCTAGATACACTTCCATACAATAAAGAATTACAAATAGGATATTTCGTTTTCATGATAATACTGGTGATTATGTAATGTTTCTATCACATTTGCTTTTATTTCCTTTCTTCGGGTTAGAAGTATTCGGACAGTCCATGGACCAATAATACCCTATTTAAAATGTCTAGATGTGTTTAACAGAATTCCGAGAACAAATCGTATTCAGTTTTTACAAGATGGTCCTTCAGAACAACATTGCTGTTTGTCCTTGCCTCCTGTTTCAGGGGATCAAGCCAGCTGCTTCCTGCAAGCAGGGCATTCCATCACATCCCCACTGTTTCCTAAATCACTCTTCCCAGTAATCTGTGGCTACAAAACATGATCAGTTCTCATCAGGCTACTTAGTCCTCTTAGGGTTTCTTCCCCCACCTGCAGGGTTCCCCTCAGCATGTTGATATTTCCCTTCTCCTGTTCCAGTGGCCCCAAGTCCTTTTGGAACTCACCACCTAGGTTTGGTGTTAGAGGGAGCAAATCATGATTTTAAAAAGTAGCACTGGAGGTGGAGAACAAGTGCTTTTACAATTGTATAATTGTAACTGTACAATTTACTGCCAGAATATTTAGTAATGGGATTAGACATTAGAGAATAGATATCCCAGATGCTGTTAGATGGGGCAGCTAAATGTTCTCAATGTCAAGAGGCAGTTGCCAGGTGCTGGGGACAAACTGGGGTGGGTGGGTGATGTCTTCATGCCATTTGTGAGTACTCCTGAGACACCTCTGCACTGCCACTGCCGAAAACAGAATTTGGACTAGGTGGAAAGTTGGCCCAATCCAATCTTAAGTGCATTTTGGATAAAGCATATATTAATGCAATCTACAAATTTTATTAGTGGCAAATATAATTTATCTTCATAAAACTCTTGACATAAATGCATTAATAATTTCCCACCATCAAATCTTGGAAATCTAATCACGTAAAGCCTGTTAAATAAAGAGCTGCAAAGATGAGCCACTTGAGGCTTCAGTGAGAGGCAACAAATAAATTGAAAACATAATAAGACTTCTTAAAGAGATCACACCCACTTAATTTTTGAGCATGAACATTGTTTAATTATAACCCAAACAATTTAGGATGCTGAAACTCACTATTAGTGGTTTCCTGTCCACACAAGGGTCCTTCTGTGCTTTGTAAGAGATTCTCTTTTTCACTGGCAACTGCCCCCACAGTACTCCTCAAATCAGTTTAGAATAAGCAGAGCAGTTTCTTCATCCCCTTCCTTGAAACCTGAAAGCCTCTCAAGTTATTCCCAGCCAAATTGACCCCTGGTGTACCTCTGGATTTCAGGAGAACTGAGAAAACGACATTTCATAATTGCTCCTGATGCTTGGATTCCTACCACAGCAGTATCAAGCCCTGGAAGGGTGTGAGGGGGAAAACAACACACAGAGAACAGATCTCTCCTTCCCACAACCAGTAAACTGGTGGGTAGTTGGGGACTTATAGATGGGTAAGATAGAGCTGGAGTGAAGTTCTTTTCTGAATCAGATTAAAATCCAAGCCGGAGAAGAACCTGAGGGTCACAATACTCATCTCATATTTGAGGTGAGCATTTTGAGTTGCCAAGGAGTTATAAAATTCAGAGACATCTCTAGTAGTAATAGTTTTACACTGGTGCACTTTTGCACAGGAAAGGTCCCAGAATATGCCTTGAGGAACGTAATTTGGCTTAATGTCTGAATAAAAATTGGTTTGCAGACATGGGCTCCTAGCCATGGCCATGACCCTAAATGCTATTGCAAGCATGCTTAAGGTAATGGCCTGCCCAGTTGAATTGAAGTATTTTCTTTGAATATGCTCTGCTGCATTACAGTCTGTGTTTGAGTGTCTTCTCAGTTTAGTTTGAAAAACTGAAGGCTGTTGTTTGAGAACATAAGTCTAAAGCCCACCTCAGGCATGCAGAACCTTGGACATGCACAGCTCTTCATTGCAATGTCTAGAAAGATAATTTAAATTGACTTAATGTTTTATAAGACTACCAGGAAATTAAAGCTACTTCTGTAATGATGTGCATAGAAACCAGTCTTCAGAATCTATTCACAACAGAAATGGAAGGTTGTGTGTCTCAATATTTCAATTGATGTTACTGTATTTTGTATGCTGTATACCACATTGCTGAATTGTTATGATAGTGTGGTTTATTTAATATATAAAAGGCAAGGCTGTTTTTAAACAGAAATGCATTCATCTTCTATGACAACAGATCAAAATAAAATTTTCCACTCTTCCCAATCATGCTTTCAATTTAGATATATTCATACAAAATTGTCATAAATAGAAATATAAGCATCAACCTCATAGATACTAATTACAGGTTTATGTGGAAAACTGAACCACAGGAGACAAGAGTTCCTCATGTATTCACATACTTTAGATTCACTGAGCACATGAACTCATCACCCACATTAGAAAGTCAATGCTGCTATATGCAATGAAGTTCACTGTCCTTCTCCTCAAAACAATAGATGTCTGAAACTTTCATAGCCTGGGTTTCCTCCTATTCTGAAGCTATGCAGATGCCTACTCATGGGATTCTTATTTCCTGTAATGTAAAACCTAGCCATGCTAGGTGTAGGCATTTAATTTAGCAAAAATTATTTGGCTCTCCATACAGGTTCAGTCAGTGTACATCTCAAAAAAAGTATTATGAAAGGTATTGCTGATTGACAGAAAATTTGGTTGTTAACAGAATGTACCTATGGATGCTGTGTAGACACACTATGCTTATATTACTATTTTGTGCTTATTCCTAAAATAAATTTTAAAAAACTGCTACGAGAGGAGAAAGAAAGAATAAATGATATCAAAGGGTAGCCATATTATATACAAACTCAGGGCCAGAGTCAACTAACTTCTACACATAGTAGGCCTACTGAAATTAATGATCATTTGGTCCATAGATTTCAATGGGTCTACTCTGAGCAAAAGTTAGTTGACCAAAAGTCAGCTGATGAAACAATCTCCCAGCATGCTATTGTGGGGTTCTCCCAACCCTCCAAAGCGGTGGGGGGTGGGGAGAAGGGGAGGGCCTGTTGCACTAGTGGGAGCCTTTGCACTGGGTTCTGTTAGCAAACAGGGTTAGTTGATTCCACTTTACAATATCTACCTATTCCTTTAAGGAAGTAGGCGTGCATGTTATATAAGTTTTCCAGTCATGTTCAGTAGGGAATTTGAAGAGGACTTTCACTTGCATAGCACAGGGACAGTAAAGGATAATGCACAAAACAAATGTTAACTGTAGTTTCCCCCTCACAGCTTTTGCTTGGATTAGTATTTTCTGGCGATTGTTCCAGTACAAAATATACCCGGTGGCCACACCACCAACATTTGCCCTGGGAGGCATGGGGGCTCCCATCTCTGTCTTTTAAATGCTGAGGAAGACATTTTTATTACCAGCAGACTTTTCCTTGCAGAGGACTTGAGGTTTTGTTTAACTGTGATGTTTTTTCTGCAGCTCTTGCCTCTGTGGCATTTTTGGTTTTATTTTGAAGTGTTGTTAGCTGCCCTGCATAGCGTACAGGCACTAGAAGGGTGGAACACATATTTATATCCAAATAAAGAAGTAAACAAAAGTCTGACTCGTCACCCACCTAAAGGATAGTTTGCCGTGTAGACACAGAGCAAATGCAGAGCTGTTTGCATCAGTGAGTCATCCATTAAAAGCCACGGCCACAGAGCGTGCAAAACAGAGATAAGGTGAGTTCCAAGGGCTGCTGCCTGTCGGACAGAGACAAGAGGACAGTGTAATACTGAAAAGCTACTTTCATAAGAGAAACTGTGAGTAAAAGTTAAAACCCTCACAACTAATGAATAGAAGCAGTGAGATATGGTACTTAAAGGCATACAATAATGTTTCATCTTGTGGCTAAGGAAATCGGCAACTGCATATTCGACCAAGCGGAGTATAGAGGCCATTTTGAGCTTACCACACTCAAATACAACAGAAAGTGTAAGTTCAGATTTACTGGGGGAGGGAAGGCCCACACTGCAACTTACATTCAGTAAAGAGAATCACCCCCCACCACACATCTTGGAAACTGTTTGAAATTCCAGAAAATGTTCCAGAAGCTTCTGCTAGTGCTTGGAAGAGGTGCCTCCACCAACATTTTCAGCTGAAAGTTGCATGTGCCCCCACATCTCTTACTTTGCAGGATTCATTTCGAAAGAAGCAATTTCTTAGGAGCTGCATGACAAGCTTTATTTCTTTGCTGAGGTTATTATCATCCTAGTAGAACAAAAAGAAATAAAGAAAGTGATTTAGCATCAATATCTAACCAGAAACTGCTTTATATGACATATATAGCACCTTTTGCTTCTGGACTTATTTTACCACACTGGAATTGCACCTTGACCACCTTGCTTTCTAAGATGCTGGCATTCTAACTGTCTGTGGAAAAGATTATTGAATTTCAATAAGCTCATCTAACGCAGAAGAAGCATTTCAGCTCTATTGAACATAAAGGAAGAGCGATACAATATGGAATCCATAATGGAAGCTACGTTTTCAAACACAGCAAATTCACTGGATGGCAATAAAAGGGTTTGCTCTCAAAAGCGCAATGGAAAGGAACGAAAGTACGGTGATAAACTGGGTCGGGGAAAGGACAAACAGCAGCTTTCAAAAGGGCTCAACAGAAGTCTGCTCTTGCTCTTCTCTTTACATGTAATAAAAATGTAAGAATGTTATCAAGCAAGACCACACTGGGGGATTTGTAGTGCCACATCACAATCTTGGATTTGCATGAAATCAGGGCGGGGTGGGGGAGAAAAAGTGAAGACAGGTTGTTTAACAAAAGTGGCAATAGGGTGGGAGCTAAAAGGAAGAGACAATGAAAAGGATAAAGCATAAAACAATAATAGAATTTTGAGTAAAATGGACATGAAGGAAACTGAGATGAAAATGGTGGCTTTAAACAATGGCAGAAGCTTAAATAAAGTACCTTCATTGTACAAAGGCACTATTTTATTTATTAAATTTCTATACCACCCATCATCCAAGGATCATACGGCAGTTTACAATATAAAACCATGAAAAGACATAACAGAGTAACAAACAAAAACAATAACTCCCCCCCAACCAGTTTAAAAGGCCACAGATTGTTTAATTAACCAAAGGCCTGGGAGAAGAGGGATGTTTTCTCTTGGAACCTAAAGATATGTAGTCCCCAAATAAGCTTCATGGCCGAGTGTAGATTTGAACTCAAGATTCTCTGATCCCAGACCAACACACTAACCACTAGGCCACACACTCTTTCTTAAGCCCCAAAAACATTTACTCAGGAGTAAACCCCAATTACCACAATGGGATTTACTTGTGCATAGACATGCACTGGATTGTGCTCTGCAACATCAGTAGGAGAAAGTCCAAATTTTTAATATTAATTTTACAAATTTTCTTTTTTAATTACCTTTTTCCTTGGGACTGCTTTTCCAGGCCTCAAGGAGTCTAGGTTCAGTTGTGCATGAATGTGCTTTATCTGTTCCAAGCAGGTTTCTATTAGGTTGGCTGTAATGAACAATGCACTCTATCAACAAAGCTGCCTACACTCAAATACAGTGGTTACTCGGGTTACAAACACCTCGTTTTACAAACACTTTGGGTTACAAACTCCACTAACCCAGAAGCAGTACCTTAGGTTACAAACTTTGCCTCAGGATGAGAACAGAAATTGTGCGCCGGCAGCAGCGGGAGGCCCCATTAGCGAAAGCGTGCCTCAGCTTAAGAACAGTTTTGGGTTAAGAACGGACCTCCGGAACGAATTAAGTTCGTAACCCAAGGTACCACTGTACTTGCAAAATGTGGAAGTATCAGACATTCTATCAGTAACCAACGAGTCACATTTTCTATTTTATTTTATATTGATGGACGTGCATTATATTATTTCTAGAACAACAACAACAAAATGTGTTCAGGTGACATACTGCATGCAAAATGACAAGCTTAAGTACCCAAAGCCTAATTAACATTTCAAGTTACTACATTTGAATTTAACTAAGCAATCAGTCCCCCTAATAGCAGACTCTAGGGAGGCATCGTCATTCTCAGGGCATCCTGGCATTTGCAGATGGGCGGGAGAAAGACTTAAAAAAACAAATAAAAATGGGGAGCCCCTCCCTAGTCCACAAAAGGAAACTAGACCAATGAGGAATGAACATGCTCAGGGGCCACCAGGAACTGTAGACTGTCTAACAGCTTATAGCATCTCAGAGAAAGGTATGGCTAGCTTGCTTGATAAATCCTATTACTTTGGGAGGATTTCAACAGGCAGTTAACATGTCTCACTTATTTTACAATTAGCTCATAGTTTAAAGAGTGTGTCTTCAATGTACAATTATTTCTTTTCTACGGATTCAACTGACCAAGACACAACGGTAGGATGAGAACCTATGCAACTCAGGCTCAAACCATTCACATCTTCGGCCCTGACATGCAAGTTTTGGGGCTTGTTTTTTACTACACATCTGGAAAGGGATTATTAAGTAAATTGCTTTGGTTCTGTAAATATGGGTGTTACTGTTCCGTATGATTTTTCTTTTTAGAGACACTATGTAACATTTCGCTGGCTTTTCCTTAAACATGCTATCCTTATCAAATATTTAACCATACAAAAATGACAACATTAATTATCAGCAGGTACGCTGCTCAGTGTTGGGTTTCATTCAGAGTGGATTGAGGAGATAGTCACAGTGTGTAACATTTTTTTTACCAATTCCGCCTTGCAGCCTCCTGTAAAGCTCCTTTGGCAGGTGGGGAGACCCTCCAGGACATGGGGAGGTGGTACAGGGGATCAGTGAAAACCATCTTCCACCACCCCCTTTCCTCCATTGGGGAGCTCTGCTGGGCCCTGCTTCTCTCCGTGAACTGAAGGAACCCATCCATCTGCAGAGGCACAAGTTTGGAACCAACCCACAAGGAATACCAATAACTGCTTTTATTTTGTTCTTATTTGCTCATTTGCAAGCAAGAGGAACGGCAACCCTCTGAGGTTGCTCAGGCATCAATAAATACTAGATCTTCCTGCCTGAACCTTAACATTGGTGCCACGGGAGACCTTTAAAATGGTTCTTCAAGTTTCTGAAGTAAACAGAGTGCTAAAATACATGCCGACATCAACCTTGTGTTTTCCCACCTAGACTGTACTGTCTAAATGCAAGGTTCTCCACAAGGGATTTACTCCGAGGCTCTCATAGATTCAAGGGCATTCAAAATGCACTGCTTGACTATGGTGTGTCTATAAACAGGTTATTAAGGGCCAGGAGAAGATAATGAACACTTAGAATTACAAATATGGATACGTTTTTGACAGACTTTTCACATACAGAAACACAAAAGACACTAACGTGCATTAATTCAGAACTTCTAAAAATATCCATCATTGAACCAGAACCACTTGAGCAGATAAGTCTGTTTAATGGTACAGTACCTATAAATGCATGACAAAATGAAAGCCAACTGTTATGGTGCCATTTCTCTAGTAATGCTCATAACCAGCATGTTCTAACGTTGATTGTGATCCTACTCTTGGTTTTGCATGTTACCAAAAGTAGACTTGGGAACACTTGTTTTAAATAAAATGTGTAAGGCTGTTTTTGCATTCCCTACACAGTAAGGACAACCTCAGTGTGTTTTATAGCAAGGCAGCTCACCTTCCAAAGCACATTTCTGGGCACTTTTACTGACAGCCAAAAGGGGAAGCAAAGCACTGGCAGCAACTCGCTTCAGCACATCCTGAGAGGATTTTCCTTCATAGCTCTACCAATAAAGCAACATTGGTTACCACACAGAAAATTCAGAGAACATATCCTGCAGGAAGTTACACGTTAAATGTATGCAAATTCCATTTACACATTTACTTACCGGTTTTCTAGACTGTCCTTCATCACACATAAAATGCATTCAGTACAAAATAATAAAATTTAAATCTCAATGAAACTTGGCAGCACAGGTATCCCCCCCCCAAAAAAACCCCATTCATTTGGGGTGGAAAATTATACTACCATTGAGAACAGACTCTACATTTGATTCCCAGAGATTAGAACCAGAGAAATGTCTCAGGTGGAATCTACACAAATATTAAAAAACGTTCTGAAAATGCTTTTTAAAAAGTTTTTAAAAATACGTTGAATATTCCATAATGCTCACCATCGCCATCTAGTGTCACATTGTATATTGTACTTGAAACACACTTAAAACGTTTTATTTGCAGCTGTATAGCGGAGTCCTCAGTGTTGTCTGGAATCAGGCACAATTTGATGGCCTTCTTCCAATCCACTGGCTGGGCAGGAGGGTGTCACTGAATCCTTCCCTGCCCCACACTTCCCCCCGGAACGTATCCACAGCATCTTCTCTCTTGGCAAGGAATACTCCCCATCTTACAGTCCACACTAAGAGAAAAATGGTCTGGGGAAAATGGCTGCAGTACCCCTTCTTGCCTTTAGTATCCTCTCTCTTTATAAGAGCTCATTAACATTCTAACACGTGGGCCTTCAGCTGTCGCATCTAGTTTGCCCCTTGGCAATTTCTGCAAATTAACCCAATACTTCTACAGAAGTGACTGGATTGACAGGTTCCTCCTATTTTAAGTGGCCATCCTTTTTATTCCTGCTGATAACCAGTGAGTGGAAAGGTGATGATGAGTTATCCTTTTGTCATGACACTTATCAAATCTTCAATGTAGATGATTTCAAACTATTGTTCCTCTTCTCTAGATGTGAACCTCAGGCCCTCTTTGGTCTCCTTTGTTCAATATACCTGGCTCTTACATCAGTGCCTGCTTTGATTTTGCTACTCTAACTGCTTTCTCTGAAATTACATGCCTTTTTAAAAAGCAGCATGTGAATCCAACCACTGCAATAGTGTCACTTGCCCTTTTCAGGAAACTTCTTTCACAGAGACAGAGTTATTACCAAGCCGTCAAAGAGCCTGCCAGCCAGGTAGGCTATATTTTCATTCCACCCTCAAATTCCCCCTTTGACCTCTGATATCTCTGCCTCAGTGGAGCTGTGGGTAAGTCTGCTCAGATGTCATAGCACAGGCATAGGCAAACTCGGCCCTCCATATGTTTTGGGACTACAACTCCCATCATCCCTGACCACTGGTCCTGTTAGCTAGGGATGATGGGAGTTGTAGTCCCAAAACATCTGGAGCACCAAGTTTGCCTATGCCTGTCATAGCAGATAGGTTAGCCACAGTTCTCTAGCCAACTGGATACTAAGGGGAACTTTAACACCAGATGTGAGTTCCAAGGCACAGAAGCTGAAGAACTAGTGATGTTACATGGGTTACATGGTCACATAGCAGGGGAAAACCCCAAGTTTTCCAGGGACACCTTAAAAACATCCAGCATTCAACAGCCAAGATACAAAGGATGCTCAAGGAAAGTGATTCTGTGGCAAAACAGGAAGGCAAGGGTGGTCCTCACAACCTTAGCACTTATCAGCATATAGTCTTGCCTCTTGATTGTTCCTTTATTACTCCTGTCTCTTGCTGTCTCTTACAATGAGATACTTTTTGAAATAGTATAGATTTTATACAATAGATGTTGTTTTTAACATTACAAGAACACCTTGCAGCAAACCTCAGGCTCACGTACTCCCCACTCCTTGCAGCTGTGCCATAGGAGCTTTGGAAACTTTCGTTTCTGTTTTAGATTAACCATGGCTTGCTATGTTGTTAAAACCCAGACAAACTATGGTTGATCCTAACAGTGGTTAACTGAAATGAGCCAACTTCTTTTTAAGTAGGTTGGTCTCTATTCATTCTTATTTAAAAATATGTATGGGCTGCTTTTGTATGAGCAGGCTTGTTTCAACGAACCATTTAAGATTAACTACAGTTTGTTCAGTTCAAACAACATACTAAATGGCACTGAAAGACAAAACTGAAAACTTCAATTTTAAATTATGTCCACACTGGGGGTGAGAAAAGCACAAGCCCAAGGCTCATAACACTAACCCACATTTTGGGGCTTGTAAAATGTATGCAGCCAATTCCCCCCCACCCATAAACCCTGTTATTTTCTTTTAAGTTGTGAGGAGGAGGGGGGTGGAGAATTTGCACAAACCTGGCCCACAAAACAGGATTGTTAGTCCTGTGTAAATTTTAATCCACATATAGAGAAATAGGAATCACTTTGTCCCCATTTAAGATTTTCATGGGAGCCCAGCATGGGCTTTTCTCTTTAAGCTCTTTTCACTCATGTTCCTATTTTCATCTGTGCTTTCCTTTACTATCTTCTGTGATAAATACATACTTCTTCATGAGTTTACTTTTGAATGTGTGTGTGTTCTTTTTAAAATTATTTTTATTTGATTTTCTGTTTTATCTTATTGTCAACGCATACTGTGTTACAGTCAGACACAGGATAGCAGGAAAAAGCAAAAAAACAAAAACAAATATACTATATATGTGTGTGTGTGTGTGTGTGTGAGAGAGAGAGAGAGAGAGAGAGACATATATAAAAGTGAAACTTCTGAAACCCTCCTCCTGTTAGTTTATGGATGAAATTACTGCACTACCACAAGCATTTTGTCATATCAGATTGCTAGTTGGAACAATTCTGGTGTTTTCTCCTGACCCTCCAGAGCCAAAATTGGGGGCATGCGGGTGCACAGGAAGATAATAGGGGGGAAATCTCCTGTTTTATGTATGTAAATATAATAAATATTCTTTTTAAAAAATCATTTTGCTGGATATGCTGTTATTTCGTTATTTTATCACTTAAGAAATGCAAGCAGAGAGAGGAAGCAACACAGAAGAGTGGAAGAATGCAGAAAGGACAAACAATTAAACGTGCATATTTCAATTCACCGAGTGCAAATAAGGAGTAGTGCCTACAGAAAATAAAAATATGCATTCCCAATAAAATGCACTGGATCCAGACCTGGTGCCTCAAGAACATTGATTCCCATTAAAATAACCTCCTCCTCCAACACAATTAGGATCATCATTAGACTGAAGGTAGCAAAAACTGAATGGGTCATTTAAGAGGAAGTTATTTTAGTTTCATTCAAACTGAAGCAGGTCATATTAATGGAAAGAAATTGGAAGAGGAACAGGCTTGAGGCCCTAGCCAGTTGATGAATATAACATCCTAAATAAGATCTGCTTATCTTCTGACTTGTATTTGGTCCTAGACAGTAAAGGTCTGGTAGATTTTTCAGACTTGTACTTGAGAAGAAGTAATATTTTCACCAGAGTCATCATCTACAGAAGAACTCACTGCAAGAATAAAAAGCTCAAAAGAAATGGGTTAGAAGCCCAATCCGCTGGGTAACAGAACTATAGGCATTGACTTGGTAAAAAAGGGAGCTGAGAATAGCAAGGCATGAAGTGCTTCAGTATTTTACTGCTATTCCATGGCTTAAGAGCATGATTTTGATGGCAGTAAATCAAATAAGAAAGAATTTACACAGGGAAATAGAGAAGTAAAATACAAAGTAAATGCAAAGATATCGATCAGCAGTACGCAAGAGAATATTTTACCAAGGTCTCAAAGAAAAAGAAAAGAGGGTGCTTATAGACAGCTATAATACCATTAACAGCACTGTGGCTAAAATGGGATGGGATTATCCTGTATCTGATGCCAAGAGTCTTGAGTCCATAAAGCAATCAAATTTAGAAGACACTGGCTTCAATATTTTGAGACCACTTGAATATTGCAGTTAAGGGAACTAAAGCTAAGGCAAACACACTGCCATGTCTCAGAGAAAAATTTCATTTCAAAGGGGCAAAAAGGGGTGGGATAACAAAGGCGATTTTCAACTTACATTTAATAGGAAAATAAACATACATTGAAAGCCAAATAATGTTCCTCCACACCCCTAGCTTTAGCAGATATTCTGAGGGCTTGATTCAGACTTAGGCTGAAAACCTACACTTACTGGCAGTATGCTCCACTGAATATTGTGGGATTTACCCTATGTAAATATAGGACAGTACTGTAATTTATGAAGAACTCAATAGTCACGTGCTTTAATATAATATTAAAATAAGCCACAAATATATGGGCAAGTTAGAATTAGAATAGAAAAACCATTTATGGATTCAGTTCTTCTTTTTCACTTATGTTTAATAAGAGAAGTATGCTCAAGACTATGTAAAATAGAGGAATTATGTGGTCCCAAACAAAGTTTAGTGAAACTGATATGCATCTCTGGAAGGAGCCAATAACATTGTTTTCATGCTAGAGACAGCTGCCACCAACCCCTCTTATTTCTCCCTTTCTTAACAATCCCTCTTATCAGAGCCGGCATCAGCACCTCAAGCAGCTGCCATAACCCCAATGTCTTGGTAGGGCCCACTGAAGATGCCTTCCCTAGCACCACCCCCTTAATTCCCACCCCCCTGGTCTAGCATTAGAGTAGCCCCATGTGGGGCTAAGCCAGCCTTTGAGTTTCCCACAATGCTCTTGGGCCAAGCCTTCCTCTGGACATTTTGGGAAACAAACAACAATAACAAAAGCACAGTTAGGCCCTGCTGCTGTGGTGCCTGAAACACTTCCACAGTGAGGAAAATCCACAGAGCCCACAGAATGAAGCATGGGCCCACCAGAGGGTTACCTCAAACCTGGAGCCAGCTCCGCCTCCTCCCATAATCCTATTCACACTATTCTTCTGCCTTTCTTCAAGAGCACCCATAACACTATCTGACACTTCTTTTCTGCATCACCTTCCCTTCCTTTCGGATTTTCAATTTTTCCAGTCAAATTACTACTTGCTTTATCTTCTCCCACACATGCTGACACCATGGCAAATATCAATGATACATAAAAACAGGGGTCAACAACCTAAGGCCCATGGGCCAAGCAGCCCATGAGGGTCGTTTAACTAGCCCATGGACCCCTGCGGCCCACTCTGGGACCCCCACGGCCCACTCAGTTGGCTCCCATGTGCCATGCTAAACTGGTGCGGAGCAGAGCAGAGACCGCCTTCAGTGACACTGGCCGGCTTTCTGCAGGAAGGTCCTGCAGCCAATGGGAAGCTGTGCACACCTCCTTCGCACCGGGAACGGTGTTTGCGCATGTGTGCGCGCGCACCCTGGCCCACTGTGGCGTCTGCGGGACCGTGAACTGGCCCAAGCCAGAAAACCTTTGCTGACCCCTGCATAAGAACATAAAAAGAGCCTGCTGGATCAGGGCAACGGCACATCTAGTTCAGCATCCTGTTTGCAGAGTGGCTAACCAAATGTCTGTGAGAAAGCAGAATGCCTGCACTTACGGCGTCTTTACAATTAGTTCCAATGTCTTTACAATTACAGTTACTTAGGAGCACAGTCCACTGAACCAATAGATGTTACTTCCAAGTAGGCAGGTGCACAATTGGGCTGCAACTTTTTAAGCTACTCTGGAGGATCTGCTGCATTAGCCTCACAGGCTGAATCTTTTCATAGAGTCCCTTCCCACCGAGAGGGGCAAAAAAACCCCACACACATTGTTTTGAGTAACTTAAAATGAATAAGCCAGCAAAGTATGTGGGATAGATGCCCATGTAACTAGTAAGACTTAAATGCACCACACTGAAATTGGATTATTATAAATTTCTACCTGAATTATTAATTCACAGAGTTTGGCCACAGAATCTCGGCTCCTCTCATCCTCATCTAGAAGGAAAACCACTGTTGGGTGGTAGCAAGCACTCTCTTTACTGTTGAGCTCTCTTTTCCCCTCTTCGGAAAACAGGACAGCAAGGAACTGTAAGCAGGCCACACACAGCTCAGGGTGTCTGACAGAGAATTGCATACATTCACATATTGTTTCTAAAATACAAAAAAGAAAAGAAAAAGATAATGCGTTCTATGTTGCAGTATTTACAGAAATAAATATATTTAACTACATATTACGGCACTGGGTTCAAAAAAGCATATGCAAGGCAATGGGTAAGAAAATGGCTTATGGTTGTTGTACATAAAAATATCTGGAGGGCCACTCCTGTTCAAGTTACACCTGCCAGTAGTCCTTCCTCTACACAATTATTAAAATATACAGAAGTGCTACCCTCCTTTTTCATTTGGTCCTCATGCCACTTTGGGAGAGGGAGGAGAAATGGCACTGGGCCAGTTCATCCCATTATCACCAAGGACTAGAATCACTATAGAAGCACACATATACCTAGGTTCATCTCTTTATGAGCTGAAAATGAGTTCTGTTGAGCCCTGAACGTGGTAGACAAAAGCAAATAAAGAAACTTACAAGCATGCAATCAAATACCAGCAAAAGTGGTTCCAACAAACACATTCCTTTGAAAAGACCACATTCTGGTCTTAAGTTATCATTATCTGTGCAGATATCAAGGCACCTGAAAAATAGGTCTTACCGATTACTGGAATCCAATGCTTTGCAAGAGCTGCAGTCACAAATGGCAGAGAGGCATGGCCACATTTTCTTAACAGAGTAGTGAGAAGGCTGAATGAGTCTTCCCAAGTTTGGTGAACTGCAGCAGTTATCTCTGGCCCTGCCAATTAAACATACAAATAAAAAACCACATAGTTCTGATCAGTAAGTATTACTATACAGTGCCCATATAGAAAGTGAGAAGGGATTACTACTTTCGGACGTTGGCCTGGTTCACATGCAAAGCTAAGCCAAAATATGGTTTAGCACGAATGAGCAAGAGTGCTGTTGTAGTGAGAAAATATCAGTTGCTTCACTCCTGCTGTGTTACTTGAAGCTAAGCCATGATCTGACTTAGCTTTATGTTTGAACCTACCTGTAGTCTCATGATTTGTCTCACTCCAATATGTGTAGAATATAGCACTTAATTCAAGATTGGAAGGCGATAAAAGGAATAATAGAGAAAGATGGGTATGACTCCATATGGTCTCAATTTATATCATTTATTTACAATTGTGCAGTAATCTCCTTACCGCCTCAGTCACAGCAGCCACTATGGAGAAATGATCTTAATGCTCTAGACTGAAATATACCCTGTGGATGTGAGTTTAATCTCACATCACGTAAAAGATTTCCCATGTCTATTTTGATGCCATGTGGATGACTGAATACAATACTTAGCTTCTGTATTTCCCCTGGAAAACACCACTTTATGTTTGGTCATTGTTTTTTTAAAAAAAGAATCATTAAAATTTGTAATAAAACAAACAAACAATGAGTGGTTACAGCTCATGGTTTGTTTGAAGCAATAAAATGAACTTCCCAGGTTGGAAAGTATAACTAAGCAAGACCACGGCTTGGTCCCTGTAGCAGGGAAGCAGCAAAGCAGCCATATATACAAGCACACTAAGCTGGGAGGAAATCTGGCCTGGGGCAGCCCTTTTTTGCTGTATGACAGTCATGTAAAATCTCTGTTTCCAGGCAATAGGACACAGAAATGATATTGCCGCTGCTAGGGCCTATCAGCAAAATATAGAAACAAGATTTCAGGGATCTAAACATTAAAAATAACTCTGAGATCTACCAAAGCGTGTTCTCCTTCATGGAGAGCTTGTGTTGCGGTGGGGGCCGCCAGGACACTCCAAAGTTAGGGGCGGGCTAATTGATCGTTGGCCACTGATGCGATTGGGGCTTCCCTTGTTGTTGGGAAGAAGTTAATGTTGCCATTTGTTGATTGACAGCCAGAAATGCTAAAACTCATTGCACGAGGCTAGGGCTTCCTCTTTTCGCCCGTGCATCGGATTGCCCGTCCCCCCCTCCCTAGAATTATGGTTGTTCGCTTTGACCTTGCTATGCCTGTTATGGGGCCGTCTGCTCTTGGGACAGGGGCCCGGTAGGAATTTTGTCCATCTGGCTGATTGGCTGGGGCCATTTGGTTTTTGCCTACTGCGTAGCAAATCGTCACAACTTGTAAGGTTGCAGTTAGGCATTGGTTTATGGTTTGGTTGGTTGAGGGGCATGGATTGGCTGTGCCTGCCCCTCTAATGCTGCTGCTGCAAGGGCTTCCATTAAAGGAATCGGGGTTAACTATTGCTTGTCCACTCTGTCAAGGGGGCTTGGGCCATAGCAATGACCTCCTGGTTGCATCTGGGGAGGGCTGAGGGCAGGTTCCCTGCTCCGTCGCTACCCCCCAAGTGTATTCCCCTATTCTGACTTTCGCATCGTGCGAAATGTCAGTCTGTCCCCCATGGGGGGGCAGATAGTCGCAACCAATGCCTAAGCAACCACTCACATTTTTGTATTTTAATAAAGTTGTGGCCAAAATTATGCCAAAAACCTTAAACAAAAAATTATGTGTGATGTGTGAGTTATTGGGGTGGCCCTGGGGACCTCGACATGCAAATGACAGATCTCATGTTCAAAGCATTTCAGTAACATAAACCTTATCACACAATTACCTAAGCCATCCTTGCAGCCAATGGAAAGAACCACAAAGGTATGAGCCAAGAGAGGTGTCAATAATGCATCTTGCATCACCAGGCGAGTGTCTACCAGCAAGCAAGACTGTAGAAGTTGGAACAAAGATGAAACAAACTGCAGTAGAAACAAAACCTGTTTGAACAACAACAAAAAGATTTGGCTCAGATACTTGTAGTACGTTTCTGCAGCAATTATTTTTGACAATGAGAAGCTTTTTTAAAAAATGTTAAATTAGTATAAGAGATAAGAAAGTTATGAACCGCATGTGAAATATATGCAAATATTTCAAGAGTAAAGATGCAATATTCTTAGAATGCAGTCCCATGACACTCACCTGGATATAAACACCACTGCATACAGAACAACTTGCTTCCAAATAAAAATGCAAAGGATTACACTGTTAATATCCAACTGAAGACTGTAGCCTGCAATCCCAAGTGCCAAGTATCTGAAATTAAGTCCTACTGAATTTTGTAAACAGCCATGGGGTTGGGTTATTACGACATTTAGCAGAAGGTTGTGTGGTATTTTGGGTCTCTTGTACAGAAAGCATAACCAGAACCACATATTACCACCGCATTTCTATTTCACAGAAAGCATGATGAGAACCAGATATTACTACCTCCTTAGTGACTTTGCAAGTTTACAAGGAAAGGTAGAAACTGAAGGCGTTAATAGGAGTAAAATCCAAATAACTGTCATTAGTCACTAAGAACAAGAATGGTATTTTAAAGCCAAGGTTCATTCCACATGAGAAGCAACAGTGCCTTTTTAATAATACTGGTACTATTACACACTTGTAATAGTAATTGTCTTCTTGCTTTGGTGATTGATGTGCAACATAAGGTGTCAAGAATCTGATGGCTTACTTCCTGTGGTTTTAGTAAGTGCTGTGCTGAAACCAAAATGTTTCTTCTCCTGTTGAATAAAGTTTTCAGTTTTCTGCCTCTTTCTCTTTTGAATTTCCTTACAACTTTGGTGGGTGGGTGGTTGAGCTTACTTTATTTCTGCAGGTGGGATTTTACTTCTTCCTGTTAAACATCTCTCCAGCCCTCGGCAACCTCAGGTCTGCCCACGCTTCCTGATCCGAAAAAGCCTCATGGGAGATGTTACCTCATGATGGTTTTACTCTAACCTTTAACTGAAACAAGGGGAGCCAGGAAGGTTGGCTACTGAATGCCTGCGATTAGTACACTGATTCCTTTAAAAAGAAAAATACTGTGCTTAAAAAATAAAAATAAACAGTTGTTAGGCACATAGTAGGCACCTTCCTCACCTTCCCATGCATATAGGAAAGCCTAGCTGAGCATATAATGAAATTTTCAAGAAATCTGGGTACCTAGGAAGGCTGCAAAAGGCAACCCACCCAAGAGATGGCAATTTTCATTGAGACTACAGCATGCAAGGATGGGAGGTTTGACTCTTCGCTTCTCAGCTCTGTTTCCAATGGACAACTAGTCATCCTTGAGCCCATAAGCAAGTAAAGAAAGGAAAAGGGGGAGGGAGGGAGAGAGAGAGAGAGAGAGAGAGAGAGAGAGCTGCACACTATGCACCGAGTGTAATCTGCACCATGACCCTCGTTCCATTTGCTCTCGAATACTTGCCCCTTTGTTCCTTTTCACAAAATGGGGCTAGAAAAGGAGAGGCCTGATTCATTATGGGTTCAAGGAAATTATCCAAAAACCTCCATACCCATTTCAGTTCTGTACTATTTTCTTATTTGGCATCTGTTAACTTAAGCAGACATACTCAAAGGTTTCTTTCTCAAGGATCTAATGATAAAACAAATTTCAATCGCAGCACAACAGTTTCAATATATGGCATTTCCCATTTACTTCTGAAAAGCTAGCGGGTAGTCATCGTGTGAAAAAAAAGGTGATTAAACTGCAGTTGATGTGGCACATTATTGATCTAGCTCACACTTTATCTTTCCCTTCATTCACAAAAAGATTCCCATGGAGAAGTGAGATCAAAGGAGCTTTGATGGCACTGCTCATGTTCAGTTGCACCGCATAACCCAGTTACTGGAGTTTTACGACTACAGAGCACCCAGTCGAGGCTCCAAAAGTTCCTGAATAATTGACGGAGATGAGCTTTCACGGCACGTGGTTGTGCAAGCACACCAGCTCTCTCAGCTACAGCAAGCAAGCGTTCACATGTCTTTCGGCAGTGTGTGTATGTGTGTGAGAAGCTGTTGCTACCCAGGGACACACACCTTTCCATTCTCCATCTACTAGACAAACATGAGGCATTATCACAGTTCAAGATCCCATTCCAGCAAGGAGGACATGGAGCAAGGACAGTGAAAGACATGTCCTAGGACGAGGAGGGTCCTGGAGGACCGCATTCAGCTATCGGGCCTGAGATTCCACACCCTTGTCTTTCATGATTAAACCGCCATTGATTTCTTTCTAGCTGAATTTGCTCTGGTAACTGAAACCAACAGCTGCTAATCACGTATTTTTAAACCTCAGTTTTGACCAGAATTGGTGAGCTTTGAACTAGGGTTGTGCTCCAGATTCAGCCACAGCCCCAATCCTGAAATGAATTTGACTAATTCGAGCAGAACTGGGCTTTGGTCGAGTCAGGGCAAAACAGACTGGGTTGCCCGGAACAATCTGGGCCTGCCAGGTCCACCCTCCCAAACCATTTCAGGTCTGGATTTGTGTCAGGTATGCAGAAAAATCTTAAGACTACTGTTCTTCAGAGTTTCTAGCTTCCCAAGTATCCCCCAAAACTTAACATTGGTGTCAGAAAGGTGTACAGATTCCGATGTGGCTATGAATTAGGCTAAAGGAGGTTTAAAAGGACTGTGTGTTGGAGGAGGGTTGGCCTAAATGCTTTACTAAAAGGCACAAAAAACCCAGAGACATGATGGCAAAAGGAGGGGGGGGGGAATAGAAAGAAAGCATGGGTTCAAATAGCTTCTCCACTGCAGCAGAGAAGTGGTCTGTCTGAGCCACAACACTTGTCCTATGGATATCTCTTGCTTGTTACCTTCCAGATGTTTTGGAATATAGCTCCCATGAGCCTCAGTCAGCATGACCAATGGTCAGGTCTGATGGGAATTGTAATCTAAAACATCTGGAGGTCACCAGGTTGGGGAAGGGCTCGTTAGGAGTGGAGTAGCATTCAAGTAGAGGAGCTGGGAGACTAAAAGGGGGAAATGTTTCTTCCACTTCACCCTGCCCCCTTCTGTAACTCCCACCCCCTCACACACACATACATGTACAACCACTATACAAAATGCAAAATGCTGTGGGTTTGCATTTTAACACTCCCACTAACACCTTTTCTTTCCGACAATGAGTTGTACGTAACTCTCTTACTCAATTATAATTGTTTTCCCTTAAGCAAAGACACATTTTTCTCAAACAAAAAGAAGCAGCACCTTTCATGGGGTTCACTAAATCAATAAAATGGAAGATTATTAAGGATGCAACCCTACAACTCACTGACTCGAAAAAAATGCTCCACTCAACTCAACAGCCTTTACTTCAGAGTTGATCTGTATTTTTAAAGCACATTTAGGGTGTAAGCCGGTGCCTTTCAGTAATTAAAACATATGCTGCATCCTACCCATGCACTTCAAGAGAATGGAATAGAAAAGAAATATGTATGCCACCAACCTGAATTTTTGTGTAGTCCATATGAAAAGGCTGAGGAAGAGGTGCTTTCATTTCCAAGATACATCTCTCTATCAAGCTGGAATTTACTAGACTACCATGAAACAAAGACAACTGTGTTAAGGACACAGGCATAAACTTAACATTTTGACACAATGTGGAACTGTAGCCTAGACCATAATACCCTTCATATGTTTTTGGACATCAACTCCCATCATCCTGTGCCCAGCATGGCCAATGACAGGGGGTGATGAAATATGTAGTCTTTAACATTTTGGAGGGCACATTGGCTACCCCTGGTCTAGACTGTTGGCATGTCTGAAGAATGTGTGAGACAACAGATACTTCAAAGACAGTAATTCCCACCCTCAAAACTTTGCCCTCACTCATATGTTACCTGGGTTCCTTGCCTTGCAAAAGCCTAGTGCACCTCCTTCCCTCCACTATAGAAAGGACAATGTAAGTGGGTTCTCCATGTTAGCATGACGGGCTGGACACACAAAGAAAAGCAATTTCTCTGCCTCCAGAAACAAACAAAAATTGGGGTGGGGTGGGGTGGGGTGGAGAAGACAGGACAAGTCACACAAACAGGGTGTCTAAGTCAGGGATGGAAAACTGCAGCCCTCCAGATGATGCAGGGCTGCAACTTGCAGGAGCCACAGCTAACATGGCCATTTATGATGGATGAGGGTACTTGTTCACAGGTTTCACACTCCGGCTTGAAGTGATTCAATGTTCAGCTGGAGGCTGCAGTTCACATTATGCCATCTGCCGGAGGGAGGAGAGCACAGCACTTCTACCTACTAGTGAAAGTCTTAGGTAAGACATGACTGGGAGCTAAAATAGCCCAAAATGACAGAATTTAGACTTTTTCTCTTTCCAGATGGAAGTAGGGAAAGTGGTGTGGGTTTTTGATCAGGAACATGAGGCAGGAAGAGACAATTAAATCAGTCCAAGCCCCACACTTATGTCCCAAACAAAACTGGTACCCTGCCTTCATCACAGCTCGTGATCATTCCCCAACCCAGTTAACCCTTCCTTAACCCACGGGAATCTGGTAGTCTCACATAAAAGTTTGTTTCAGTGATGTTTTGAAAGGTTCAGCCTGCCATCTTGATTCAAAATGGCATCCAGTTGTGCCCAAACAGACAAAAGCCTGTATGTGTACCTGAGGAAATGTCCACATACATAGTGAACATTCTAGAAGATGTGGTAGGTTTAGCAGCAGCAATCTATTTAAAAGTCTAATTTAAGCTAGGATCCTAATGATTCCACCTCTCATAGTCCTCACTCAAACGATGTTGACTCTCAAAAGGCTGCCCTACGCTTATTACAGAGAAAGGAAGTGCAATACACTGCAGTCAGCTGTGGGATGTTGTTTCCTTGGAGACAAACTGTAAGTTGCTACAGTTCAGCCAGGATGATAAAAATAGCAATACTCCTAGCATAAAGGCTTTAGTCTGTGCTCAGTGGTAGATTTGAACTGGGGACTTCAGAGCTATCAGCTCTTCGCATCTGTCACTATGTTATTAGCAGACTAAGCAACTAAGGTTTCTCTTGTCCTTCTTGAATAATGATGCTAATAGGGTATAAATAAATCACAAGCACATTTCCCATACAACACTTGTTTCACTGCCTTTAAATACCTTAAGGATTTACACCAATGTATCTGCCAGTGCTTCCAAAGTACACTCTTTTGCAAGTGTTCCAGTTAGCATGACTTGTCTATGCTTGTAGCATGCAATCTGAGGACTTCATCGTCCACCGTAATAAAAAGACAAGTTACCGCTTTGCTCTAAAGTCCAAGTAAAGTAAAAGTAGCTGAACTATAAAGAGATTTCAAATCTGCTCTACTTTCTGCAAAATGCTGTGGTTCTCCTGGTTTGATTTTAAAAGGATAACTTTGAATTCTCAGAATACTCAGCGGCTCGATCAATATCTGTAACAAAGGCTTTGGGTAGTGCTTGTCCCATTCAGTCTCTCGTCTGTGACCTCAATAGCTATTGATCTCTTACCTACTGAGAGCAGTTAGTGTCTGTGCTTGCTGAAGAGCAACGCCGGTGTCTTTGGGAGTGACAATCAGCAGGTTGTCCAGCAAGCCGCACACCGCTGACAGGAGAGGGGGGGTGACCACCGCACACTGACTGGGTCTGATGGTGGACTGCGGGGAGTCATGCGGACTTGAAGACACTGTCGTTGTTGTTTCACTCTGACCTACAACACACAATTTAGAGAAAGAACAAAACAAGCAGGTAGTGTTGCTACCTGGAAATGGATTTACATAAAACAAGGTGGTATATGTCTCGTCGGACACGAGTTGAGGAGCTGAGCAGGAGAAAAGCCAGAGCTCAGTGGCAGAGCATCTGCCTCGCATGCAGAAGGTCCGAGGTTTAATCCTCATCATGTCTATGTAGGGCTGAGAGAGAACCCTGCCTGAAAACCCTGGAGAGCTGCTGCGAGTCAGTGCACACAGTACTGAGCTAGATGACTCAGTGGGTTTGACTTAGTATAAGGCAGCTTCCTATGTTCCCATCAGTTTCGTTTGAAATCATAGAAATGGAAATTATAGAACTGTAGAGTTGGAAGGGACCCTGAGGATCATCAAGTCCAACCCCCTGTAATGCAAGAATATGCAGCTGTCCCATACGAGGATCAAACCTGCAACCTTGGCATCATCAGCACTATGCTCTAACCAACTGAACTATAACACATCATATGTGAAACGTCACACAAGACCTGTTGATGTGCTATTGAACTGAATGCCTCTCCTTTCGGATAAATATGAGCAGTCCAGGTTAGAGGCCACAGGAGTGGAGAGGACAGGGTCCTTGGTAACGAAGACTTTCCAAGATATGGGTGGGACACAGTACGGTTTATAGCAGAGGTTCCCAATTTAAGGTCTTCAAGCTTCATTCAGGTGGTCCGCAGCATGTCCGCATCAAATAGTCACAGTGGTTTTAAACTGTATTTTTATTGCTTCCTTTATTTCTTACATTGTATTTTATTGCATTGCAATTTGAATTCTATGGCATGCAAATTGCCATACAATAAAATACAATATGTAAGAAACAGAAAAAGCAATAAAAATACAATTAAAAATCATATAGCGTCTAGCACAGCACAATTGCTATAGACAGAAAAATTGTTAAGTGGTCCACCAAGGCCTTCAGCAATTTTTAAGTGGTCCATGGGGGGGACGGGGAAATTGGGGAATCACTTGGTTTAGAGCTCTTCAAAATTAAACTGTGCAATCTTGAGATATTTGAAGGAAGACCTGTGCATTCAGCTATTACCTTATCATCCTCTCCACAGCTTGAACACTGTGAGACTTGCAAAAGTGAGCAACAAGATGGGGCTGAGTGGAGGTTACTGTTAGGTAAAAGGTAAAGGTAAAGGATCCCCGGATGGTGCAGTCCAGTCAAAGGCGACTATGGGGTTGCGGCACTCATCTCGCTTTCAGACCAAGGGAGCCGGCGTTTGTCCACGAACAGCTTCTGGTGCAACGGAACACCGTGATGGAAACCAGAGCACATGGAAATGCCATTTACCTTCCCGCCACAGCGGTACCTATTTATCTTCTTGCACTGGCATGCTTTAGAACTGATAGGTTGACAGGAGCTGGGAGAGGGCAACAGGAGCTCACCCATGGCGGCGATTCGAACCGCCAACCTTCGAATTGGCAAACCCAAGAGGCTCAGTGGTTTAGACCATAGCGTCACCCATGTTCCTGTTAGGTTCCTGTTAGGAACGGGGTGGCAGGAAAGAGCCCCTGGCATGCATGCAAATAGCACTCTGCATCAGGACCATGGTTAGTGATTTGTTCCAAATGAATCATTTTCATTACATCTGCTTACCTTGCGCCATGAGCCGATTAAGTGGCACGTCGCAAATTCTAGCTATAGGTGGTGAGGTGGGCAGCTGCATTTCCACAGCACAGCCTGGAGATGGCGATGAGGAAATGATCTAGGAAGCAGAATCAATAATTACATTGCCTCCTGTTAACAAATGTCCATATATATTCATAGAATCAGGGTTGGACGGGACCATGAGGGTCATATACTACAACCTCCTGCAATGCAGGAATCTCTTGCCCAACATGGGGATCGTACTCACAACCCTGAGATTGAGAGTCTCATGCTTCTACTAATGGGCAACTCTCATTTGCTGGAATCCAAAGAGCACCATGTGTGAACAGAAAGAATTGATGCGGGGGGGAGAGGGGGGAGGGAAGAACAAACCCAATTGTGTTCACTGATCTCCGAAATGCAGCCTAAATTTAAAGCAATTACCTCTATCACTTCAATGGTTAGGTATATAAAAATAGCTGGCTCTGCCCAGCTTGTGCTGTTAGTAATTTACATAATTAAAAACAGAAGGATGGGATATAATAAACTGGATTTTTTAAGGCATTTTTAGTGAAAAGGACTTACTCCCAGAAAACATCACAGAGTTACAGAGTTCTTTATTCCTAAATTGTGCTACTTGGATGTTTTGGATTTTTAGAGTTCAAGGGAAACAAGGTCTTAAGATACATAAAAAATCAATAATAATTTCAGCTAGTTATAAAAATAAGTCTTGTTAGCTTCTTGCACCAGCTAAGCCTTTTCCAATAATGGCTTGCCAGTGGGACGGAGGCTGAACATAGAAATTTTCCAGTATCTAAACCAGAATACTCACAATACACATGAAAATTCTTCGCACCTCTGGTGAATAAGAATTGCCTCCAGGCGAGCAGGTAGAAAGGATTTTGGAAACTGGGTAAAAATGGTGTTTTGGGGGGGGGGGCTCTTGATATGTCATATATGACACAGGAGCCTGTCTATGGAAGATCAAGCTATTTGTGGACATTTTTTTTTTTTTTACAAGACAGCAACACAGTTAACACATTTTCAGAGTGAACTATTTTTCAGGATGAAAGGGCCTTCCTCACATGCCCTTCCTCACAGAATTACTGACAGTCATAGAAGTCACAGTAAGTCGTGCAATACTTCTATTATTACCTGGTGAAAACCCATAGCTTTCAATTTGTTAAAAGCAGAACAAAAACTAGGTAAAATAAATAAGATTAGAAACCGAAAAGGAAACGTGAGGAGGGGTTATGTGACAAAGTGCAGGTAACTTGCATCTTATGTGAGGTTCATGTTTCCAGCCATCACATGCATCAACAAAACTGCATAAATCCACAACGACCCCCAGAACAGCCCTCGCCTCCCAAGATCTGGCTGTTAAGTCCTCCAAGCTTGCTTACTGGGATCTTAGGAAGCACATAGCCTCGCTTCTTCTCCTTCCTTCAGCCTTCCTTAATCTTTTGCTAGCTGCTGAGGCCTCTCCTCCACCAACTCCTGCTGCACTTTCTGTTCTCCCCCTGCAAACCTTCCCCTCTTTTTAAAGAACCTCTCTCTCCAAATTACCCCAACTGCCCCACTCCACTTTCTGGGTTTTCCTGTTCCCTTTCTGTTTAGAAAACCCAACTCAAAGGGAGCAGTTAAACCCTCCAGCTTGCTTACAGTACCAGATCTCTTAACAAGTCTCTCTCTGTGTGCTGAGTTTTCCTTGCTGCTCCTCAGCTGCTTCCTGTAGCTGCTGCTGCCGCTCTCTCACCCTGAACAGAGGAGCCCAGTCCAGCCCCAAAGAAAAGCAGGGAAGGAAGGTTGTAGGGAGAGGGGGCCTAGCTGCACCCAGACCACCCACTGGCCCTTCTTTTGGCCCACCTCACCTACTTTCTATTTTATTAATTGTTCCCAGCCAAGCACACAAAGCTGTGGTTGTGTAAGTGAAATAAGTGGCAGAAACGTGTTACCTGGAAAATGGGACCTCTGTTTTTCCAACAATCCAATTAAACAGCATTGAGTTCCCCTTACAATGGCAACTTGTCATTTTAGAACTCACCACAGTGTCAGAGGTTGACTGCGAACTTGGAGATTGGCTTTGAGTAGATACAACTCTCCAGAGAGAAAGTGAATCGTCAAAATCTGGAGGGGGCGGGGAAGAAGAGAGAAAAAGGCAGCCTTTTAAAACACCTTGTATCAGTGGTTCTCAAAGGGTGTGATGCACCACACTGGTATGGCAAGAGAGGATGGCAAGTGTGGCAAGGACAATCAAAGAAACATTTAAATATTTCAGTGTAGTATAGTTATCTATCTACCTGTCTATCTATATATACACAGAGAATATAGAAGGCTATATTTTCAAAATCAAGCTCTGCTATGAGTTGTTTCTTTTTGTTTTCTGATGAATTTCTTATCAATGAAAAAATCAAAACGGCACAAGCAAATTTTTATTCTGAAAGTGTGGCCCAGAGAAAGAAGTTCAAGAACCACTATATTATATGCTCACCTCTTGCTTTGCTGGTGAATCCATTAGCAAAGAAAAATGACAAAAATCCCTTTGTTTTTTTAAGAACAAAAGGGAAGAATCTCTCAAACATTCCACAAACTGCAAAACACCAATATTTTGCTGTAGAACAGGGCAGACATTAGGAAACATAGAGTTATGCTTCGGGGGCGGGGGCAGGAATGAATACATATAGCATAAATCTATGTTGAAACTGCATTGATTAGAGTGATTTTGCAAATTCTCTGTTCCATTTATTAATCAATATGACTAAAAAGTGTGACAAGTAAGCTGATGGGTTCCAGTTTGATCTTATGAAGTGATCAGGTTCTGGAGCCAAAGGAAAGAACTAATCAATCAGTAACTGAGAACTGTTGAGTCCTTCTTCCCACTGCTTGCCTCCACCCAGCAGCAATAAACTGTCCTGATTTTTGTTCACATCCAATTTTTGTGTTATGTTTCACAGCCATAAGGGCTAGAAATAAGCTTCCACATTTTTTGCTCACCATGGCAACTGTGCCCTCGACCAGCCTTCTTTTCAGCCTTAAAGCTTTAGAAAATGAGCAGAGATTATTCTGGTCGTTGCACAATGAACCCTGCTTCCACGCCAGCTCCAAGAGGAAGAAAGGTTGGAAGTGGTATCTGGCACACCTTGGCCACAGAATGGCCAAACTGGCAACTCTTCACTCCCATTTCCTAGTAAGAAAGGTGGTAGGCAGTTCCTTAGACAGTGATGCTAAAGTACCTGGAACTCCCTGGCTGCAAATCTGTCAAATCAGGTCTAACCAATGCCAATTTTGTGGCTTGGCTAACCAAAAATGGCTGACCCATAGCAATAAAAACTTGTTGCTTGTTTTTAACAACAAAAATAAAATAAATAAAATAAAATAAAATAAAATAAAAATTGACTGCAAGGCATTCCACATTGGAATTCAATATTTTTCCTTCTAACCCTGGGGGTGGGGGGATTTGAAGGGCAACCCATAAATAAATTTCAAGGAAGCACTGCTTTCTAATTTAGCTGCTTCCTCTCAGCTTTCCCCAATGCTCCAAAATCTTAAGTGCTGAAGCTCAACCGTGAATCAGGCATCATAAATCCTCACATAAATTCATCCTATGGGCCTTATTAAGGAATCAACACCCCCACTATTCTTTACAAGCACACGTCCCTGATATATTGATTTATGCAACAGCTCACTACTTCCCATCCCACCACAGTGGAAAGAAAGCTGTTTTTCAAACTGAGCAAAGCAGCAAAGCCAGAAGGCTCACGCTGCTGTTGCCCCACGTGGCATAGCAAGAAAACCAGGGTCACCACCAAGTGGGCCCTCCACAGGGAGTTGCAGCCAGTCTGGTTCTCTGAAGAGCGTATCTGTAGGATACATATGTTTCCAAGCACCCACTTGGCTGCATTAGCATTTTCTATGTTTCAGCACGTGGACTTCAAAAGTGTACCTATGAAGCAGACTTCATTCCCTATGGAGTGTTGGCAACGCTTTCTATGATCTGGAAGTAGACTGTTTCGTTATCCCCAATATGGAATTATTCACAGTGCATCACTAAGACAACCGCTTAGAAACAGAACAGTGAAATGCTTGCACATAGTCATAACAACCCACGTACTGCCTTTTTCAAATTCTTACCATTGTACTGGAGATTCATTCTTTTTGATGTTCTAATTAGATTTCTGTTTTCTTTTTACATTTCTCCTACAGCCCATTATTTATCCTTCACGAAGGAAGGAATGGGCTATCTCTAATATGCTTCTTCCACCTCCGACTATGAACACATTTAAAAACCTCATAATTGCTTCTCGGATACTGAACCAGATGATGTGGTATTATATTTTCAAGAGACTGGCTGACTATTTTAACTTTGAGACACAAAAGGATAATACTTTTAGAAGACTCGCACAGAACAAAACAAAAAATCACAAGAAGAAAATGTATTGATAACTCATGGAACCGCAACCGAAATTTAAACCAAATGAATTCTTTGAAGTGTCACTTACCATTTATGCTACTCTTTTCGGCTGCCTGGCTGCCTCCCAAGGAACAATGCAGATCAAATGTATATCGACCTAAGTAGCACTGTTTCACCATCTCATTCAAATGCTCGTAGAAGCGACAATGATATAACAGAGCCTGCAAGGCGGTTTTTCCAGTGAGAGATAGACCAGATTCTTCATCATGCACACAAGGTCCCTGGAGGCAGGGGGTAACATATATAAAAATTTATAGTCATTAAAAAGACCCTCACAACATTGGTTCCCAACCAATGAGAATGAACACCTCTTCCATCAGAGCAGGAAATAGCAAGGGTTGATGGCATGAATCCAGGAAAGCATATCCACAGAATTCATCTCTGAGAATCTCAGCTTCATTTTAAACAACAAAATTGCTGCCAACTTATGCCAGAAGAACTGGGACTCAGAGAAGGGTTCAACTGGGCAGAGGTAGGACATTCCTTGTCGTTCTTACTCACGAAAGATTTGTGCATAATACTAACGTCTGGGGGAAATCACGCAAATCCTGATAATTTATACAGTTTGCATAATTCTCTCCTGACACTCCTACCCTCATACCTGATCGTTTGTGGGGCTGAACGAAGTGCAGGGTAAGAAAGAACTTCAATACTTGTTTGAGATGAAATGTAATCAGAATAAAAAATAAGTTTTATAACTCTGTGAAGTTCTTTTTAAGTAAACTTACATTACAAGTTGGGAATCTACACGCAGAAGATGTCAGTAATGTGCATTCATTGACTCAAGCATGACAACTACCTACTCAGGGAATTCTGCTGACTTCTAAGCGTGATGACATTGAGTCAAAGTTTTTATATTCAGCCCCATTGATGCCAATTTACAATTTCTATGCCAAGCATTTCACAGCCACAGGGGTGTGCTAAAACCCACTGGAGTCAGTCACACCTTATAATCTGTGTGTGCAGTGACTTCAGTCACCTTGAAAGTACATAACATCTTGTGATCTGATGACTTGGGATTACATGTGCTGATTTATTGACTGCAGAAAGGATTTCAATTTCAAAAGCAGGGAAGCTAAGAATCTACTGAACTGTGATAACAGAAAAAAATAACTGCTGGGATGGTAAAGCAGTGAACATTTTAATCTCCTTATCTTGTGTACTATTTGGTATACCACTAAATAACACCATATAAAGTTCCCTTCCCTTTCTGTGACATTCTCCATGGAGATAAGTGTAGTCTAAACTGGCTTAAGCAGAGAACTATAATATATCAACCTTTTTATTTTTAGCCAAATCACTGCATAGTTATCAATGTTAATCAACATATTTAAATAAATACTGAAAAACTGAGGGGAGGATAAATTATATCAGATTGCATAATCTCTCTTACAGACAAACAATTTGTTTCTTGTAAAATCATCCTAAATACAGGTACACATTTCTTTTATAATTACGGCATTTGTATCAACACTTGTTCCAGACCAAAACCTCCAATGAAATATTATATATGTTCAGTCTATGATAAGATTTAAATCACTGGATTTACTAAAATCTATTAATGTTTTTAAACTGTGATTTCCCATGGAAGTCTTGAGCCAAGTGGCCATAGATTATAAATCAATACAGTGGTACCTCGGGTTACATACGCTTCAGGTTACATATGCTCCAGGTTACAGGCTCCGCTAACCCAGAAATATTACCTCGGGTTAAGAACTTTGCTTCAGGATGAGAACAGAAATTGTGTGGCAGTGATGCAGCGGCAGCAGGAGGCCCCATTAGCTAAAGTGGTGCTTCAGGTTAAGAACAGTTTCAGGTTAAGAACGGACCTCCAGAACGAATTAAGTTCTTAACCTGAGGTACCACTGTATTAGGAAATCCACTCCTTTCACACCACAGAGTGGTTTACTACTAAATCAAGAATATAATAATATTATTGCTTATGCCAATAAAGGCCAATATATAATAAAATGTATCTGTAAAAACTTATGAGTAAAATATTAACCTGAATTACAATATCAAGGTGCTAAAAATGGCCAGTTTACAGGAATGGCCGGGGTGGGGGGTGTATGCCAAGCATAATGTAGCACCATCTATCCCTGAAAGACTAATCAAGAATATATCGGCATCTTTTGAGATGTTTCCCACAAAAAATTACTTATCAGAACACATATATGGTAACTCCATTGAAATAACTTGCTTAAAATTGAATGAGTATAATTCTAGGTAGTTTAGTTCTAAACCTTAGTGCGTGTAATCTCATCTCAGCTACTTCAAAACTGTCCAATTATCTTTTAATCTCCTTTACAGGAATGTAAGGGAGCAACCCTGAATATATTCTGTTATTAAAATGAAGAAGAAAAAGTAGGAGCTCCTTTTGAACTACCCCTTTCTAAGACACTTCTGGTATATTTGAAATCCTTTGAAATATATGAACAGCAACTGGGAAAAATAGATGTGCCTGGATATAGCAGCTCTAAACTTTACACCTGAACTTTACACAGAAATACTCTTCCCTGCTCCTGACCACCCATGACAGTGTTCACTGAGTATATCGAGGTTGTACACTGATTGTAGGGATCATCCCCACGAAAGAGAGCGAAGTAGCATTAGAGAAGGAATCCAACAGAGACTCTGCAATGCATTTGATCCTGCCAATGTCTTCCAACTTCCCAGCAGCTTGGATCCCAAGATAAGTGAACATAAAGTTCATGGGAGTTTTCCATCCTCTTCTCCTCCCTGCAGCTCCTGACGTATCAGAGGGGCCTTCTGGACAAAGTGGAGTGCAGGGAGCTGCTGGCAGGAAAGAAGAGCAATCCAAAATCAGGTAGGGACACCTTCCAGGCACTTCGCCATATTCACTTATCTTAGGATCCAAGCCACTGAACATGCGAACCTTTCTGTGCAGTCAAGTTAACTGGTTATATTAGACAAGCTACAACACTATAAATAGAATGTATATTAAAACATATTATTTATATTATTCAGATGTCACCTAATATAAAAAAGACTCTAGGCAACCTACAAACAGAATAAAAATACAGTTAAAAACAGCAATAATTAATGCACTAACAAAAAATAGAATTACAGCAAGAATAGCAAATGGCAAAAACATCAGCAGTCTTAGGCCAGGATAACTCATTACACTCCATCAAATGCCTGGGAAAGTCTTAACCTGCTGTCAAAAATATGCTTAAAGTCAGCTCTGGACCATAAAAAAGCCCCCAAACTCATTAACTGCATGAATTATTTGCTCCCGGAAAACTCGCTTTTGTTGATGATGATTCTTCTTCCTTTTTCTGCAATTGGAACTCCGTTAAAGAAAAACCTGTCAGTTCAATAGTATCCCATGGAGGTATTTAATATAGGTTTTCAGAACCATACTGGTCTTCTTTCAATGTTAAAATAATATCTATCTTCACTCTGCCAGAACAAGTAGGTTCTAGAGATACAATTCACATAATTATGGCTCTACTGTACAAGACGGAGAGTGGTCTGCTTGTTGCAAGAAACTCCCGGGGAAATAGGTTCTAAATAACTCCTGCCAAGTTTATCCTCCTGCCTTGGCTAAGCCACACAACAGTATCTAGGCCACAGAGAAGTGTTTGAACTTAGCATCCATTTTAAGGCTAGGGCTTGATATCTCCTGCTCACAGGAGGATTATTTTACATTTATTTTAAAGCACCAAGTGGGGATGAAATGAGACCCAAAGATGTCCCTCTTCTACTTGTGCGGGTCTTGCAAAGCTGTGAAAAGTGTTATTAGTGCCTGACCAAGTGCTGGTAGACCACACTGCCAGTGGCTATTTCCTTTCTGCTCGTGGTTATTTGAATCCAATCCATTTTTTAAAAAAAGATCAAAAGGATACATTTACTATTGAAACAGTTCTTTTTAAAAGCATTCACAAAATGTTTAAAAGGTATTTCACAAACCTATTAAAAACGCTTTAAGATGCAGCTTCAAAAGAACTGACAAGCTCAAATAGGCAGTTTACCAATTTTTTTCTGTACTAATCCGTGCTGGCATCGTTCCCTCCTACAAACAGGAATTTCATTTCCCAAACTAATCTTTCTGGGTCCCTGGAGCTGCTATATAGGGATGCTTTAAGGTCAATTATTCCAAAAGCTCTTTAGTGCATCAAGTACCTGTAAATTCCTGCTTCCCTTTGCTACCACTACCTTTGAGGGGAGCATTGCCAGGAGAGACAACTGCTGGCCATCAGCCCATGTGAAGAAGTCCCGCCCCAGGGAGACCAAAAATAGGGTATTCTATTTCCGACTGTGTCCCATTCTTCCCATAGCTGCTGCCGAAGAGGCTGGTGAGGCAGCAACAATAGCAAGAGGGCAGAGGAGCAGACTGAGACCTGCTCCCCCAAGACGCCCACAAGAGTTAATGCCCACAGTGACAAGGGCTGGGAATAGCTGGCGCCATCTGCTCAGACTCACAGGGGTCAGCAAACTTTTTCAGCAGGGGGCCGGTCCACTGTCCCTCAGAGCTTGTGAGGGGCCGGACTATATTTTGAAAATAAAATGAACGAATTCCTATGCCCCACAAATAACCCAGAGATGCGTTTTAAATAAAAGCACACATTCTATTCCTGTAAAAACACGCTGATTCCCGGACTGTCTGCGGGCCGGATTTAGAAGGCGATTGGGCCGGCCCCGGCCCCTAGGCCTTAGTTTGCCTACCCATGGCTCAGAGCAACAACATCTGGTGATCTAAGAAAAGAGCTCCAAACAATTCCTCTTCCATAGTACCTCCCATTTTCTGCTCTGACTTTGAGGGAGGCAGAGGTAGGAGCCACATGGCACCATCATTGGATCCCACAATGGCACCTGGTATTCTGCAGTCAGCTTTAATTCTCTCAGACAAGCAGGACAGCAATATTCCAGAAACATTTTTTTCCAATGTTTGCATGCACCTTATTGGTTCAGGGTAATTGTGAGGGCAGTATCATCAACCCACACATCAGACTTTGCTGTTGTGAACATCTCTTAAAACCATCATAGTTGAAAAACAAATATTGTAAAATAAAATGCATCAACAAATTATATCCATCATCTCTCCAAACATAAGTCACACACTTTGATCCCATTACGGTAATGGGAAAAAAGATTAAACACATCCCTCATATTAAAAGCAAGTGAAATTGGCAGTGTTCTTTAACTAGCTGAAGCCCTAGGTTAAGTTGCAAGTCCACTCTGTAAGGCTAGAATAATTTGAGAACGATGATATTTTGGTTTTGTCCAGTAGAGAAAGAATCTTGGGGGAGAGGAAATAATTGTTTTGCTTGTCCCAATCTTTACTAAAAACAGGGTAAGAATGTTCATTATTTTCACTTCTAAAGTACATCTAAAGCAGCTTGTACCCTTTTCTTTCCTCTAACAAGGTTATAAAATATTGGATGCAATTATATTGATGAGCAATGGAAACACATCAAGTCAACTAGTCACCTGCCAAATAGAGTCTTTAACCTCTTCAGTGGGCAGTGGAATCACCAAAAGATTCTGAAGAATAAATGCAGCCTGAAAAGAAAAATCAAACATCAACAGTGCCACCTGGCTGCAGCTAAATAATTGAAGACAAGAAGGCTGTTTCAGATATACACTATTATAATCAGAAGTAATGTTCAGGCCACTTTCACCTTCTATTTTAAGGAATTCAGAAACTATTTGGATTTTGATTACTCAGTGAGTCATTTAAAAAAAATCAACTGTTATGCTGTCTTGTCAAGTTGAGGGAGGGGGAAGTGCCATTTTATTTTTAGGATAAATTTTCACTGAGGACAAAGCATGAAGAGCTGAAACATCCATTACACAGAAAATACACAACTGCATGTACTTGACTTATTTTTAGTATAATTTTCTTTAATTGCTAAGGTTTTCTGAAAATTGATTTCTGCGTATTACTTTCTTTTCTATCATGTCTAACCTTGTTGGTTTACATAGTGCAGAAACAGTAGGCTTCCACTGTGTTGGGAAAAATTATGAGAACTCATGTTTGTTCCTCTACGTTTCAGTGAGGATGTCTGTTTTGAATCACAAAATAAAGAAGTGTGACCAATAGCTGAAGAGCTTCTTTAATGAAATTTAAAAAAGAAAACGCCGAAACATTCAGCATAATAAATTCTACCTGACATATCTAAAAATGCCATTGTAACAGCAGGAATGAGGAAAACCTTTTTTAAAGAGAGCAAAACTGAACTGAGTTTGGGATTCAACTGACCTGTTTTGAAGTGACCAGCAATGTAGGTTCTAGGTGATATTCAACTCACCCCTCTCCTCTTGTGTGTGCCCCACAGCATCACCAGATATACTCCAGAGGGCTGGGAGAACCCCCATAAGAGATTTAGAGGAGTGGGGTGGGAGGAGGAGAGGGGTGAAAAAGATTCGACATTCGCCATAGTGCTACAGCAGCTACACTGAATACAACCCTATGAAGTGTCTTAAGCCAATCAGAGAACATGGTACTTTTAGTCACTGCTTCCAGGCACACCCAAAAAGCACGCTTTCTACCACTTTGCCTTGGCGTACCTAGATATACTCTAAATAGTGTTAGAATGGTGGTCTCTCAGAAAGAGAACCAACACTATGCAAGATTGTACTTCAAAGGGAATGAACAAGGCTGTCCTGGCCCCCGGCCAAAACCAGGCAACAGAGGTGTTTACTTGTACTTAGAGAAGTAAACTTTTATTATGGCAGCCCAACAAAACAAATTCTGCATCTACGAAAGAGCAGAATCTAGCCCTGGTGCTCTTATAGGGTGGATGAATAGTTTCCTCATCTTCCTGCCAAGCTTTAAACAGAGGTGGAGAAGGATCGGCTACTTGTGCAACTTATTGTCTCTGCAAGCATGCCATCCTCCTTTTGTTGAGGGAGATGAGTCTTGATGTGCCATCTCTCCTTGGGAGAGATCTTCGGAACCATTCTGTTACAGAAGTCTGAACTCTGCTCCTCCATCATCCTCCACGGTCTGGGAAGGGGCAGCCCCTGGGTCTCCCTCCTTTGAATTCTGGGTGCAGGGTGGGGGTGCTTCATCAAGCAGGCTCTGCTGTCCCCCTCTTCCCTTCTGACTCCCTATCCTCAAGTGCTCCAGATCAGAATCAGAGCGCCCAGGGTGGACCATGACACTGACAGAGGGAGAACTGTTCAAACTCAGTTTAAGAGCCTAAATGTGAACCTGCCCTAGTTTCACCTAAATTGTATTTAGGTTTCAGATGACAAAAGCAGAAAATATCTGTGTACGCAATCTTGTTTTGCTGATGTTGGGTATTTCTTCCTCCTCTTCATAATCTTCAGTACTCAATACACAGGCTCAAATGGGGAGTGTGAAGGGAGAGATGATACACATTTATTGGATTCCATGCAATTTTACAAGCACATCAAAGTTATCTCAAAGTTTCCACAATAAGAAAATTACAGAACAAGTCAAGTAGTGCTTGTTCCGAGAAAGTGATGTAAATGATTGCAACCTTGTATCCACTTATCTTAGACTAAGTGCTATTGAACTCAATGAGACTCACTTTTGAGTAGACACCTAAAGGAGTGTGCTGTAAGAGAACTTGAGAGAACAAACCATTTTTACAGGGAGCATATTTTACATACCTCTCTTCGGACCATACTGCATTCAGACTGGTCCAGAAGGATGTTAATCACCGTTCCCCACAAGCCTCCTGATATGTTCTGGCAGCTTTCAGCCAACGCGAAGCAGCCTACTTCGAGGGATGTAAGTGCTGATCCTATGGCGAGGGAGGTGAACTTTACCTAGAATTAATGAAAATCAAAACCACTTACACATTAAAATCCAACTTTTCTCCAACCTCCACATTGCATTTTAGACCACGTTCCCCACCATCTTGAAGTTTCTTGAAAAACTGCAAATTGATTCTGGTTTTAAAACATTTTGCCTCAAGGCTGTTATGGAATATTTTTAATAAAATGTTAGGTCACAAAGTCCTAACAGTTTATGGAAATGTAAAACTCGCTCATAAAAGTATTTAGGACAAGCAAAGTTTTAAAAGGTACAATACGGTAATGTTCGACAAAGTAATAGTAATGCATGTAAGGTGAACACAAAACCATTCATTCATTTACTGAATCGGTAAAACTAATAAAAAAAAAAAACCCACACCTTTGTCCTGCCTTCCTTTTCCTCCATACTATTGTTAAAATAGCATGGGGGAAAATCTGTTTCTTGACTGAATTATTTTGAGATCAAGAAGGAAAGATAGCACCCTTCATTCAAGAAACTGATGAACAGTGACTACTGTCCAATTATATTTTAGATAATCATTCTAGCATAGCATCCAATATGCCCACGGATACATTTTATGGTGCCCTTGAGGATCCCACCCCTTCCTCTGCTGAAATTACATTTGAGAGCCGAATCCTCTTGTAGCCAACAGAATATGCCGTGGTGTCTGTTTCACTGTTGTGCATGTGCAGTGTCCATGAGTTTCCCCAGTTTGCAAATGCACCCATGAGCCTCAAAAGGTTGGCAACCCTGATTTAAGCCCTAATGTCAACTTGTACCATCCCCACCCCAAAACTTGCAAAGAATTCTAAGAACAGAACTGCTCAAAACAAAGCTCTCAGATGTTTTACCAGATGGGCGTCTCCACCCCCATCATTCAGCCCAGATCCAGGTCCAGCGCCAAGGGCCTTCTGGCGGTTCCCTCACTGCGAGAAGTGAGGTTACAGGGAACCAGGCAAAGGGCCGTCTCGGTAGTGGCACCCGCCCTGTGGAACGCCCTCCCATCAGATGTCAAGCAAATAAACAACTATCCTACATTTAGAAGTCATCTGAAGGCAGCCCTGTTTAGCGAAGTTTTTAATGTTTTAAGTATTATTCTGTTTTTAAAGTTCTGTTGAAAGCCACCCAGAGTGGGCAGGGTAGAAATAATAAAATTATTATCATCATCATCATTTAAATAGAATTTGAGGGTTTGCTCTTTTTTTTTGAGGGGGGTAGAAAAACTGCAGCAAAATATGCAAAATTCCTTTTGGCAGAAATAGGCAATGTATTATAGCAGAAAAGGTGAAAGAGGCTTTTGTTCTGCAGTTCATGTTTCTCATATTGATCCTTGCACTGAAAAGCAAAAGAAGCTGTTAACAGCAGCTATTCTCTTGAATGCCAACTTAGTTTATAAGTAGCTAAGGTACTGTTGGAACGGAAGAAATTATTTCACCTCTGCCCTCCCCACTTTTCTTGTCTCTTGAAAAAAAAATATATTGCTATGAAAAATTGATATTTTCCTCTGCTGTCGTCTCCCTTTTCTCCCGTGTTCAATTTACCCAGGGGACAAATGTTTCAAGAAGCAAAATGTACAGCCTTTAGCCTTCATTACCCATTGTTGTTATCCTCCAGGGTTGAGCAATTTGTTAAGCGCCAAAAGCCGCATCAAAAATACTACAGGTACCAGAGGACAAAAGAAAGCTTATATGAGTTAACTATTAGCTATGTACAATTAACAAGTTTGCATACAGTGTTCATTAATATTGACAGATGCCATAATACAGCTTGTCAACATGTTGCAATTATTTAGTCAAGTCCTTTGGGCATCTCTACAAGTGGGACTTGGGAGACCTGCTGTAGTACAGGTGAGTGTACAACTGGTTGTGAAGCTCCTTGGTGTCAGCTTCCTACTATAATAGTTCACATTGAAACCACAAAGTAATTCCAGTCACCAAACAGTCACCCCAACCTTCAGGTGGGAGGAATCCAGAGGGAGAGAAGGATAGTGGGGGGAAATTAAATGGTTTGAATGTCGTCCTTGACGGAAATCAGTTTCCCTACCCTCTGCTATACAGGAGGAGAGTTGGACATGAGACAAAGCAGGATGGGTGCAACACTCCTTGTACTCCAGTGGAAGCAATGCATGGAATTTTTCTCCCAATTTTAGCACAGCGCAATACACCTTCCCTGCCAGGGCTCTAATGATTCCAGAGGGCAGAGCATTTCACTCTGTACTGAGCATCCACTAAATCACCACAGAACTGCTGGGACAATCTTCATCTGCCTCCACACCTCCAAGGTCGGGAGGAAAGTTGGCTGCTCAAACTTGCCAGGCAGCAACTGTGCACTTGCTATGAAAAATGCAGAATTGACCTTGTGCGGATTGGACAACATCATCATATTTGTTGTATTGCAAGCATGAAGCAACAATTCCAACAGTGAGGGTTTTACTGACCTCTGGATCTCTGTCTACCCATAATGGAATCAGCCAAGCCAAGCCTTGCTGAGAAACAACTTGTTCTTCGCTGTTATATGGCAAGAACCAGAGAGGTATCCAGTCCTAAAAGATAAACAGATGACTCCTTAACCTTAAGGTAGCCTTCATATAACACAATCTAGTCATCATTTATTCCAGCATTTAAAATTGTGCATTAGTGTACACTTTTAAGGTACTACCTACAATAAGGAGCAAATACAGGAGATTCTATCCCAATGGTAAGGGCACCATAAGGCACAGTAGGGCCATGTGAAATCTGGTAATGATATCTTGGAAGGAAATTAAATAAGTGGTCCTCAATTGCTACTTGTTAGTTACAATGCAGAATTTTCATTTGGCATACAACTACCTATTCAAAGTTTAAACCTGTCTGAGCCACATGAATGCCAAGAGTCATTTGAGCTGCTCGGGCTGAAAAGTCACTGCTGAACAGACTAGATTGGAAATACAATTTCATGCCAAGGGAAGAGTAGAAAATTGCAAGGAGCTGAAATGCTCAGCTGCTCTAGCCTAACTTCTTCCAGTATAGGAGTGACATTGCAGTGGGAAACAATCTTCCTGTTATTTATTCCAAGTCTTAATTGGGATCTCAATATTTATTTCTTGGGGGGCTGAGGAGCTAGACCCCTACCAGGCCATGTAGGGGTTCGGAAACACCAGGGTTTCCCAAACTTGGATTTACAGCTGTTTTTGGACTACATTTCCCTTCATTCCTGACCACCGGTCCTGCCAGCTAGGGATGATGGGAGTTGTAGTCCGAAAACAGCTGGAGACCCAAGTTTGGGAAACCCTGTACTAGTTTCCAAGGTTTACCCTTTCCTACTTCCACTCCAGTGGATTTTAGAATAGGGCAAAGAACACATAAACTACATATATTAAACAAGTTGTGCCCCACATTCTATAAATAAATATTAATATCACCAAGTATATAATCAAACCCTCTTCTGAAAAACATTTTTAACACACTGATTCTCTCCTCCCTACAACAGTTATGGCCTCACTTGGATGTTACTGCAGCAACACATTCCTGTCTGGAAACTAAGGATGGTTTTTTGTTCCATGAACACATTTGTGTACAGCTTGAAGAAGCAAAGGTTGATCACGGTGCTCGTGTTAACACTCAGACTTACAATTGTTTACCAAGGACCCCAATAACAAATGCACCCATTGAAATGCAAATCCGCTATCACAGAGTACTGGTGGTGCACAGAGTTGACAGCTAATTAGAACTGTCAGTAACTGCACGTTATCCGAGTAGCTTAAGCTAAGAGACAAGGGCCGCTGTTATTACTCTTACCGCATTTGGAGCCTGAGACATCATTTCATGGGACAAGTGAAGCAAACAAAGGATGGCGCTCTTTGTGACACCTTTCCCCATGAAAGACATGGCATTTCCTCCCCATTCGACATAAAAAGATGAGATGACCTGGAAAGAAAAACACAGAATGGCAGCTTAACCGCAAACTACATTCTGATGTATGTAAGCTGAATTGCAGATGTGAGTCAAAGGCACCCACAAAGACAACAAGTTCTTAACTTCACTAAATAGACACTTTCCCATGCCGTTTTCAAGAGCAGTTTTATAAGCAGACATTTCTAAATCCTGTTCCTGTGTCAAGCAACTCTAGATGACACTTTATGTCATCTATCTCTTTCTTCTGGATCGGTAATTCCCCCATCTTACTATTACATTCAACAAATCTCCACAAAAGAAGCAAAATTGTAACAAAGTAAGGTCAGCATATGCAGGGGGTGGGGAAGTCTATTACCTAAGTCAGATAATATTACAATATCTATGGCTGTCTCGGGCACAAACATAATGAAGCAGTATGTAAGGTTCTGGCACGATAAAGACTACAATTCTGTTGCTAGTTAGGGGAAGAGTGAAGTACATATGTTTAGTGTGGGAGTACTGCACTTCAAATCTATATTTCTTATGAGAAGTTTGATATTGCTTCTTGGCTAGATACTTTGGCAAGAGACTAGAAGGTTATTTTCATGACAAAATCCTGTTGTTTCATTTCTAGCTCGGCATCACACACACTGCACTAAGTAATTTAGGGTTTCAATAATTTTTAGACTATTTGTGGATTGTACAAATATAATACAGAGACGCTCATTAATTTTTGTCATTTTGGGGATATGCGAAGTAAACACACAAATTTGCTTTTAAAGAGGTTAAAAGCCTGTAGTACAAAAGCAGAAGCAGTCACCATCTGTTCAGTGACCATTTCAGATGGAAAGCTGTGTAAGAGCTACTAGCTTTCTTTGAAAGAAATACAAAGCAGACAAAAAAAAAAAAAACCTCAATTAAATGGCTCCAATTTCAGAAGCCACTCTACATTGAGATCTCATCTGATTTAGTCACCAATTAGAAATGCATCACGGCATCCCATCCCATTTTTAATTTATGTAATCAGCCATCAGCAGGACTTCCACATCTGCACTCCGTTTGGTGCTAACAATTACGTAAAAGGCCAGCCCTTTTTAGAAACAGCCCTGTTATTAGCCAACAATGACATTTTAAGAGCTGAATTTAGAAAGAAAAGCAGAAGTCTATTAAATAATATTTTATTTATACATCTAAGTGACATAGAATCCAAAATCAGATTTAAACTCCCACTTCTTCCCCATTTTACCACAACAGATTATCAAAAAACATTAACATGTTTGTTACATAATGACAGTAATGGCAACATATCTGCCCTAATGAAAACCTCCAAAAGAGTTTGGAGACCTAAAAGATTAAGGAAGCCCACATGCTTTATTCTACTGCATTACTTACAAACTTCTGCCTAGCTTTAAATGCCAGAAGAACTGCTGTGGAAAAAAGACATCAAAAGGAAGCTACAACCAGCTTTTATTGCTTCTTATCCATGGGTTTATCTATCGTCTTTCAAATGCAGCCTAACAGCTTTATTGTATAATGAAATGAAATATTCTTTGCTGAACAGTATGTCAATATGGACTGCAAGAAGAACCTATCCATTCTGAAGGAAATCAGCCCTGAGTGCTCACTGGAACGACAGATCCTGAAGCTGAGGCTCCAATACTTTGGCCACCTCATGAGAAGAGAAGACTCCTTGGAAAAGACCCTGATGTTGGGAAAGATGGAGGGCACAAGGAGAAGGGGATGACAGAGGACGAGATGGTTGGACACTGTTCTCGAAGCCACCAGCATGAGTTTGACCAAACTGCGGGAGGCAGTGGAAGACAGGAGTGCCTGGCGTGCTCTGGTCCATGGGGTCACGAAGAGTCGGACACAACTAAATGACTAAACAACAAATATCAATATATACGAGTTCATTCAAAAGTTGTCCCATCAGTGCTGTTTGTGGGTGAGCAGGTGGGTGATGGCAATTGTAGTTCTTCTAGCTTGCAAAACTTCCTTGCCTGTTGGTATCTTTCCTGCCAAGAGTTCACAGTCCATCCTGTGGTTTTTCTCCCTAGCCCCACTTCCTCAAGTTCTACATCTTATCTTGCAATACTTGCTGCACTGATGCCTTTTTGAATAAACACATACTTTCCCAATAGCTTTACAGTGTGGGGAGTTTCATGGGGAGAAAAATAACCCATGATCCTGTGCCAGGGATTTATTGCTTTCAAAGGAACAAAGCAGCAGCCTCCTGTGTAATCATTATAAGCCATGATTATATAACAGTATTTTTAGAAGTTCCATAAAGGTAAAGGTAAAGGTACCCCTGCCTCTACGGGCCAGTCGTGTCCGACTCTGGGGTTGCGCGCCCATCTCGCTTAAGAGGCCGGGGGCCAGCGCTGTCCGAAGACACTTCCGGGTCATGTGGCCAGCGTGACAAGCTGCATCTGGCGAGTCAGCGCAGCACACGGAAACGCTGTTTACCTTCCCACTAGTAAGTGGTCCCTATTTATCTACTTGCACCCGGGGGTGCTTTCGAACTGCTAGGTTGGCAGGTGCTGGGACCGAGCAACGGGAGCGCACCCCACCGCGGGGATTCGAACCGCTGACCTAACGATCGGCAAGTCCTAGGCGCTGAGGTTTTACCCACAGCGCCACCCGCGTCCCAGAAGTTCAATATCCATTAGTAAAAAAATAAAAAATAGACGTTAATGCATAGGCTTGGATCCATACTTCCTGTGAGCAAAACTCTGCTTACAGCGTAAACCCACTGAACATGCGTTGAGGAGGGGGGTGTTGGTCATAAAATCAATCCTTCCTCTTGAGCTTCCAGAAAAGCTGCTCTGAAGGACTGGAGGATGCATCAGAATGGTGTAGGAAGTGGCTAGAAAAATCACCTCCTCTTCTTCCTTGAGTGGGAGCATCTACTGGATCTTACTTGCTACCACAAACAGAAGCAGCCCTTCCATTTGTGGAAAGGGCATTATGGATCCAACCCACTGCATTCTGCTTACCGGTCGCATTGAGATCTGTATTCATAATTCACTAACCTCAAGAAGCCCTGCTAAGTATTTCTTACAAATGGTGAATGGCTCCATTGTAACAGAGTACGAACTCCAGCCTGGGAGTGCAGTGACATGAACCATGCCTCTTAATGTTCTTTCCAGAGAAGGTAATCCATAGAAATGGGGGGCATCTGTTACTCGTAAATACTGCAGAAGTTTAAGAGCGAGTTCTGTTCGGAAATAGCCAGTAAGCTCTAGGTCTTTCCTGTAATGAAATGTAAGATTCAAGGTTCTAGCATTATATATTTATTTATTAATTAATTAGTTTACTCACTGGATAGCAACAGTGACTGTTTAAATCTATAGTTCATATAATTTAAGTTCAGATACACTAATGTACTAGAAGAAGAAAGGGGGCATGCAAAGGAGATAGATAACAATGATGGCAGAATATGGAAGCCTCACCATATTGTGGCATTTTATGTTGCTGGATATAACAGGGACCTCACTATAACTGAGAAAATGCTTGAAGAAGCTGGAGAGATGTCCAGCCAATACATGGCTGCAGAATCTCCAGAGCTTCAGCCTTGGCATTAAGTAATGTATGTACTGATTCAGAAATAATAACTCGCCCTTGCAAACAGTGGGAGAAGAGGAGAAAAAGCAGACAGATTAACCTATCTGCCACAAAACAAGAGTTCTGTAGCTTGCATTCAAGCAGAAGGTGCTTAAGTGCTACAAGAATATTATAAGCCAACACATTGGCGCGCTCTTCCTTCTGATAGTCATGAGCAGGCACCTTACTGTCCAATCTTCAGTTTCGTCAGGACATCACCCTGCCTGTGAGCCTTAAGGCGTGCAGTTGACTGCAAACATATTGGCCAAGTTCAAAAAGTCTTTCTTACTTTTCATCAAAGCTCTGGCCCCTAAATCACCAGTACAGGCCAACAGTTTTCAACCTGTGTTCCAGAGAGCCCCAGGGTTCCTCAATGGAAAGATCAGAAACAGCCGACAAAACTTATTTATGTAACAAAGATATACCTTGCTCTTCAGTCTGAGAAACCCTCAAAATATGGCTTACAAAGAATCAAAACAGAACAGAAATAATAAAAAAGCAGCAGTAACAAACAACCAGCATACATTAAAAGTCAGCACAACACAAAGCTAAACAGAAAGGAAAAAAAATCAGGGCTGCTTCAAGTGGGGTCACCACTGAAATGATACCTGCCAGTCTAATGGACCTTGATGGAGGACCAGAATAAAGTAAATCCAAAGCAGAAATCAGGCAGGCAGCAGCAGCAGAAATGTGTTGGATGTGTTTTAGGGGTCACTCCCAATTCATGCAGGTCAGTACTTAGGCCCAGCTGGCCATGTGAAGTGACTGCACTTTTCATAAAATGCTTTGGGGTCTCTTCTGCCCCCCACATCCCAAGCATCTCAACAGGTCAAGGTGGATCCTGCATGAATGTCAAATACTCTTCTTCACAAACATGTAACTTTCCAGTAAAAATGAAAGCTGGCGCTAACAGAATTTTGGAAAAAGAAACCAAATGTGGGGGGAGGGGGAATCACATTCCATGCAGCATGACCAACACCTGATATATTAAACTACCTCTCCATGCTATATAGCAACAATATTTTTAAGAATAAGATGTCTTATGGATAACTCTTTTATGCTGTACCTGTCAGTAGCGGACATGAAGCTGAGCAGAAGTGTATTCAAGAAAGCAATCAATTCTTTCTGCAGTTGTTGCCTGACAGCAGTCTTTAGGTCATCTATTTCATCTTGTTGCTGGGATTCTGGCTGCACTACAAGATCGAGTAGAGACTTTGGATTCTGCAGAGAAGATCAGTGAGATGTTATCAGAGCAGGTATTTCATTATTTATTCTCCACCAGAGCTGGGGAATCGGACTGTCACACAGAGGAGCATTTCAAACTATGTTTTACCTAAAGAAAATAGTGATAATGAACTGTCCAAAGCAAACTGAGGAATAATTAAAGTTGTTCCATTTCCAGTAAGGCATAAATTTCAAATAACTAGATGGTGGCAAGACTCCTGGCACAGACAGAAAGGATTAGAGTGGCTTATCACCTGGAACAGCTTCTAGGGATATCACTTTCCCGACACAACAGGTATCTTATTTTTTGGGGGGGGGGGATCTTCTTTTTATGATATAAAAACTTATCTGTTACTCATTCACTGCAAGATGCTCAAGTATCTTGCCAATTCTATAGTACACATATCATATTTCCCCAGAACTTAAAACTGCAACATTTTGTTGCTCGGCATATGAACTCTGTCCCCTAATTTGTATCTGTGTTGGGACTGTTTTGTAGAATACGATTGTGTAGCCTGCGCAAGAGAATGGCTTTGCTGCTGTACCTGCAACATCCAAGCTCCTCACCAGTTCCTATATTGCTTACCAGCAGAGACACTCAGCAAAGGGAAGCTACGTGAGCAAAGGCATGTCATCTGCTACTGAGCTTCTCTCTTTCCTGCTGTTTGAACCAAATGAATGAAAGAAGTTGCCTTAGACCAAGTCAGACTATTGGTCCCTCCAGCCAAGTGCAGGCAAATTCTCAAGGTGTCCCACAGAGGCGTTTCACGCCACTGTTACCTGATCTTTTCCAGCCTCATCTGGAGATGCCAGGCACCTTTCAAACCTGAAAATGTTTGCCTCTAGCACTGCGCTGGTCACCATTTGTAACTTGTTAGAAAATTCAACTGTGCCACTGAAGTCTGGAAATATGATGGTAGCTGGACCAGCTGAGGATCCAGCAGATTGTTAGCCAGGTGAGCTCCATTGCCCTTGATGACATGCCTTGTATATGAAGACAGACACCTCTATCTCATCTAAACTCCCTCCAGTGTAGTAGATTAGGAGGGTTAGATTGTTCTGCCTGCTCCCCAATTAAAAAATCAGTTGTTAGTCAGGGTCTTACATGCTTTAGGATTACATCCATGATCCATTTTAGATGTTCTACATCTGACATAATCTTCTGTTCCTTAAGAAACTTGTTTAGGAAACATACAATGTCAATCAAGAGTTTCTCATCCTCTGAAGAAGCTGGAAGCACCTGAAGAAACCTTCAGTATAAGCAAGAATTTAGCATTATCACAGGTGTATCATAAGCTTTGACTGATATTCCCCATTCCATCTTTCAGGCTTGAATAACAGTGGTACCTCAGGTTACATACGCTTCAGGTTACACACTCTGCTAACCCAGAAATAGTGCTTCAGGTTAAGAACTTTGCTTCAGGATAAGAACAGAAATCATGCTCCGGCAGCGCAGCGGCAGCAGGAGGCCCCATTAGGTAAAGTGGTGCTTCAGGTTAAGAACAGTTTCAGGTTAAGAACGGACCTACGGAACGAATTAAGTACGGGTACTTAACCCGAGGTACCACTGTATACGGATACACTCAGATATGTGAAGAAAGCTAGCAGTAACATACAGATGGCAAGTGAAAATGCTCAGTACGAAATGCCAGCATGAAAATGTTAAAACTCGTTTTGACTCATCATGAGCTGCAGTTATGAAATTTCATGTTGTCCACGTGACAGTTTAGCAGAGGAGAAAGCAGACCACCCACCCCTTTGTCTATCCCACTGTCTCTGTGAGATACCTCTATGTGCACTGACAGACAGACCTGGAGACACCAACAACAACAACCATCTAACTGCCCAAGGATCTACTTGCGTCCAACAGGCTGGCAGGAGGGGCACAAGGTTGAAGGGGGAAGGAGAAAAGGGGCAAACCACTCACTGCTCAGCCCAAGCCATTAATGCAAGCTGAGCTCCGATTATCTGCCAGGGGCTCTGATTAGGTTAGTACTGCACAGGGATGAGAAAGCAGCCAATGAAACTGAATTCATTAGCTGGAGGAAATTCGTCAGATGTGGGGCAGCTGATTACTATTTTTTAATAGTAGATATTATGGGCAGAGAAAGAGGACCGTGACTCAGTTGCATGTGTCCCATTCTATCCTTAGTCAGGCTATGAATCTGAGCACTCTCCCCCTCTGCTTGCTGCTAAACACAGATGGGTTTACCACTTTAAAGGATATTTATTCCAGTGCCAAATGCTTAGAAGGACTCCAAAGAGTCTGGATATCTTTGAAACTTTCAAAGCCAAATCTACTGTGACAGGCGGCTTTGTAGCCAGTTATGCACCTTGCACTTACACACTGACCTGCTTAATGCTGTTTGCCAAGCCAAGCACTTCAAAGTGGCCCCACAAGGGCCACTGCTGCAGATTAATGCCAGCCTGTCATTCAGAATGTAAAAATTCATTCTCGTGATGGCGGCCCGAACTTCCCTGTGGGACACTGCTCGAATGATTGAATTAAGACAATCTTGCAGCCCACTGGTTGCATGAGTTATCTTCAGGGTAATAATATCCTCCGAGGAGAGCTTTAATGTGTCTGGAAATCTGAAATGAAAAAGGAAATCAGTTGATTGTTGAGGATTTCTTTTTTTACAAGAGACTACTGAATGAAGCAAAACAAACATTTTGTCTTCTCTGATCAAATTGGCTTTGATCCAATTATTTTTTTCTTGATTTGAAACTTTGGGCAGCATGCGTCTTGCTTTAAGAGGCTGTCTGCAAAATACAAGATCTATCACTGAAAATACATTTCATTTATTAGCTATTATTAATAAAGTAGTATTTCACGGAAGTATTCAGTATCTTCTTTGGGAGATCCCAGGATATATAATTAATTATAGCACTCAAGCACCCCCATCCTCTATCTGAATCTCAAGTCTAATTTACAAGGACTGAATCAAACTGGATTTGGAATCAGGCTTAGGGACTTCTCCCATCAATTGCCTCTCTAGTGTTCTCCTTCCATTTCCCAAACTTACCCCGTTGTGCGATGGTGTTAGTAGAGAGACCTTTGGATGGCAGAGGTCTTGTCTTTAAGGAACTGATATGGGAAAGCTTTGGGAACTATATCTCTACGTTTCGTAGCCTTAATGGACATTCCTACGACATTTGTGGGACCATCCATACTTTTAACACAAGTGGCTCTGCTTTAGGAAGACTTTACCACTAATTTCCCCTCTTTGGAAAAAGTATGCAAAAGGCAGGCTAGACAGTTGGGATGGCTGGTAGACAGGATTGGTTGAGCTAATGGCTGACTGAGAGCGACTGCACTAATGTCATGCACATGGGGTTCCTCGGGGGCAACTGGTTGGCTACTGTGAGAACAGAATGCTACATGGGCCTACAATCTGATCCAGCAGAGCTCTTCTTAAGTACTTATGTGCTTCCCACAACTTTGACTTTGACTCCCACAGTCTCATTGTACTAATCACACATTCTAACTAGAAGCAGCATCCAGAGTTAACCCAGTTTTGCTCTCCTTACATTTACAGTCAATGGAAAGAGGATAAGACCGTACAGTGCTGGAGGAGACACAGACAAATTCCAGTTGTCACCCAATCCTTCACCCAAAATAGTCTTCCTGCTCCAAATTCTAGCACATGAAGGGATTCAAGAGGGAATTTTCAATGAAGGTGAATAGCTTACTCTTTGGTTCCTGTCTCATAATCAGTGAGTTTCAGTAAATTATCCACTCCATGGAACCAAGACAAGTTCCAAGCCATTTTAAGCATGTCTGACACCGGTTTTGAGGCCCAGAGTTCACAAGGAAATGGTAACACCACTGAATTGGGGCTCACAGCATGATGAGCTTTGACTCTGACAGGCAGATGATACCTTTAAGGAGAGAAGGGGGGTATGGCAAAAGTTAAAATAGTTCTTTATCATCTGAAAACTTAATAAATCTGCTAATCTTCTGGCAATAACTGTTAATCTGTATGTATATGGCTTAAAAGAAACTTTAGGTGTTTCTTCTTGTTATAATGTTATCCCAGTCTTACACACGATCTGCTGCGGTCTCCTATCCAAGGAACTGAAGGGCCCACATCTTCTTTGCTTCCACAACACTGTGGTGTTAAAATGATCCTATATCATTTGCTAGGCCCTAGCTTAGAAGCGACTTAGAGTAGAATACAAAAATTGCATATTGCAATTCCTGAAGATACACTCTGAAGACCTTGCTGCTACTTATTCCATCAGCTGAAGAATGCTTCAGTATGAGAATATTCACACCTTTCATGATGTGCATATGAAGTGGCTTCCCTAGGAAGTGGTCTGTTGATGGCACTTCCTGGTGAGGCACTCCACAACACCAGGGATACAACTTTCTTAAAGATGCAGAGAGGAGAGACTTACCGTCTAACAACAGAAACAGGCAAACTAAAGGGAAGAATGCTGTAAGAGTCACAGGGGAAAGTATCAGCCCTATGAAAAAGAAAACAAGGAAGATAGCTGTATTAAAGAAGCACTCCATGGGTTAATCAATTAACTGCCCTGTCACTTAAACGAATGCATTGTGATATGACACAAGGGCCTTAGTTTAGAACAAACTCACAGTGTGCTGATCCACACTGCCAAAATTGTAGCTGCTTCACTCTTCTCCCATTACCACTGTCCCAACTCTCCAGAGCTGGTTTTGGAGGGCACCCAGGGAGCTGGAGGGGGCAGGAGAGGAAGCTCTATTGCATAGATGGAAGTCAATTGCACCAGCAGAGCTGCAGCACTGGGCACAGTTTTAAAAAAACAATTTACTTTTAAAACATTTTACTTTTGAAAACCAAGCAAAAGATACCAACCCCTTTTGAGAAAGTGTGTGTGTGCATAAGTGAAAAACAAATTTATTTTACTGAAAAAGAGCATAAGATACTCTTTAAAAATGGAAAGTTTAGATCAGGCATAGGCAACCTCGGCCCTCCAGATGTTTTGGGACTACAACTCCCATCATCCCTGATCACTGGTCCTGTTAGCTAGGGATGATGGGAGTTGTGGTCCCAAAACATCTGGAGGGCCGAGTTTGCCCATGCCTGGTTTAGATGGCTCTAAAGTTGTTTACCATTAATTGTTTAATAAATCAAAACATTAGTCAAAAAGGGCTTGTGCAGTATCACCAACAGTAAAAATTCACAACACATTATCCCTAACAATGCATTTGACCTTTGAGATCAAACTCCAATATGTATTAAGCTACTAAAAGCTCTGTTAATGCATTAACTGCTAGTGTAGGATCAAAACATTGGGCATGTGTTTTAATTCTGAAATTGATTACAATGGCCTTTTAAAAAAATCTCACTACTGTATGTACCCTATAAGGCTATTTTGGTTAAAGCCTGCCAAAAACTTCAGTTCATTTGGACAAAACACTTAGTGGGCCGTGGACTAAAACCTTAAGAGAACTTCTTAGCATTAGGCTTCCAAAATTAATGGGCTTAGATGCTAACAAAGCTCCAACCAGCGGGAGCATCCTGTGAGAAGAGTTCCACTCATAGGACTTCCCTACCAACAGAAGGGCAAAGAGATGCGGCTCCCTGCAGTCTTTGATTTATAGCCACTAGGCTCCTCAAAGATCTTCTTCAGAGTATCAGGGGACTCTCTAGAGCTGCAGTGTGAAGTTTCAACCTTTCTGCCACGCCTGGCATCGTATCAAACATAAGGTGCAATAAACTGGATGTGGTTTGCCCCAAACGGCCCGGTGGGCCAATCTTCATGACTTGTTGAGCCTAATTAGACCAACGGGTCAAATATTGCTCAGTTCTTGCTTATAATTTACATTTAACTTTGCTGGAACAGGGAGAACAAATACAGTGGTACCTCGGGTTAAGTACTTAATTCGTTCCAGAGGTCCATTCTTAACCTGAAACTTTTCTTAACCTGAAGCACCACTTTAGCTAATGGGGCCTCCTGCTGCCGCCGCGCCGCCAGAGCATGATTTCTGTTCTCATCCTGAAGCAAAGTTCTTAAGCCGGGGTACTATTTCTGGGTTAGCGGAGTCTGTAACCTGAAGCGTATGTAACCTGAAGCGTATGTAACCCGAGGTATCACTGTATTTTGCTTGGTAGAAAAATAAAGGAGCATAAAAGCAGTCACTATAAATCCACCTACCACATCTCTTTTCTTGATGCCTCATCAAACAGTAGTAGACAAAGCAATGCTGCTGCTTCACTCATGACAGCACCATAATCTTGGAATAACAAGCAAACTAAGAACAGAAAAAAAGAATTAAAAATATTTCTCCAAGCAGCATGACCACGGGGTTATACAAATATTCAAGTCTGCTGACGACACAATCCCATGCAGCTCTACTCAGAAGCAAGTCCCATTGTTCAATGAGATTTACTCCCTGTTAAGCGTGCAAAGAATTGCAGCCTTAAAACTACTAATTACAGTAGAACTGCCAAGTTTGGATTTGCTTTTTAAAAGTAATCCATCTCCGAGAAGTACTAGAAATATTAATTCATTATATATAGCTGCAGGCAAAGTAATGAATACATCTTTAAAGTTTTTGGAAAGAAAATGCTAAAACGAAACAGCATTTAGAAATAGCATTTCTCCAAGGGCTGATTACTTATTCAGATGTTTAATCTGAGGTTCACAACAGTGAATCAGCAACCTCAGAACACAGTGAATCAGCTCAAAATTGTTGACAGAGTTTTGGAATTCCAGACCATTAGTAATCGTGGCCAGTGGTCCTGGGGTCAAATAAATCAGGAGGCAGCAATTTATTTATAAGACCAATGGAGTTGAATTCCAGTAATCAAAAACCATTCAATGAGTATGTATATGAGAAACTGGTACTTAAATTACAGTATTCTTTGAAGGAAACAGAGGCTGCAGTCCTAAGGACTAAGGAGCAAGTCCCTTTAAAACAGAATAATTTGTTTCCAAACAAACATGTGTAGCAGGAATGGGGAACCCATAGTTCCAACACTTAGAGGGCTACGGTTCCCTGACAACTGGCTAATGGGGGCTGTAGCCCAACATCTGGAGGTTTCACAAGTTCCCCATCTCTGACGTGTAAGATTGTGCTGTACAACAGAAACAGATTTTAAAATAAAGAAACGGGTCCACGTAACATGATAAATCAATTCTATGTAATTCATTAAAAACTAGTTTAAAAGTAAGCTTTTGGGGCCATCCTAGCCTTAATATCTGAAGCAACAATGTGATGTTGGATATTTAAGCCACTAACTGAATAAATAAAATGCGACACTCCGGTAAAAATCCTACCCTCTTATGGCTTTTGCATTTTCCTCCTTAATGGACCGACAAGGCTATGCGCAGTTTTTAGCTATAATTCTGTAAAGTTACCTCTAAATAACACCAGCAAGACAGATGGCTGGTTGGCCAGGGAGAGACGCTTAGCTGGATCTGCATATGTAAGTTTCCGTAACAGGGTAAGACATGGCAACATCATACACCCCATAACCTGCCAAAGCCAGAAAACGTTTCATTAACAGCAATGCATTATGCCATCCGGCACTTTGCGTACCTTCTCTCTTTTTTCCCAACCCTCTCTGCTTCCCTGGAAACTTAAAAAGAATTCAAAAAGCCTAAATAAGCCCTAATTTTTCACTTTTCTTTTAATATACAGGTCCATTGTCCCAGGCCTAGAGGACCAATGACCATTTTTAAACTCATGCTTGAATATTCAGGTGTAAAGGTATAAATGGAATGGAACGAGTTCACAACATGTCTTTCATCTTTTTCATCCTTAGGGCATTTTCCTCTCTCTGTGACACTCACAAAGGCTAATAAAGATTGAAATTTGAAAGAGATTCAAGACATATATAGAATGCATTGTCTCTTCTTGCTGTGGTGGGGAGTCTGCAACTGGGTCGTGTCTCAGTCACAGGGCAGAAAGCAGACATAACCTGGTTCAGTAGTAACATCTTGGGTGGGATAATTATTACAAGGATGAAGTAAGACTACTCATACCTTTACACTTGTTCCACTCTAAACAAGGAAGTTTGCAAATCTGAATGAATAGAAGCCTCATATATCACTGGTGCAATTAACCCATAATCCTAAACAACGGTTCACATTCATATCCTGGTTCTGATAACTATCTGTGACTTGTGCAAACCACAAAATACTTTCCCATATTTTGAGGAAAAGGGAACCTATGGTTTGTTCAAAATTGCAAGACAAAACTTCAAAAGTTCTCCTTTCACATGCAGAGGGAGGAAAGCACAATGTGGCTAGTGACCACACCAGAAAAACAAAACCTGTTACTGAGACTTTGCAGACTGTTTATGTCTGATTTTTTTTATTAGATTACGTTTAACTGGATTGTATTATGCAGTATTTCATTGTATTTTTGCTGTTTTGTACATGGTTTAGCGCCCAAGGATTACAAACATAGTGTTTCTTCTTCTACTATATGACAAAGCCAAAAATGAACATTCTTCAAAATACTTATTTTCCCTACTATACCTAATCAAAGTCTAAATAGTATTTTTATCAGATAAAAAAAAAATGCCCACCAAGAATATTGAAGGCACAAACCTAGAAAGTTATTTGATAAAACTATTGTGAATTCTTAAATTGCAAGTCTCTTTCCCCAGATTCAGAACTATGGTCATTGGTTATTTTTTGTTGTTACATACAGACTGATGATAACAGGTTTAAAGAACAGGAAGTTGAAAGATATCTTCCACTGAATTGCATGTGCTTAATCACTATGTTAAGGTAACAGCCAAATAACTCAATTAGTTTTGCTCATCAAGTGGAAATACTAAAGTGGGGTGTTCAATTGCCTATTTTTACAACTGAATTTTTAAAGTATCTAATTCCTATATGAAATATTTTTTATCAAACATACAGTAATTTGAGATGGAAAGAGGAGGCTGAAAAAAGTCACATCCTGTTGTTATTCTGTTTTACCTTGCCATCCTGGTCAACACATTCAGCAAAGTAGGAAAGTATTTTGTCTATGATACCCATCTTTTTGATGATTTCATGCATTTTAGAATCTAGAAAGGGGAGTAAGACAGAAATTAGCAGGCGTCAAATGCTGGGTACATGTATTATACACATGTACTAATAATTTAGCACCGTATTTTGAAGACACTTGTGAGTTGCCATATTTCAAAAAGTAAAACCCAGGACACCCTGAAAGCATGCCTCTTCCCTGCAATCATTAAGCTAGAATTGGCTGTTATGATAACCATATGATTCCACTGAAAACAGAAGCCTTGCCTCTACTGCTATTACTCCCTGCCTCTAGTTTACATCACAGTTGCCAACTTTTGGGGATCCAGCAGCACATTTGCAAACTGTGTGAACACCAAACAACTACTGCAACCAAGGACATCACTGCAACCTAGTCTACTGCCCACAACAGTCTCATTTTGGTGGGGGAGGGGACCCGTGGGTGCCATGTTGGAAGACCCTGCTCTGGACCACGCAAAATGTACCGCATCATCATTATAAGAGGTATCCCATTTCATTAGTTGCTACTCACAGTGAGGGGAACACTCAATTGCAACAAAGCCATGTTCAATGTTTCAGCTCAGCTAGGACCAACCTTGGCTCCTTATCCCTCCCTTCCCACAACTGAGTATTCTATCTGAGCCACAAAAATGTGTGTAAATTTTATAATGATTTAGAATTACACTCTAGCTCCCAGTCCCATGCTGATGCCATTTTACCTCTCTAATAGACTCTTTCAGGTAAGACAAGTACCACTAGTTGAAGGAAAGGCCACCATGGAAATCTCAGCTTTGGCCAGAGGGGCAGAAAGCTACCATTGTTGAATGCCCCACCAGGCGTAACAATCAGAAAGTATGAAAACAGGGTGTTTCAGGGAAGGATGTGGCACCTTTATGCCCATTGCAGTTACATCAGCTCAGAGCTGCCTAGCAAAAAAAGTTACAGGAAACCACCCCACACATCCTCTGCCCTAATCAGTGTGAACTGGCGGGGTTTGGGATGTGGTAGTGGGTCTGCAGCTCCACCCCTCCATAACCTAAGTTACAATTGCTTCCGTAGTGTCTGAATTCGCTTGTTTTCTTGTTCCCTCCACATCCTTTTTGCTATTGTGATAATAATATCAAAATATTGTGATAATGATATCAGTCAATGGGGTGCATATCTATTACAACTGTCAGAATAAATCATTCCTGAAATAATCAATCCAAGTCAAAAGATTACCTCAAAAGGGGTTAGATGGAGTATCCATCCTAAAACATTAGGCCAAAACTACTCCCAAGGAGGAAGTAACTCTGTGAACTGCTGCTGGTAAAAGTATGTAGGAAAAACACTTTACCTTGCATAATTACAGCTAGCTGCTCAGCTGCTGACTTCCTCAAAACTAGATCAATTGTGTCCGAGATAAAGATATCATACAGCTTTTCAACAGTCTCAGCCTAAAAATAAAATGATACACACCATTATCTATCTGGAAAAATATTTGCCTTCGTAATCCCACCAGGGGCAGAGACACCTTCAGCTCAATTGTATAAGGGTTATTTGATCAGATGTTGTTTCATTCTGCCTAATGTTAAGTGGCTAGAGGGGATCGTTTGGGCACAAACACAGTATCAATTTAGTGTATTTTATACTAGGGCAAGGGAACCATTGTTGGACTCCAACTTCTATCGTTCCTGATCAGTGGCTACACTGGTTGGGGCTGACTGCACAGCAATTTGAGGACAAGAGGTCTTACAAAGTCCCTAAAATGTGGTGAACGTTTCGCCTGCCAGATGTTGCTGAACTACAACTCCCATCATCCCTGGACATTGGCCACACTTGCCAGGGCTGATGGAAGTTGTTGCTCAGCAACATCTGGAAGGACAAAGGTTGTCCATACCTGCTCTTAAAGTACTGATGCCAAGGTGTTCGTTTCTGCATATGCCACAAACTCCTTCTTTAGCTTTGCTCTACAGGCAAACTGTACAACGTGGTTGTACGTTTTGCTGTCCTTGGGGCCTCATTGGAAGTAAATTTAGTTACAATGTACAGTAATATAAAAAGTACAAGAATCCCAGGTGGATACCAGTGCCTAATTCTGCACCTGATCTCTTTGCCAGCTGCCAAGAGAAGCTTGATCCTACGCTTGGTCATTAATTAACCATGGTGAAAACAAAAGCTTCTTTCTTGCCTCAACTCACACTGTCTTATCAATAACTATGGACATTCCTTAATAAACTCCTTTACCCCTGCTTTGTACATAGGAAACTTGTCACTGATTCCCAGATACGATCTGGACTAAGGATACTTTGCCCCACTTGGCTCAGAACCTTCACCTTTAAGACCACCCAAACAGACTGAAGTTAGAAACATGGACTAACATATTTCATTGGTTAGCATTACCCGAAGTATCCCTCAACAAGTGCCAGTTGACTGACCTTCCGCCTCAGGAACCCAATTTTTTTAAATTGCTTATACAGTCTCCCTGGATCTCTTCCTCACTCAGGCCGTTCCATGCTTCATTCAGTCTGCTCGATCTCTGTAGGACCCCATGACAGCAGATTCTTTCACCCCACAGCTTGTTCTCTCCTCTAACCTGTTCCTTTCCCTCCTTTCCATATCTATCATTTTCCTCTGGATCAGTCACGTCCCTCAGGCCACAGTGACTACCAGGAAACCCATGCTTCTCCTCAACGCTGGCACAGAATATTTCCAACAGCATCTTCAACACTAGAACCCTCTTGCATTGGGGGATACAGCTCCAGTTCAATGCTAGCAATCTCTGTTAAAAGGCTCCTTTGTTCACCTTAAATACTGACTCTCTTGCTGAATCTCCCAGCTTGAGTTCAACAGTCTTTTCCACAATAAGTAAGTTAGGGATGCTTGAAAGGACACTACTCTGTGGTAGTGGGTGCCTCAGGGTTGCCTCGTCTTCAGTCGTAAGATGAAACATCAAGTGTTTGAGCGCCGTGGAACGGACTCTGAGGAAATAAAATGTATGCTTTGAATTTTCCCTAGAAAACATTTCCTGCTCTTCAGTTTATACCCAATGCCCTGAAATTTTAAAGTAGACACATATATGCAGAAATGCTTGGTGTTCAGTCCCCATCCCCTTCTAAATAGGATGCAATGTTTTCAGTACACCTGCTACTTGAACTTCCCCAATATCTTATACCACACTGGGCTGAAGTAGTGTTTGAATATATAAAGAACCAACCAACCAGATGTAAACAAAGAGTCTCTTCAGCTGCTCACTCTACTTCAGTGGCACCTAACTATGTCCCCCTACTTATTTGCTCCTGCGCTTCAGTGTGGTGTAGTGGTTAAGAGCGGTGGACTTGTAATCTGGTGAACCGGGTTTGCGTCCCTGCTCCTCCACATGCAGCTGCTGGGTGACCTTGGGCTAGTCACACTTCTCTGAAGTCTCTCAGCCTCACTCACCTCACAGAGTGTTTATTGTGGGGGAGGAAGGGAAAGGAGATTGTTAGCCGCTTTGAGATAAAGTGGGATATCAAATCCAAAATCATCTTCTTCTTCTTCTTCTTCTTCAATCAAGTGTCTGGAGATCTACGGATAGGCCTAATTTATTTAATTCTGAGCATTTTGATGGTGCTACTTTTCTTTGAGAAAAATTATTGAGTGGCAGCATTGTCCCTTACATTTTTTCCCCCTTTCCTTGCTTAAAGTAGTCCAAATTAAATTTCCATAGAAAAATTACTATTGGGGTGTCCAGTACCACCTGCACTTGAAAGTCAATCTAGTTCATCTAGAATTCTCTGCAAGAAGCAGGTCATAATGAGATGTAATGCCAGTCTTCCTCATACACACACACACAAAAATTGCAGATATACTCACAATGGTTTTTTTGAGAACAGAAGACGCAAGGCAGCTTTAAGTCTTGTAGTTCTGGGGAGAATCCCTTCTTTTTCAGCATTTGTTTCACTCAGTGAGAGGATGCAACTACCCAGAGCGTCTTCTGTGTCTGCATAGCCCTAAGTGTGCATTTAAAAGTTCACATCGGCCATTTAACAGAATAATAAGTCATGCATTGTAATAATTTTCTTGGCAACAGTAAATTCACCCTGAGTAATGGGCAATTTCAAGTTTGTAGGCCAAATTCATTGGATGGGTGGTTGCTCAACACCATCAACACTATATGAACAAGTGCTCCACCAAATTTTCGAGAGGTTCAGTTATAATTTCAGAAGACTGGAAATGTTTCGTTATTTAAAAAGAAAAAGAAAAAAAGCCTTTGTACATTTTTCATACCAGTTCACAACCACTGTTCCCTTGATTGGCTGCTGCATCAGAGGGGAGTATGAAAGGGTATATGGTTCCATTGCCCCCCATCAATCCTGATTTGCCCCACTGTTCTGGCAGTTTCTTTATTTTATTTTATTTTCAATTTTCAAAAGATCACAAACACACACGTTCCAAACTGTTCTGGTAGTTTCACTACACACCAAAGCTGTATGGTAAACCTTTCACCCCAATTTGTATTTCATGAATGAGTGAACATGTATGCTCACATGTTTCTAAAAGTGACCTCTGGTGTTTCGGATCAGCACTACTATTCTCATGGTCATAAAATGGCTGGGATTAATCTCATGAGATAGGAGGAGCGATGATTCTACAGCAAATTGAGCTACCAAGAAACTTCAAGATATACAAGGAAATCTATAACTTGTCCCCCAAGTCAGGATCAATGAGGATTTAAGATGGTTAGGAAGAATAAGGTTCTGAAGAACTATTCAGAAAAATGCTGGATAATCCATTTGAAATTAAGCTTTCCCATTTCGAAATAAGCCTAATGCTACATTGTTCTCCAGCATTCACTCAGAATATCCAATAAACAAGTATATTGATTGCTCCTCCATTCCTTATTTGCCTGGCCGCCATGTTTATAAATATCCATCTTTCCCTATTGTGTAATGTCATTGCTGCTCCTATTGGCAAAGCAATTAAGCTTAGTTCAAGATAAACTGTGCTCCGAGAAGTCGAAATTACCTGAAGAATTGGAACAACAGGATAGAGGGCCTCAATAAACTTGTTCCAGGTCACTGCTGCCATCATCAATCGGCCCTGAAGAAGATACATCAGCATAAAAGTGGCGGCTGAGCACACCTGTTTTAATGAGAGAAGGCAAGGTAGCAGAATAAAGAGTGGTCAAACCAATTTGTTGGTACCATAAAGGGAAATTAGGCTGTGCCTTGGAAGCTTTAACATCAAATAGTTTTGTGCTTTGTTTTAAATCCAACTGTGGTGAAATACTATCATGAGCCTACTGTTATCAAATAGTCTTCAAGTAGAGTGCAAGACTCAGCTGCCTTGTAGCAAGGCATCCACCCAAAAATGGCAAAAAGAGCTTCCGTGCCTTAAGGTTTAGGGCATGTTTTACAACTGGTGGTTGGCTTTGCTTACTTCCCACAGAGCAGACTGACTGCAATGGGGGGATAAATCTCAGCACAATACCTGAACTTTATTCTATCCTTTGAGTACATGTCAACAAACCTGGTACCGAATCTATGGTAAGAAATCTCTGATCTGAACGTTTCTCACATTCAAAATGAAGAACGAGCTTGAAAAGGTATGGAACCATTCCCTGAAGGCTCAGAAACCCAACAGTATGATGGTAGACAATGACTGTGTCTCCTCCCACAACTCAATATATAGAATAACATAGCTGGGTCCCAGATGCATGACAACAAATGTACTTTCCCATACCAGTCTACCTGAGTGCCTAGACCACTTCCACATAGGATGGGCTGCATCTTGTCCACATTTTCAGGTTGAAAATACTGGGTGGTATTCAAGTCAGTTTTACTCAAGAAATTAATTGGGTCAATAGTTTTACTATTGAAATTAATGAATGTAACTAATGTTCATTTATTTTAACGGGTCTACTCAAAGTAAAACTTACTTTAATACCACCCTTTGAAAATTATCTATGACCTGACAGTGCTCTGAACACCTTTACAGACACTAGCAAATACACTAAAACAAAGATATGAGAGATTTTATTCTAGTAATGCCTTGCAAACTTGTCACAACTGTTCCTTTTACTATCAACACACCACCTTATTCTCTATATACAGTAGCTGCCATAATAGAATATTTCCTATGCCTGAAACAACATAGTGCTGCTAGAAGCAGTTGTGTGTTGTTTTTGACATGCAACATAAATCATAAGCTCCAGATAAGGAGTCTTCAAAAGTTCAGAAAGCATGGTTACATACTAGCTTCAGTGAAACATCATATTAGCTTCACTGAAAAACAGCAGGGACAGTTAACACTATGAAGAAAAGGGCCACTTGGCAAGGCCCCATTTCCCAGAATCCAAGTCCCTTGAATGGGAGAAGAGGAGAATTTTGTTATGATGACGAAACTTAGTCACATTAAAAAAAAATACAAGGTCTTCTTCAAATTCCCCACCATTCTTATGACTCAGTTGAAACATTCTGAGGTAAATTCCACTGAATGAAAGAAAAAACTTTGGACGTTTAGAAAGTTCTTTGGTGTATGCAATACCTCTCAACATACTTATTAACTCACAGAGGATAAGATGAAGAAAATATAGTACCTCATGATGGGAATCTTGAAGGCCAAAACTACAGATTTCATAGAGAACTTTGGGATGAAGCAGAAAATGTATTCCATAGCTGACTGAAGAAACAGGTTTAGTGGCATTATGATTTCCTAAACATTCCTAGAAAGATTACATAAAAGACAGCTAAGTATTGTCTTGACAATATTGAAGCCATGCACAAACAGTCAAGCTATTTCCAGCAAGATAATAATGACACCATTAACTAAAATGGATGCTAAGGGCTGGGCTGTTGGCTCTGTTTATCTGCCTTAAGCGAGCAGCTTTTTATATACACCAAATGAGAAGAACTATAATAAAGTATGATTTAGCAGGTGGACAGGGAATAGAGACAAAGAAACCATGTAGACACATCCCTCTCCTCTGTGAAACTCAGAAAAATCTGAACGTGCTCAGGCATAATTCATGCCAAGCAAGCTTAACATCATACAGCAAAACGCTGGGTTTTCAGCCCAACACGACTAAGGCAGCTTTTGAAATGGACTGTTCCTATGAGATTACTAAATGGTAGGGAAGAAAAAGAAATCTTTCTTTAGCTTGGAAGTAAATTGCAAGCCATTTTAAATGCTAACCTTAACAGTTTTGAGGCAGTAGCGATAGGCTTCAGTTCGTATATTCGGCAGAGGATGGGACAACAGATGGAGGAGAACCTTCTGACTCTCTGCCTGCAGCAACGGGCTAGCTTGGGCAGACTTCCAGCTACAAACAGAAATAATTCAATACGAAGAGAAATTAATTGCTCTGAGACATGGGCAGCCAATTCGTTAAGCCTTGGGGTACAGATTCCCCCTAGCCAAGGCACTCGTGAGCTTACAACTAATTCAGTTACTTCCTCATCTTTTGTAGCTGTGTGGTTAATTGTTAGGCTGTCGACTTTGGCCACCTCCACACCATACTTTTAAAGCAGTTATGTTGCTTTAACGGCCCTGGCGTCTCCCAAAGAATCCTAAGAACTGTCATTTCTAAGGGCTCTGGGAACTGTAATGCTGTGAGGGGCATCCTAGTAACTTTCCACCTCAACAACCCATAACAAAAGTAGAGCCTTCAGGATTCCTTGGGTGAAGCCATTACTTTAAATGCATGGTGAGGATGTGACTGATTTCTGAAGAAACATATGCTACAGTGCACTTTCCTGTGTGAATATGAGGACAGTGGTACGGTGTTGGGAGCACAGCTCTGCAACTCTGCCCTACCATACAGGCTGCTACTGCTTTGTACAATTTAAAGGGTACCCTTTAACCAACATTCTTAGGCGGACTACAGGGACGGCGGGATCCTTGAGCAGGAGCCTCCTTCTTCATATTTACTGCTCTGCAAATCATCCTGTGTATCTATGGCACTACGTAAGACAGGACTGCAATCCTATACACACTTAACTAAAAGGACAGGATTGCAATCTTACTTCCAGATAGGAGTGTATAGGATTGTGTTGTAAGCCAGCACTTACTACTGGCTAAATTTATGACAGACAGCGTAACAATTTAAGTATAGCCCCATACTTTTAAAAATAGCCTTGTACTCTTGTCTCCAGCATCATGACATGGGGCTTTCTTGCAAGTTAAGTTGCCATATGCTTACATGTCTGAGCAAATGCTGAGGAATTCCTGAAGTAGAGGGAAGTGCTGATGATATGGGAGACTTTTTAGAGCCTGTTCTACCATCTCCAGTAGATCAAGAAGATTATTTTCTCCCTACGAAAGAGTACATATGAATCACAGAATTTATTTTTTTTATAAAAATACTGAAACAGCTCACTTAAAGGTTAATGAACAAGCATTATCTTTCAAACAAGTAATCATTTGCTAATTACAATGGATGCAACTAGGAATAGTAGCTGTCAAAAATGCAACACGTATACCGAGAACTAGTCTACAGCAGACCCATTAATACCACCATGTAACACACTTAAATAACACAAGACTGAATTTTATTGGCAAGTAGGACCAAGGATAGATCAAGCATGCCTAAGCCTGCCCACGTTGCAGCGTGATTTCACTAAGTCGTACAATCCAAGAGGGGTGTACTATTGAAATACCACGGGGCAATAGATGGTTCTCTCAAAATACCTCCAATAATCTTAGTGCAACTCATTCTATGGCAGGGTGTGTGGCACTACAGGAAGATCATTTATGTCAACACAGCTAAGAGAACTTCTAAGGTTGCTCATGAGTAGCAACGTGATTATTTTTCCACACAGAGGGAACAGTAGAGACAAGGAAGTGCTTTGGATAGCGATGGCAACAAGTAAATAATATAATCTGTAAAACACAACAAACTGACATAGCCATTATTGTCATTATCTTGTTACATCTTAGAAACTAACCCTACTATGAACAGGGCTAGCTCTTGAGATGTAACAAGCATATATAAGATTAAAACAACTTGATGACATTTTTACCCATGCACTAGTCAGGCCAAGCTGTCCTCTACCCCCCAAAAGGACACGTTCTCACACTCCTCGCTACCCAAGGATGAAAAGAACTCAGAATGGTAAAACGTAGACCTTCACCCTCTTGCCCTTATTCTGGAACACTGATGAAATAATTCTTCAACAAAGGCTTTCACCCCATTACACAGTTTACACTGCCAAATCACTGAGGTCTTAGGGAAAGTCACTATTTGTGGTTCCCCATGGTTCGGGTGCATGGCTTGTATCCCAGCAGGAGCTTGGCATTCAGTACCGTGGGCCCAATTTTATGTAACTCCCTTCCAGCTGAGGTAAGACAGGCTCTCTCCCTGCTGGTGGCTACTGAGACTTTTAAAACCTACGTTCTGATTTTATAGTTTTGACTGGAGTGAGGAAGGGTGGATTGCACCGAGTTACTCATACACTGCTTATGAGAGCATTATAATTAAGTGGTATATAAATTGTCAAGAAATTATTATTATTATTATTATTATTTCATTTCATTTACGGGTCGCTTCCCATGACGCATCCTGAGGTGATTTACAATACAATAAAAACACACAGAGCAACTGCATATGTAAGAACAGCCAAAACATTTGCATATATCAAAACAATTTTTAAAAATATATATATATCCAAAAGCTATTTAAAAGGACACCACCACAACATATATGAAAATCAACTGGAATAAAATTCCCCACTTGGATCACTGAATTCAATGTTTCCTACCTCCTTGTGGACTTCCGCCATAAAGTTACAGGTACACTCAACAGAATAGGCAGCCTCTGCAGCTTGTTTATAGATGCTGTAGTTTTCTGAATTCATTTGTTCCAAATAAGCTATGACAGAGTCATGAATACTTGGATATTCCAAGCAGAAAGGCATGTCCACGGAAAGGTCAAATAAAGCCGCTAGTAAACTCTCTGGTAAAACACTGTCAGCCTTAAGAAAGGGAGGACAGAACAGACTAAGAGTCTATTTGCAAATAAGTACAAAAATTAGGTATTATTCTTATTATGTTATTTATTGACCATTTGTAAATATTTTTTAACAAAAACAATTCCCTCAAAAAAAAAAAAAGAACATTTATCCGCAGGTGTGCTAAGCTAACGTTTTTATTCAAAGCGATGTGTGTGGTCATGAGGTGAAACCTATAGAATTTGAGCTAAACAACAATGCCGAAAAGTGATCAACTGGCCAAGGCAAAATCCTATATGAGGTTACAGTTGCAATCTCCGAGTTAGATAAGGCTGTGTATTTTGAGTTCAAAATGCACTGCACAGGGAACAACCCCTAAAACCATACAGAAACTGCACAAAATTTGGCAGCCCATCTCTTAATGACAGAAGTTCACCAATATAACACATGGCACTATCAGTGAGCTTCTAAGAAGAATTTAAGGTTTTTCAAATTCTGGACCTAGCATGCATTACTCCACCTCCTTTATTACTTCTCTTCAGGTCATTAATCTGAGGATATCAGTTTCCACACATTCTGGTGTAGCAGGAACTGTTAAGTGATGGTATCCTAAGTACTGAACTTCCCCTCTAAAAAGGGGAGAGTGAACACACACTAGTTCCGAACAAGACCTTTCTTACTTCAAAAAAAATTATTGCAGAACCTCTGGTATACATGTTGTAGCATTGCCTTCCAGATGTTTTAGACTACAGCTCCCATGATCCCTGAGGATCAACAGTAATCACAGTCCACCAGATCTGAGGGCACCACATTGGCTATCTACTCCACCCACAAGTTACCTATTTTAGAAAGTACAGTGGTACCTCTAGTTATGAACTTAATTCATTCCGAAGGTCCGTTTTTAACCTGAAACTGTTCTTCACTAGAGGCGTGCTTTCGCTAATGGGGACTTTTGCTGCGTTCTCATCCTCGGGCAAAGTTCTCAACTCGAGGTGACTCTTCCAGGTTAGCGGAGTTTGTAACCTGAAGCGTTTGTAATGTGAGGCGTTTGTAATTTGAGGTACCACTTTAATGGCTATGACAGCTAAAGCCTCTGAACCAGCGAATAGCTGTTTAGGGTGGGACATACAGCACCTGAATTTACAGCAGCTGGATCCACACAGTGTTCAGCCAGCATCTTTGCTGTGCTTTTGCAGCTACAGCTATGCATTTATTGCCTTAGTGGTCAAGAAGCAACAAAATTAAAAGAGAAGGCCTGCCCCATTCAGGATGGGTGTAAATAGAACTAAGGCCTGCTTCACATGATATTTTAAGTACATAAAAATTATCTCTGTGCAGGATACATACTGTGTGCATCAACCCTAAAGCACATCTGGATTAACTGGGATGTAGGCTGAGCTACGTTATTTTCTTTAACCACCAGATGGCAGACAGCACACCTAATCCACATTTTAAGATTTACTGTTCCTTTATAATGCTCCAACACCAAATACTTTAAGACGCAGCGGGGTGCTAATGTTTTATCCCAGCTTCATGAATGCATAATCTGCATGAACAGCACAGTCTTTTGATAGTTAACCAATGTAATAAGGATCCCCCCCCCCAAAAAAACTGAACTCTTCAGTCACCTCTCTGTACTGAATAAAATCACTAAGCACCTGCTGATACCATGTCAAAAAAACCCACACATAAAACAATAGTATCAGCTAATTATTGGCCTAAATGCTTTCAGGAACTAGGGAGAACATATTATTTGGTTATCGCTAATGAAATTTTACCTATTGATATGATCAAACTTAAACCACCTGCTTCCAGGAATGCATTTTAACCTTTTAAAATTAATCTTGTCTACAAGGAAATATTTATGGAGCACATTTTCCACTTTTTTCAAATACAGGCAAACACACACACATACAAATTATCAGATGTCTGTTACTGACTGTAGCAGACTGGACACTTGTCATTAGGGAATAAAGCAAGAATTAAAGTTTAAATTAGATGCTTTCACTTTTTGCCCCAAGTGAAGTTATAGTGCATATCACTCAAAAGAATAACTATACCACATTCCGCACTGATTTTACTGATTTTCATAATATGTATTGTGTATTTGTAATAGATCTTTATTTAATCTGAAGGACCATATAAATCTTGAAAAGTACTTTCTACCCAAGTAAGCTTTTTTTTTATAAGTAGTCTTTCAAGTAGGGAAGAGTCTCACCTTTTCCACAGGGATAAGTGAATGCAGTAGTCGAATGGTGAAAAGTGAAACACTAACATACGCCATTCTGTGGTGGATGATCACAAGCTCAGGCTGCTCTGAACTTGCATTATTTTTGTGGTAGGACATGGTTTCACCCAGGGTATCTAGGACTCCAAGCAGTTTTTCCTTCTGCAAATTAAAAGGAAGTTCATCAAGTTCAATATTTATGAAAAGTATATGACAGGGATGTACTCAGTCATTACAGGAGATACTCTTAGAACAAGATAAACGACATCCAGTGAATTTCACACATGTGCTCTCATCTTTTTAAAGACTTTTTCAGCTTGTCCTCATGCTGTAAGATGGTTCCCTATAGCTCTTTAGAAATACGGTATAAAGTTATTTTAGTCTCCTCAATTGTTACAATTTATTGGAGAAGTCTGTTGCACAAAGGGATGTGGTACCTCATGGGGGGGGAATGGGAGGAATCCTGTGTCTACTCTCCCCCAAGGACTTCTCCTCCCTCCCCCCCAAAAAAATCTGTTTCTGCTGCCTTCAGTTTTCCACAAAATTTCCATTTTTTCTTGCATGGTTTCAAAATGTTCTGAAATTTTGTGTCACTGCTGCCTCCACGTAACTTTTTCTGGAAAAGTAAGACCTGCTATAGCAGAGCTCCCTCAGGGGTGGCACCCCCGCTGTGAAAATTCCTTCTTTCCATAAAAGTCCAGCAAGCCCCTATGTTATATGCTTCTCAAAAACAGGTTTATATGTTTGATTCAAGCAGAGCATTCTTACACAGATTAATTGATGAATTTCTGCTTTAAGAATGTTCAGCTATTTTGGACTTCTAAGGATTTGTCAAATTATTATATTACTAGCCAAAATGGGGGGGGGGGGCGTTATAGCTTCTTAAAAACATATGCATATGCGGCCCATTCTAAATTCTAGACATAAAATGGATTAGAAACCGATATAAAGGAAATGGAGGTTTCTAAGCCATTTCTACAAAGGGAGACTCACAAATCCAAGACACAGATATCAGAGATACTCACAAGTTCCAGCCCAAAGAGACTGTTGTCTTCCCAAACATCTTCAGACACGGCATCAGAAATAAGCAGCAGGTCCTCAGCCAGACACTCCAGAACATGCATGGTCACTTTCTTACTACCTGAGAATTTACACAGGTAAAGGTAAGGTATCAGAGAAGGCTATTACAGTAAGGAATTTCTATTAATTAATTTGGTTATTGAGATCCACTACAATCTGGGTTAAGACTCAGTTTCAGAACTGAATTAGCCATGAAAACCCTGATGGATAGCCTATATAACGCAAGAGACAGGAGAGCGTCACCCTGTTACTTCTGCTTGCTCTCTCCACAGGTTTTGATACTATTGACCATGGTGTCCTCCTGGAACAACTCAGTGCGATGGGCATCAGAAGCACCATATTATCTTCTGAGCTTTAGGGCTATGTTCAGCACTGGACTGAGAGAGTAGCACACCTCAGCCTTCTGGCACTTGTAGTCCATGCTATATCATTGTTAAAACATCTGCACTTGGTTGCCCATCTACTGAGCCAGGTTCAAGGTACTTATATTAATCTACAAAGCCCTGAACAACTTAGGTCTAAGGTACCTTAAGCACCACCTAAACCCTTATATCCCAGCTTGATCATTGTGACCATCCACCAGATGTTGGTTGTCCCCCAAGTTGGGAAAGGTCATTTGACATCAGCCCGAAATACACCATTTAGTGTCATCGACCCAGTCTTATGGAATACTCTGCCAATAGAGATACAGCAGGCACCTCCTGTTTCGACCTTTTGTTCCCTGCTGAAAACTTTTCCTGCTACTTGCTTAGCAAACTCACTTAGTGACCTTGGTGAAGTCACTCGCTCTTGTCTGGCATTTATTTGGTTATAGTGGAAAGATCACTCAACTAGATGGAGTTGCTCAAAGCTATAAAATGAGTGTAAAGCAGAGGTGAGGTCGGAAGCAAACACAGAAATTGATTTCAAAAGAAGTTTGCTTTCATGATGGCTGCTGGACACATTAATAAAATTTAAGTTGCTCAGATTCCTAGCAAGAGCCCACAGAATGCACAGAGATTCACAGCAGGTAAATATGTTCAAAAGCCTTCTGCCAAGTATCCTCGTTTCATGCATAAAAATTATGTGCGCATATATATATATATATATATATATATATATATATATGTATCTTAACATTTTGAATGAATAGAAGCTTCAGCTATAGAATACCTGGCCTATTATAAGCCCAGAATTCCTTTTTAAAAAAGAATTACCCGTTCTTAGAAGAGGCACAGCATATTCCAAAACGGCTACACAGAACTGAGGAAGGCTAAGCTGTTGGAACTGTAACTCTAAAGTATCCTCATTCTCCAGTTCTGGCAGGTCAGTATGGCCCATATCCAAAGGTGAGTGAACTCTTGAATTCGCATTAGCATGAGAACTGCTTCCACTGCAAAAAGCAAACAAACAACCTTATTGATACACAATACAAATTATCCTACTATTTGCAAGTAGCAAAAAGCGAACTGCATAGGAAATGTTGCGTGTCAAATGCTGTAACTGGAGGACCACTTTTGGATGTCTGGTGGCACTTTCTTCTACCTTCTCAATCCACACCTCAAACCCAACATACCAGTGGTGTAGTCTTCTCAATGCACCACTGTGATGCACGACATAGGCAGAGTGTTCCTTTTACTCAGCTCCTCTCACTTTTGGTGAAAAACCTTGCCAAAGTTGCTTCTATAATCACTGCATAAATTGGGTGGAAATTACCAGAAAACTAGGCCAAGCTATCACAATACTGCAGCCTTCAGATAGAAGAGGTTGAATACAAGAAGCCGAAGGTACAACCACAAGGCTATTTTTAATAGTAAGCTAACAAGATGGCACTGCATCTCTTTGCTGATTTACAGAGTCTGGTAAGTATTACTTTTTTGGAACAGGAGTACAGTGAACATTTATTCTTCATATTTAAAAAGAAACACCGCAATTCCAAATACTACATTTTGCATACTGTCTGCCAAGGTAATTTGGGACATTAAGAGATGCGTTGCTTCTCGACTAAAGGTAGTGATTAACGAGCCAGTCATCAAGTCTCTGAAAAGAGACATGTTTTCTTCTACCTGCTTATTAGCTCTGCAGTTATTTTCGTTCTTGATGAAGACCTGCTTCACACAGGAGCACTGAGCACCCTCCAGGTGAATTAGCAGCTATCAGTTACAAGACTCCAGCTGCTTTGGGAAGCCCATGCCAGTTGGCATTCATTCATTCACAATAGCAGTAAGCAAAAAGAAATGCACTGAATTACGTGGTTCATTCAGCATGCATGACCCTCAACCTATTATTGCGTTAACCCTGCATGTATGGGGATCTTAACGTGGTTTTCTCAATCAGTTCTAAGAAGATGGCTCTATATCTGCACCCCTTTGCCTATGCACTGCTGTCCCATACAGGAAGTCATGGTCAGTGCTTACAGTGCAGTCCAACATTTGTAAAGATTTCTAGACAGGAATAATAGAATTTAAAGTTTCAAGCTTGGTTCTATAACGCATGAGGCTAGTAACACACATTTAAAGTACAGAAGCTCCAATCTTTAATTTGAAACAAACAAACAAACAGAGGCTACCGACTGAAATAGGATAACAAGTATATGGTATACAACAAAAATGTTACTGGCCAACCTTGAAGATACTGCATCCCAGTCTTGACCATCACCTCTGGGACGCTGACCTGTACGTCCTATCACGGAAGGTCGAGGACTACTACTTCCAGGGGATGCATTCTGAGAATGAACGGATCTTCTAGCATCATGGCCATAAGACACTGAGGAATTCTGGGAAATGGTACCTTATATGACATTAATGACAATCAGGCTTTTGTGTGCAGCAAGCACGTAACAAATAAGATGGACAACACTTCAAGAAATTTACAATGTTTTCTATCCAGTAGAATACAATTGAATATAAGCCAGGATTTAGGTCAATGCACTTCAGACCAACACTGGAAAGACTGCTATTTTTGCTACTAAAAATTTATCTAGAATAATTCTTATTTTGGTAGGTTTCCTTCCACTATATATTTTTTTAAGCAATGGAAATGTTTTTTAAAAAACTTGTAAAAAGACTTGCTTTAATGAATTATGCTGTGAACTTTGATCAAATATTTGTCTTCAGATGCATTCCTTCTATATTCAAGCTTACTTAGTGAACCTAAAAACTTGTAAGGCAGAGACAGGAGGCACAATCATGCGATAGCTTGAGCTGTGGATCTGCCAATTTACACATCAACAGCTATATTAACATCCTATGTGAGGCAAGCAGAACCAAACTAATTATCTTTGCACTATTTGCCTCAACAACTCTCTATTCTCTGTTGCATCTTTGTGCCAGTGCAACTGTGTATCAACACTAGTTGGATACACTATCTCTTGGGAGTCTAAATCTCTTACCAACTTCCTGTCAGTAAATACTTTGATTCCCAGAAAACACACTGTTGTTTCAAGCAAAACTCAGGTAAATATGAAAAATATCTAAGGAGGAACAGGCTTCCTAGCTGCAGGAAGCATAAATAATATCGGAGAGGGGTTATGGTTTTGTTTGTTATTACGTTTCGTATTTTTGTATTTTTATACTGTAACCACCCTGTGATCCTCAGATGAAGGGAGGAATATAAATTTAATAAATAATAATAAAATATGCAAGGCAAGTCTAAATCCTGACCACCTGTGTTTTCTCTTCCTTATGTTCACCCCACCTGGTATTAGCAATGTGGACTGAATAGCAGTCTCCAGCAAACAGATAAATGAAGCATGTTATAGATTGGTATAGTTGGATACCAGTAAACATTCATCTACATATATTGTTTGGGTCAGCGTAAGATAATGGAATCATCTGATATCTCAACTTGTTTATTGCCATGTTTTCTCACCACCACCACATCTGATTTATTGTTACAATGATATAAGTCAGAAATGTATTGCACTATGTCTCTCAATACTTGGAAGATAAAAACATGAAAACAATAACACACACACAAAAGAAGTGTGCAACATTGTGGTAGAAGAAACCTGAGTGGCATCTAATGGTAACTTAACTGCTTTATGAGATGTATCCGTATGATACATTTGGAGGAAGTATGGGGTTAAAAATGCAAACAAACAAACAAGAATGCAATTATATATACAATTTTTACTATAACTATAAATTATTTAATGGATAGAGGGGGAGAGAGAAACAAAGTATCTGGCCAATGTCTAATCAAGAGTCAATTTATCCTGATTTAGCTATATCTTTTTGTTGCCTATCCTTTTCTGACCAAGTAGGGATTTTTAGTCCAGTCTGAATCTGTGCTGAACTGTGCTGAAGTTGGCATTCTTTTAATATGTGTTTTTATTGTTGATTTGTTTATTATTCAATTGTTTCAGGAAACTTTATGGGAAGCAATTCATCAATGAAATGAAAGAGAGAGGGCGGGGGGGAGAAAGATACAAACCAGTTTCACTTGAGACAAAACTTGGATCTCTATGGAAGTTCAGTCTGTTTCTTAAAAAGGTACATAATTGCTGCAGACATAAGACAGCTTGTAAGGCTAAACGGTGTTGTCCATCTCTTCCGAAAGCCAATGTTGTTAGCGACAGAAGACTCTGAGGTAAACGAAAGTCACCCATTATTAGAACTTAGGCCTAAACATATATGCAAGCAAGCAAACCAAAAATCGCTAACACTTCTAAATGAAATATTTTAGTTAAAAGCATTTCTAACCTGAACAATCTTTGGTCTCTGAAGAAATATCTCAGCAGGAAAGTCTTGCATGATGACATCTTGTAGAAGCTCACAGGTATTCCAAATTAAACTGTGATTTTTGCTTCTCAGTGAGCTGTAAAGTACATTTGAACTTTTACTGCGAACTTGCTTTGCAAAGCTATAGTAATCAACTCTTTATACTCCATCAGTGGCATAATTTTTTATCTGATTTGATTATATTCCACCCTATCACCAAGGCTCAAGGAAACTTATTTTTTAAAACAACACACATACACGCTGGGTGGGTGGGCAGGGAGGAGACGAGGCAAACAGGTAGCGCTTTCATTAATAATTCCGTGCATTGCTCCAGAACAAAAGAAAACTGCCGCAGTTCTTATAGAACTTGCACTTTAAAGAAGAAACGTAGCAACTTTTATTCCCTTTCACAGAACACAACAAAGCTACAATTAATTTCACATACCTTTCACTTGATGAAAGAACATGTCTATCTGTCGTGGTCAGGGATAACCATGGAAATGTAGAAAATTTCAAGGATTTCACGCCGTGTTTCACTGAGGATGGAAGAAAGGCTATTTTTACTGTGTGCCATATACTGAAACACAGAGCAAACAGGTATCATTCAGTGTTTCCATTGTAGAAACTGATAAGCACTCCTATAGCGGATGACTCTTATCTCGTTTCCCCATCCCAATATACCTTTTTCATTGTTTGAAACCTACAATGCCCAACACTAATTTTCAAAGGCTTAAATGGTAAGAAATATGAGCTAGAGTTTTGTTTGTTTTGCTTTGCCCTAGAGCCATTTTCTAAATGTAAACTAGACGGGGGGAAGCTAGGGATGCAATCTAAAAGATTATTAACAGAAGCCTATCAGAAAAGACAAACTGGTACATTTTTGACAAAACATTTTGATCCAAGGTTATATTTTTGAAAAAGAAGAAGACTGTAGCTGTTCGTTCCACCTGCCAATTAGGGCTGGTATCCAAGCACTTCCTTTTGATTGCATAAAATTCCAACACTGGTATAAAACTTACTTCTAAGTTGTTAACAAGTTCAATAGTTGAAGATCCCCTCCTCCTGGATTAACTCTTTCTCGGGTGTTAGTTTTTCTGCCTCCCCCCGCCCCATGCCATCTATCTTTTCTTATACACCTGATTCTCAATCCGTTGCCCAGGGGCATAGCTAGCTGCTCTGGCACCTGAAGTAGCAGGGATGGGGCAAGCTGCCCACGGGGGCATGGCAGAGATCCGCCCATGGGGGCGGCGTGGCGAGCTGCCCACAGAGTCCGCCTGGCAGGTGCAAGCTGCACTCTGCCATTTTGGGCAGCGCAGGGCCCAGAGCCACTGCATCACTCCCAAAAGAGACGTGTGGTTCGGGCGCGCTGCAGGCCAGGCCCCGCAGTAAGTGCCCCCACCCCGCGGTGTGCCATTTTGTCACCCCCTCAGGGAAGACACCTGGGTCAGACCGCACCCCCCACACTCCCCTTTCTACGCCCCTGCCACTGCCTAGTCTGTACCTTTCTTTCACTTACATTGGCTCTGGGATCCTCTCCCTTAAGCTCCCCTACATTAAGGATCTTTTCCCTATCTTCATCCTGCTGCATAGGCAAGGCTAGGCCTATCTTTCCTCACCATGTGAGGTTTTAATCATAGCCAGACTGACAATTTGCCAAGGAATCAGGTTCCTTCCTTTTATCAATTGTCAACTGGCAACAGCTATGCTATTAGTATGGACAGGAGAAATCCTTGCACCCAAACTTCCTTATTTTCTCTTCCAATCTACTTTTCTTGTGTGTTTTGTCTTTTAGATGGGAAGCCAAGGACAGAACTTTTTTTTTTAATGGCTCTATAAGGTGCTCTGGGAGCCTGCTGGAAAAAACCTTAAAAGTCTCAAAAAATAAATACATATTTTCCCCTTCCTTCACCTAACTGAAAACTTTGTTCCCCCATTTGCTCTGAATGTTCATGAACATTCCATGACATATCAGCTCATCTAACTGGTGTCCAAGGCTTCCACCACCATAACCACAATACAGGTGGGTTTATCTATTTAAAAAACACCAGTAAAACAAAAAAGGAACAATCTTTAAACAAGGTTGAAACTTCATTCCTTCTCAATGGTGTTCAACCACACTAACAAATCTAGAAAACTGTCCAACACATGTTTACTTCATTTTTATAAAGTTACCTACCAGATAGCTGTTTTGGTGGTATTCCCATCTCTTGCAAATTATTTCCCCCTTGATCAAAGTATCCAGCATTAGCTTCTTCTGACAATACTTAAAAATATAAAACCATAGTAAGTAGCAGCATTAACTGTATTAAATAGCTTCATTTTTTTTAACTCTATGAATCATATACAGTCATTTTTCCTTTTTAAAAGTAGATCTGTTTCCTTCCAGTATTTTCATTTTTGAAGATTTATACTTTCAAATCGCCAATTCTCTCTCTGAAAATCACTGAAGTCACAAACACAGATACCATTAACAAAGGTTTAGCATCTGGGCTAAATAACTTGATATTTTCAATACAAGGCCCACACTTTGCAAAATAAAAATAAAAATGGTGTATAAAGGTGTAACTTACCTATATTAGTCACTGCTGGCAAGGGCGTTTGATAAGACACTTCCTGATAATCAGCAGAGATTTCTGAAGGCAACACAAATAGCCCATCCAAAATCCCATCAATCACAGCCTGTAGGTTTGGATCCACATTTGGACGAAGTTGAGTGAAAAACTCCACTGCCCCAATCCCAACCAATTGTTCCACAGCAGACGGGTGCTAAAATTAGAAAGATGATACGAAGTTAAAAAAACGAAATGGCAAATTCTCCAAGCTTTTATTTATTCAAATGTTGCTTGCAGGAAAAAGCCCATCCAAGGCAGCATACAAAAGAGAATTAGTTTCATATGCTTCTAACTCCTGGACCCAGGATGGATTCAAAATTCTGGAATGGCCAGGCTAGCTTGCTGGTGAGGTGATGGCCTAGGTACAGGTTGTTAAGCTAACAAAGCAAATGGTTCCATGTTAGAGAGCAAATGGGTGGGGGGCCACACCCTTAAATCGCTGGTAGGTAGAAAGACAAAGGCCAGAGTTGAGAGTTGAGTTGTGTATGTGAGCTAGAAGGTAGAAGCAAGTGTGTAGGCTGGGCAGCTGAAAGACAGAGCCACGCTTGATTTCTGTTGGAATCCAAGGCTATAGCTATGGGAGAAGCAAGAACCTCTTGGAGTGTATATATGTGTAAATAAATCATATATCATAAAGACACCACAGTCTCTGCTGTTCCTCATTCCAAAGGAAACACAAACACTGGGTAAGGGCCTTGAACCCCTGGAATCTTGCATTGCTCAGAGATTGGGGTGGTGTGCAAAAATCATTTAGCTTCATATGCATAGCAGAGGATCTCAGAAGGAGCTGTATTTAGAAGATAACCATGTACTGAGCATCTCATTCAAGTCACCTTTCAAAAGAAATACATCATGGCATATCATTTTGCTTTCCAATGTTCTTTTAATGCCAAAGCAGCATTACATTAAGTGGGGTAACATGTAAGTACTTTTCAGCATGGATATGGACTGTAGATGGTTTACCATTTTCAAGAACATATAACAAAACAGATAACTGTACCTTCACCAGGTTGCTCACTAAATTCAGAACCTCTTCTTTCATTGGTACTACAGGAAAGTTGAACCACTCCAGAAGACTGAGAAACAGGAGTTTTTCTTGAGCCAAGTCATCATATGTAACCAAGTTGTGATCCAATTTACACAAAATATTTCTAAGAGCACGTTCTCTAATTTCAGCCAGCTGATGACCTGTTCATAAAAATGAAATGAAAATGGAAGAAGTTTCAGAAGTTCAGTTAATACTTTAAATCAGATGCACTGGTTATTCCCAGTAAGTTCAGTTCAAAAACCAGCTTCCCAAGTCTTTACTCCCAATACGTGTTAAGAAGGTGGTGGACTCTCCTCTCCTTCATGGGAGGTTTTAAAGCAGAGGTTAGATGGTCATTTGTCAGGGATTCTTTAGTTGTGGTTCCTGCAGTGCATGGGGCAAGACCCTTGGGATTACTTCCAACTCTACAATTCTATGATTCTAAGACTTTAAACCTTTAAACAAATAAATCAAGAGAGGCAAAAACATTTGGTAATGGTACTACACGGAAAATTTCAGTTGATCCTCTACTCCGGACCACAAGACATACATATCTGCTCTTCATTTCCATACCTCTGTCACTCACATACTGTTTCCCACTTCCCCCACCCCACCCCACCCCATAAACCATTTTTTATCTTTCTTCATGAGCAACAGCAACTTGATTTGACCTTAAAAGCTGCCACTCAGAAACTAATCTTTTAACAAAACAAAAAATAAAACCAATAGGTTTACATATGCCTAACTCTGCATCAAACTGGAATATATAAGCATCATGGATCTAATTCAGAAAACTTTTAGATGGTAAAACTATAGGTGAAGACCAGCAGCATAGTGTCAGTTGTAGGCCACTGGGGTCGGCGCACTCTGGGTGGCGGGCATCAGCCTAGCCCTCTCTGCTGAAGTGACCCCACCTCCACCAAAGCAAAGCAGGGCATGCTGAACCACCTGCACAGCCATGCAGAGAGGAGCCCAGCTGGCCAATGCAGCCATTGGTGGGCAGAGAGGAGCATCAGGCCACACTGGGGGTGCCTGGTTTGCCCCAGCCCTCCTGGCACTCCCCACACTATCAACCCTGGCGATCAATGGGGTGATAGATGTCGCAGCCAGATCGCCCTCACACTATGACCCTCGTGAAGACTTTGATTATAAAACTAAACACACTTCCTACAGTGCCCTATTTACTTCAATGGTAAAAATGCCTAACGAGAAGCAGGATCGAGCTGGGTATTCCCTAATCAGAGTCGCTGGGATGGGATAAAAATAATAAAATTGTTGTTGCTGTTGTTAGGTTTGTTTTCAAACACAACTCAATAAGCACAGTTATGTAATGATCTTTTGCTTACTGCATCACGCTGTGCAAACTCCTGTACACAATTTGATTTAACTCAAGTCATCGCATGGGGATGAGGCAAGAAGAGAAAGCTAGTGAGCATTCATTTAAATGAACAGCACAGAAAATACGCTCATCACATTTACAGATGACACCAAACTGGGAGGGGTAGCCACAGAAGACAGAATTGGGATTCAAGAAGACCTTAACAGATTGGAGAACTGGGCCAAAACTAACAAAAGGATTTTCAATAGGGACAAATGTCAGGCTCTGCACTTTGGCAGGAATAACCAGCTGCACAAATATAAAGATGAGGGACACCTGGCTTCCCAGCAGCACATGTGAAAAGGATCTAAGGGTCTTGGTAGACCACAAGCTTCACATGAGTTAGCAGTGTGATGCAGCAGCAAAAAAAACCCCTAATGCTATTATAAGCTACATCAGCAGATGTATAGTATCCCAATCAAGTAGTACCACTGTATTCTACTTTGGACAGACCACACACAGGGAGAACTGCATAGCATAGCTAGGCACTGCAAGGGGGCTCAACAACTTTGGAGAGGGTTTCGACCCCACTGGAGAACTGCGTCCAGTTCTGGGCACTACAATTTGAGGATATTGAACAGCTGGAACGTGTGCAGAGGACAAGCAAGAGGATCAAGGGTCGCTTGAAGGAACTGGGTATGTTTAGCTTGGAAAAGTGGAGATGCGATAGCTATCTTCAAGTATCTAAAAGGCTGTCACACGAAGTTTGGAGCAAGCTTGTTTTCTCCTGCTCGGCAGGGTAGGACCAGAAGCAACGGATTCAAGTCACCAGAAAGTGGAACAGCCTCCCCACAAGGGGTTGTGGACTCTTCTTCCTTGGGAGGTTTTAAAGCAGAGTTTGGATGGCCACCTGCCAGGGATGCTTTAGTTGAGATTCCTGCATTGCAAGGGGCTGGACTAGACGACCCTCGGGATTCCTTCCAACTCTACAATTCTAATATTCGCTCCTTAGAGAGTGAATTCCGTGTGTGTGTGTATGTATGTGTATATATATAGAGAGAGAGAGAGATTCACTCTCTAAGGAGCGCGCGCAGGAAGGCAGACTCGGACTGCAAGCCCTGCGCGCATTGAGCACGGAAAACAGCAGCTGCGCTCTGGAGGAAAGTTTCCTTCTGCCGCTTATCCCGGCGCCCCTGGAAGCAGCGGCTGCGGCGGCTCCAGGGCGCTTGTCTCCGCTAGCCAGAAAGGGAAGGGGGCTTCCACCACTTACGGAGCTTCCGGACGAAGGGCGACAAGGACAGCTCCGTCGGAGGAGACGACGCGGCGGCGGCGGAACGGGCTGCCATCGCCGCCACCGCCTTCCCTGGGCGGCCCCACATTCAACCACCGCGCCGCAAGCGAGCGCGAACTTGCGAGAGGCGGGGTTGGGGAACGGAGCGGCGGCGGGCCATCTCGCGAGAGCAAGCGGCGAGAACGGTTGCCCGAAAGGAGCCCCTGGGAGCTGTAGTCCGTTCTCCGTCTCCCGTTCCCTCAACGGCGTGCGGGGGTGGCGGAAGTGGAGATTTCTTTCGTCGGCCAGGTTTGCGTTCTCGCGAGCCTTGAGGCGAGGCTTCCGGATGGTGAGGGTTTGCCGTTGCCTGGGAAACAAGCCGCTCAGGCTGCTCGCTCGTTTGCTGGCCCGCCGCCGTTGCTTGAGCGGCGGCTGTGTCCGAGTCCCGCCTCTTCTCCCGCGCGTAGCTCCGGGGCGGAGAGGAAGCTGCGCTTAGCTTCCAGAGGCTGCTGCTGCCTTCCCGTCCCCTGAAAGCGCGACTCCATGTGTGTTTATTTAGACGCCAGTCCTGCTGAGTCCAGTGGGACTTCGGCGCAAAAGTCACGAAGTGTAGACATATTAAAAGGAAAGAGTCGATTCACTGCTCTTACTAAGGCCACGCTCCTAACTCCGCTTACTTGGCAGTTGTGAATTCACTTTTTAATCAGTCAATCTGACAAACCAATAATAATAAATAAATAAGAATGTGCTGTGCACCCCACGATCGAGACCATTCCATTGTAACTATCCAACCTCCCAACATTTCAACGCCTCTTGTGATGGTTTGACCCCTTTCCGTTCTAACAGTGCAAATTCTACAAACACCTTCCATATCTGCTTAAAATCATTTCTCTTGCGTATTCCCCGTCTTACCTTAATGGCACATGTTAATTTATCATTAATAGCTTTATTCCACACCTTTTTATACCATTCTTCCGTTTTATATTCTGCTTGCCCCCTTCCACTTCCTAGCTATCATAATCTGTGCAGCTGTCAATAAATTTGTGAGCAAGTCCTTCACAGCCTGCGAACCTTCCACGCCATTGCAAATTGATAAATATAATAATAATAATAATATTTTTTTATTTATACCCCACCCTCCCCAGCCAAGGCCGGACTCAGGGCGGCTTACAAGCAATAATAAAAACAAGTTGAATGATTACAACTTAAAAACAAAATTAAAATACAACATTAAAATATTGAAACATTAAAATATTAAAATGTAGCCTCATAATGCTACCTCCTATGAATTCACTTCTGAGTAGGCACAGTTAGGACTGTGCTGTGTGTTTAGATTGCACATGCAACCTCCGCAAATGGCTCTGCATTTTACACTGCTGTTTACTTGCTACCATTTTGCCCTGCACTATATAGTCAGCTGTCTGGGGTAACTCAACTCTCTCTGGTCCGTTTGGTGTGTGTGGCTTGCTTAAAAAGCTGACTGACTGCATGTAGTCATGTCATTGAACCAGATATTCCATGTGCAGCTGGATAGCTTAGTTGGTTAGAGAATGGTGCTGTTAACACAAAGGTTGCAGCTGCATATTCCTGCATTGCAGGGGGTTGGACTAGATGATCCTCAGGGTCCCTCCCAACTCTACAATTCTGTTCTGTTTTACAGCCCAAAGCTTCAAGTTACAGACAAATATACAACCACAATCTGCTGGCCTGTGGAAAAGCCGCTTCTCGCAGGGAATGGAAAAGTTACAGGAAGCAGCAATTAATAGACAATATATTCATCACTGTTATTATTTATTTAATTAATTTTTCATGCCGTCCTCAATCCAAGGATAATAGTGCAGTTTACAATATAAAAAACACAAAAATATGTAACATAGTAACAAACAGAAACACTACCCCACCACACAGAGATAGAAAACACTGCAGATTGAAACATCTGGTTCTTGCTGGAAGCAGCTGTTCCAGATTCATAGGAAAGAGGTTACTGAACTGGAACAACATTGTGGTCTGGTATGATATCACGTGGCCAGAAACAAGTTAGCAAATGCTAAGACTGTTGTAATGATCTTCTGTACGATTGTTACCCCAATGTCCAAGACTTCTGTGCTGTTTTGAATAATAATAAAAAAGGTTTATTTGGCTATGTTAGAAGAAGGAAGAACAAGTAGTAAGTCCCTTGCGTGGAGAAGATTGAGAAATGCTTTTGGGTGACAGAGAGAAAGTGAAATTGTTCAACACCTACTTTGCCTCTGTCTTCACCCAAAAGGAAAGCAGTGCCCTACCTGATGACAACAGAATAAAATATGCAAGGAGGGAACTGCAGCTCAAGATAGGAAAAGTGATGGTAAGGAAACACCTAGCTACCTTAAATGAATTTATATTTCCAGGGCCTGACAAGCTGCAATCGAGGGTACTAAAGGAGCTTGCAGGTGTAACATGAGAGCCTCTGTCTATAATCTTTGAGAATACTTGGCAAACAGGTGAGGTCCCAGCAGACTGGAGCTGGGCAAATGTCCCAATCTTCATAAGGGAGTGGGGAGAGAGAGAGAGAGAGAGGGAGAGAGAGAGAGAGAACTACTGATCAGTAAGCCTGACATAAATTCTAAATTCTAGGGCTCTTTATAGACCACAAGCTTTACATGAGTCAACAGTGTGATGCAGCAGCAATGAAAGAAGCAAATGCTATTCTAGGCTGCATCAACAAAAGCAGGGAAGTAATAGACCCGCTCTATTCTGCCTTGGTCAGACCACTTGTCCAGTTCTGGACACCAAAATTTAAGAAGGATACTGACAAGGTGGAATATGTGCAGAGGAGGGCTACTAAGACAATAAAGGGTATGGAAACCAAGCCTTCTAACAAATGGTTTAAGGAGCTGGGTATGCTTAGCCTGGAAAAGAGAAGACAGAGGAGATATGATAGACGTATCTAAAATGCTGTCACATAGAGGATGGAGCAAGCTTGTTTTCTCCTGCTCTGGAGGCTAGGACCCAAACAAATGGATTCAAGTTACAAGAAAGGAGTTTCCAACTGAACACCAGGAGGAACTTTCTGACAGTAAGAGCTGTTTGACAGTGGAACAGACTGCCACGACAGGTGGTAGACTCTCCTGGGAGGTTTTTAAGCAAAGGTTGGATTGCCATCTTGCCTGGATGCTTTAGCTGAGATTCCTGCATTGCAGGGTGTTGTACTAAATGACCCTCGGGATCCCTTCCAACTTTACATTTCTATGATTTGAAGATTTATTTATTTTTTAAGTTTATTGTATTTGGTGACCTGAGATTCTGGGCCAGCTTTCTTCTAAACAGCACCCTCGGTATTTCCACAGAAGATGTGTAAATAGTTTTTATGCCTTTCATTATTATACAGGATAAATAGTAGAAGAGAGGCATTTGTAATGACAGTGAGGATTCTGACCAATGTAGGTTTCAACTTGCATTCCAGCCACTGTTAAAGTAGGCTTCTTTAGCCTTATGTATGAAAAGGCCCTAATAGACTGTTTGAGAAAGTTGTTCAGGAGCAGACATTTCCTTTTACAAGGAACTAAGAAGCACCATTAAATAAAGCAAGAGAAAAGAATATCCAAACTATCCCATAACATTATAATAGGGATCAAATTGTAATAAAGGTAATTGTTCCTCTCATTTCTCCCCCCCCCCCTTGCACGGGTATGCTTCTTCACTTCTTTTCCCTTGTTTCTGACTATCTTCATTTTGATGAGCTTGTTGTGTGCTATGCCCTTTCAGAGTGAGGCTGCAAGCCTACACCAACTTACCTTGGAGTTAGGACCCACTGTACTCAGTGACATGCTATTAGAGTAGACATGCCTAGAATTGTGCAATTAATGCAGTGCTTTTTTCGGGGGGCGCAGGGGAACACATACCCCTAAACATTTTGTGAATCTACGTTTGGCCTCATTGAGGGGCAGCATTTCAATATGAGTAGGAAAATGAGAGTACCCCTAAAAATATTTTTTCAGAAAAAAAGCACTGTATTTGCAATCTTGAACAATCATCTCTCCCTTGAGTCCTTGTTTTCTATAAATAATAGCCAGGGTCCAAAGAAATGTTTATTTCTGTATGGTCAATATGGTTTTTGGTATATTTATTGAACAGTAGCATTCTCTTTATGCTGCATGGCAAACTACTTTTGAATACAAAGTGGATTTCAAAAGTGTGTATGGTGTGCAAAGGGTGTAAAAATTAAAATATCTGGGCTGACCTGGTTTGCATGTAGCAGTAAGTCAAACCACTGCTTACCTCAAATGAACAAACACTCAGGTTCCTGGAGAGAAGACTCTGGCCATTTTGGTCCTTCTCCAGTCTTGCTGCTGTGAGCTAAGCCATGGTTTGACTTAGTGTTGCCTCCGATTCCAGGCTTGTGGTTTACCTTGTTCCAGACAAGCACTGAGCTGTAGCCAAGTTTGTTCTGTGGCTCACCACCACTTTTGGTTTGCCTGGGGCAGATAAACCACAACCCCCAGATTTAGACATAATGCCGAGTCAAATCATGGCTTAGCTCACAACAGTGTGACAGCAGCAGTGTCTGGAGAAACAAAACAGCTACAATCTGTCCAGGGGTCCACACATTTGCTCATTGGTGCTAAACCATGGGTTGGCTTAGCGTTATGAACTGGGCCACTGTCTGGATTGTGGACAATTAAATAAAAGTTTTAGAAAACACAGTTCAGTTTCTGGATAAAAGAATACAAAGGAATAGTAGTGATGTTATGATGAAATCAGTTCAGTGTTACTGTAATAGAAAGTCGTTCCCTTTTCCTGTGCCAACTACGGTTTCAGTCTTTACTTTCAAAACTATTATAGCAGTTGAATATGGGAACGTACACCACATCCATGCAAAGAGAGTGGAAATACTAACATATTAATGTAGTGCAGATTTTAGATAGTAGGGGCTGAGTATTTGTTGACATGAATTTACTGCCCTGTAGCGAAAACAGAAGCTGCAATGGACATTTGTACTAGAAGATAGAACAGAAACCGTCACAGCCCCTTTGTACTTCTTTGTGAGTAATGGCTATTTTATTAGGAGCACTGTAATCACATGTTCTTAAAGCAATGCTCTGTTTGTCAGCTGCCAGTCAGATGATGATTCAACCAGACCCATGGTTGGAAGCCAGATCCAACAGAGAATGCTGGAGCCATAAGACAGCACGAGTCCTGCAATTCCTTTCCCTAATTATCACAGACGAGCTGGTTTTTATTGTTGTTTTATAATCTGCAAATTATAGTTGACTGCCAAAATTACTGCTATAAAAGACAAGGTAAGTCAAGATGCAGAGGCTTATGATGGTAATATAATAGTATCTGCCACTTTAACCATTTGTGGTCTGCAGTATGTGGCTTAGTTTAATATTGACATATGCTATACAGCTCTAGGCCTAGTTAAAAAGTGGCTTAAGACACTTTGGATGCAGTTCTGCACACAGGCTGCATTAAATATTATCAACTTCAATGGGATTTAAACAGACTTCTTATCTTGCTTGCTCTTAATATTTTCTTGAGATTCCACCCTCCTCCAGTTTATCCCTCAACTAAGAATCACTTTCTGAATTAATTGTCTAGAGTTTGTGGCAGCAGCTACCAGTTAGCTTCTAGACTTAATTAGATGTGCTGGATTGACTCAAAGCTATTCATGGCTGGGGATATGTGCATCTTAGTATATTAGGTTGACCGTTTGGATTACCTTTGGGAATGGGGAAACTGGGTGCTACACATGGAGCAGCCCAAATTAACAAAACCTCACAGATGAAGAAACACACAAGCATCTACCTCCTGCAATTATTCATGAGGATTCCACATCCTGTGGAGTCTTATTGGCTACACTGTGGAGTGCTATGGGTGCGGCTCTTTGTTAAGTGTGGACAAACTCTTGCAATAAATAAATAAATTGGCATACAGTGAACCCACAGCTTACAAGGGGGTTATGTCCCGGGGACATGGTCTTACTGTATTTGTGAACCTTCAAACAATGTGAGGACTTGTACCTTCAAAGCTTGGTTTCAGTGTCTTAACATGACATAGCATGACAAATAAATAGTGGGTTGTATACAACACTGCAGCTGCACTCACACTTTCATTGTTTATGCAATGAAATTCACCCCTCCTCTCCTTTGCAGTGCCCCATGAACACTCCAGAGGGTGGAGGGATCCTCTGGGGCAGATTTTTTTGGGTGTGAGGTGAGAGAAGATGGGAAAGTCCTGTTGCATGAGTGGAATTCTGCTTACACAGCATTTGATAAAACACACCAGGGCCAGCCCAAGGCATTTTTGTACCTAAGATAGATCTCAAAATGGCACTTCCCACTCCCTGCCAGGGAAGGAGTGAGGAAAGACCTACGTACATCAGGAACAAGAGGGAAGAAACACTGACATTGGGATTTGCTGCCCCAGTGAAACCTGCCATCTGAGGCAGTTGCCTCACCTTGCCTCAAGGGTGGGCCAGCCCTGCAATCCACAGTTTCACTATGTAACAATCTTGGTAAATTGTTTAGTTTTGTTTACATGTTATAGTAACTGCTGCGGACTCTCATTCCCATTCTTCATGCCAAAACAACAATCATCCCAGAGAACTGAAATAGCATCACTGCAAATGCACTGCATGACTAACAAAGAAGAGTAGTGAACGCTCACAAGTGGCATTGTTTGTTAATTTGTAATGTGGCACTCACATATAATGGAATCTGACCTCTAAGGGTAAGAGGAATTGCCCATATGCTATTCCCAGAACCAGAAACAAAAGATCTACACATAAACTGAGACTGCAGCTAAATGGCTGCTACAAAAAGAACAGCTTGTGCTTTATTTCTTTGTTTATTCGAGGAATCATTTCCCCCAAAACTCAATTACAGTGGACCAACAAAATTATCACAATTGCTTGCTCTCTTATGCAAAATACCCAACTTGCCCCTGCAGGCCAAAACAGGAAAGACTAGATAGATGATAGATAGATAGACAGAGATAGATAGATAGATCGATAGATAGATAGATAGATGTGACATGAAACTCCCTTGTCATACGACACAAACTTGGGTAAAGGGTAAAGATAAACAATCTGTATGTCACCAAGAGAGAACTGAAATCTATCCTGTTTGAAGTGTTTTTATTATGGACTTAGCTCTGTTTGTGTGTGATCTGCACAAAAACAGTTTATATGGGATGATCCTACTACATATGCAAGAGTACAATAATCTTACAAAAGCCCAGTGCCTGTCCCTCTCTCTGCCAAGCTGTGGCAAGAGTGCATGGGATCTCAGGCGCCCACACAGGGTCTGTGTCCCTTTTGAGAATAGAAGACACGGCGGAGGCTGTCATGCTTTAAGAAATAGGGTTTATTCGCCTATTCACACATTCCATCTGCACGAAAGGGTCCAGATCTTACAGTATGGTCCACAGCAGTGCAGGAAGTCTTTCCTTCACCCTCACCAAAATGGATCTACTCTTTTCTTCCTGTTTCTTCTTCCCAGAAGCCCCTTGCCCTCCCCCAGAACAGTTATCCAGGCAACCTTCCAAATCTCCAGTCTCTGGTCACACCTGGGACAAGGAGTTGTTGAAGAACCTCAGTGGCTCTCTACTGTAATGCTAGCAAGCTCTGCCCTTCCCTCAGCCAGCCAGAACTGTTTGTGTAAGGCAGCCCAGGAATCCCATTGCAGCTTATATTCTCCCTTCATATCACAAAGAACCCAAAATCCTAGCATTTATTAATTTCTAGGGTTTACCTCAAATCTCTAACAATACCTTCCACTGCCAGATGATCAACTTGTGTGTGAGAGAACAGCTTCCCTCATGTGCTTGTACAGTAGCTCACTGTTGTCTGCCTATGCATGTCTGGGTCCAGTTTAAGGTGCTTGTGGTTGTTTTTAAAGCTCTAAATGGCTTGTGACACAAATACCTAAAGGAGCACCCTTTCCCATGCCAGCATGCTTGTTGTCTTAAGAACTTCTGAAGAGCTACAGCTCCAAGTACTTCTTTGTTCAAGGCATGCTATGTTTTCACAAGAAAGGGCCCCAACTCTGGAATGCCCTCCCTAAAGTGGTATGTCTGATGCTGATATTGCGTGATGAGGCCCTGGGCCCTGCAGTCCCCTCAGAAATAAACACACAGACACAAATATATTGGGTTAATTGGGATAAATTAGGCCACAACTTTATTGGTTACAGATGTGAGTGGTTTGGCTTAGGCATTTGGATGAAGCCAAACTATATCCTGACTCCTGCCCGTTTGCAGGAAGACTCTGAAGGGTCAACCACCAATAGGGGGAGCCCTATGATATACATCAATTAAGAGCACCCCCAGGGTCACTGATGGGGTTGTGGCATGGTCCTAGCCTACGCCTAGGCTTTGGACACAATCCACACCCTCAGATCCCTTTTACGGGATTCCCTTAACGAGGATAGGCAGGCGGAGGCAACAACTTCCCCTCCCATAAACAAGACTTACCCAGTGCCTAACCTTACAAAGTTGTGACGATTGCTACAAGGTAAGCGAAAACCAAATGGCTGGTGCCAATTTGCCAAGTGGAAAAATTCCTACCTGGTCCCAACAACCAGGAGACCGACATTAGTCCATAGTAAGGCCAAAGTCAAGCAATGCATAAAAAGAGGGTGGGTAGGCTGGGATATCTGACAAGAAGGCAAATGGAGGTCACCCCCCAGCCGTGCCGCAGTTTAAACAGCATTGGCCACGCCCCCTGGCTAACCCAATTGGTCAGCCAGGGGGTGTGACATAGCTGGAAGTCCTAATGACGTAGGCGGCATCCCTCCACCCACTGCTGGGTCACTGGGAGGTCCCAGATGCACGCCCGCAGTGCCACCCCCCCGGAAGGGGAGTGGTCTTACCAGCTTTTGGGAATCTAGTGAAAATCTTCCTATTTCCCCAGTCCCTTTAGAATTCAGATGATTTCTTGAATTAAGCTCTCTTCTGTTTTTAGGGTGTGTGTTTTAGTTTCATTTCATTAAGTGGTTTTGTTGGTTTCAAATTGTATTTATATGATGCATGGATTAATTTTATAAACACTTTTGTACATGGCCATGCAAGCTCCTGATGAAGAGTGGTTAAGAACTATTTTAAATAAATGAATTAATAAACAACCAAGAATGTATAATGAACCACCTGATTATACAGCCTTCACAATATGTCTCTGAACCCTTAGATATACATTAAAGCCACTAGATAGATTTCAGTTAAGCATTGCATTTAATTATTCAAAGTATATAGAGAAAATGCCAATGAAAATGTCCTAAAGTAATGGTAAACTGATCTTGCAGTACTATAGCTGAACTAACACTTCCCTATGTATTTATGATCCATTCCACCCTTATAGAAGGTTTTCAAAAGCCTTGTTCTTTTTTTCTATTTCAAGCTAAAGTAATATTTCTTTGCAAGACCCATTTCAGCTTTGAAAATCATTTTTGTGTGTGCTGGCTTGCACATAAATAAATCATGCACACATCACAGGCAGTAGACGATGGTTCTCTTCAACCCTATTCTTCATGACTTCAATGCTACCTATCTTGAATAGCAAAACATGCTAATGCCCAACTGAAGATGTCTAGCCATTTCAATACAAGCTGGCAAATGGATATTCAGTGAGTTATTGTCTAAACAGCTTCCTCTGAACAGTTAAGTCTCATGTTGCCAATTGCTCTCTGCATAATGAGCTTTACTGGGATGACACTTCTTTCTTTGCATATTTCATGCTCGCTAAAAAATCTCTTTGATCCAATTCTAATGTGATCCTTCAGCTGCAGGGTTCTTTTTTGAGACTAGGTAATGGTCACATTATAAACATATGGATTAAATTTTAGTGAGTTTAACAAGAAAATTAGTCTTTGGAAAATAAACATGGAATTGGAATCTTAAAAATAAGAATTGTATGCAAACTGTATGAAAAATTTTGGCCAGGAGAGACATATGAAGGCCATCCTGAGTTCAGGAGGCCTCCCTAATTCAAGAAAAATAATAATCTCCAAATGGAAGTATAACAAGAAAGAAAAAAATAGCTTGGCCGACAGCGATTCTCATGCTGAATTTCATAACCCTGGGGCTTGAGGGACCATGCCCATGGAATTATTAATTTGAGATATATTTTTTTAAACCCAGTAACACAAATGGGTAAGCATATTGTCATAGTTGAAAGTGTGTTACTCTAAGCACACTTCCTTGGAAATCACTCAGAATTTTGCAAGATTGGGGTATTGGGTGGAGGGGAGAGGACAATTACAATTACAAGCTAAACTTTAATTCCCAATTTAATAAGAAAATGGTGAACTATAGGAGAATATTGCAAAGCTGAATAGTCTCAAAAGTACCACAATCTTGATTCCTGTGGATGGCTGCTCTTACCTTACCTTGGGCACATATACCCTGCCATGCCAAGGAGAACAGGCGCGTATCGCAAGTTAATAAACTTGTGCCCATGAGTCAATAGTTTCTCTGTGGTGTTCCTCTTCACACAGAAATGCCTCTGGCCGTTTTTCCTTTAGTAGCGGACAATGCTGGCTTTATCTTTGGAGAGGCTATGTAGGAAAGTCTCACACTACATTGCCCCATGCCAGGTTCTTCTGTGAATTAAATGCAATCTAAAATTATGAGTATGAACTAAACGTAGTGCATGTGATGCTTTATAAAGCTGCTTTAAAGATGCCGTCGTTCCAAACATTCTGCCCATCCTCTCATGCTACAGCAGTGAAGTATCATATGCAAATGAAGCTTTGATATGAAACAGTTCTCTTGAGAGCTTGTAAAAAAAAAATTCCCCCCATATAAACAAAGTATGATGCCAATGCATTTATTAACTTCATCTAGCAATTTGCATATGTAGGCATGCTTTTCCGAGAAACTTCATTCACAGTTTATGTTGAATGCCCTCCACACCTCCATGAATCGACACTCTAAATACAACAGAAAAGGCAGCAGCTGGATAATGCAGGCAGAGGAGCAATAAAGCAATGGCATCTGGCAGAACCAGGAATGAACATTGCACATTGGTTGCTTAGCCACTGCCCAACCATACTGAAAAACAGAGATTTAAGGGCTCTGACTCAACATGTCACTTCTAAGGTAGCAGATTCCATGATGGGATGAGAAATCTGTGGCCATCCAAGTGTTGGACTACAACTGCCATAATTTCACTATTGGCCATACTGGCTGGATCTGATAAATCCAAGAAAATCTGGAGAGCCACTACTGCCCTCTGGATTGTATCACTAAAAGTTTCTGTCCCTACTGAAATATGTTTTGTTACTTGGCCCAGTTCTCCAGTCTGTTAAGGTTGGCACCAATACAGCTTCTTGCCAAGAGCACAAGGGACCCTAGGTATGCCTCTGTTTGGCAGCAGACAACCATTCTTCAAGCAGCATGGAGTCAAAAGTCACAAGGTCAGCCCTACTTGAAACACATTGCTTTTAGTCAATGCTTCAGGTTATGAAGGTGGAGATGGTGTGGTACAGATTATTTCATTCCAGAAAAAGATGCACCAGTTTCTCCTTTGAAAAATATTATATTCTTGCCATTTTGTGGACTCTCCATTGCTGCATTTATCAGTATTGACCCAAAGATGGTATTGCCATCTTTTTGACTCAGTTTGGAAATAAAAATGTGTGGTAACAAAACATTCATTTCTGGATTTGCAGGCATTACCCAGACATATTTTGCTTAGTATATGCACATCTCATTTATGAAAGGCCAGCCTTTTCCCTAAGGCACCCAGTACAATTCCAAATTCTATGCTTAAGCTTACAGCACCACCAGCTCTGGGATTAAGTATCAAAATTGAGGCTGCATGTGAAAGACTGGATATTACCAATTGCTGACACCGCTCTGTTGGGAAAGGGGATGCAGCACAATTGAATACTCAATCATTTGAAAGAACCTTCCTATTAAATTGGCTTTTATGCATTTCTTTGCCAGCTAAACAGCAACACATTGGGCATTCAACTTTTCTCAGCTTGATACTGGTATTACTTTATACTTTATTCCCAGTGTTGTAAAGATATATTTATCAGTGTCCCAGAAAACCTTCAAAAGAGAGAATGAAAGACTTTTGTTCACAATATCTAGAGCATCACGTGGAAAATTTGCTATAACAATGAAGAAAATTATTACTTGATCAGTTCAGTGTAGTGGAAATCAGAGATCTGAACTGCCAGATGAAACAGTCTAAAATTGAAAAATGTGAGCTGTGTTTAGTCTGTGTCTGGGACTTAAAAGACACTAGTTACATTGCCATCTTCACCAAAGAATTCCAATATGACTCGAAATAAATCATCTGGCTTCTTTTGGTAAAATCCTTATCTACTTAAGTCAATAGAATGCATTTCCTTTTCATTAAGGCTGCATCTCCAACCCAGTTCTAAAAAAAATAGGAAAAAAAATTGGCAGTACATAATATACCAGTACATGCGTATTGCATATACCGTCATACCTCGGGTTGCGAACGCTGCGGGTTGCACGTTTTCGGGTTGCAGACTGTGCTGAACCCGGAAGTACCGAAACGGGTTACTTCCGGGTTTCGGCGCTCGTGCATGCTCAGAAGCACTAAATCACACTTTGCACATGCGCAGAAGTGCTGAATCATGTCACGCACGTGCACAGATGCGGCGCTGCGGGTTGCGAACGTGCCTCCCACACGGATCACGTTTGCAACCTGCGTTTCCACTGTACATGTATATCATCTCAGTGCAACACAGATCTTAGTGGCTTCAGATCTTTGAGAGATATTATAATATGATATCAGTCCTTATCCAGCAGCCTACTCTCTGCAAAACTAAAAAAAACCCTGAAGTATAAAAACAGATATGAGGTGTCTGGGAGGAGGAGAAAAGTGGAAGAGCCAGCAGGATAAGTCTTTTCTTTCTTTCTTTCTTTCTTTCTTTCTTTCTTTCTTTCTTTCTTTCTTCAAATAGTAATGCAAGTGGTGAAGCAAGGACTTATACAGCAATGAGCTGCTGAGGCCTCTTCACTCACAAAGTGCCCCTCTTCACTTCCGAAACCAACTATATAAAGCTAGGAGTCAGGAATTTTATCTGTTCAATATGTAGATATTTGTAGGAAACTTGGTTAAAGGAAGAAGCTGAATAATTTCTGTATTATGAATCATGGGCTGTACTTGCTTCATAGAGCTATGGGTTAGTGGGAGAACAGGGATCCCCCAGATCCCTGAGTGCCAGAATTCCCACTCTAGATTCTTGGGTGCTAGGGTTTAATCAGAGCTGACGGGCTGAATTTATTTTATTGCCAGACAGAGGGTCAGAGGGAGATGCAAGCCCTGCCATTAACCTACAGTGGTACCTCGGATTATAGACGCTTCAGGCTGCAGACTCCACTAACTCAGAAATAATACCTCGGGTTAAGAACTTTGCTTCAGGATGAGAACAGAAATCATGCGGCGGCGGTGCGGCGGCAGCAGGAGGCCCCATTAGCTAAAATGGTACCTCAGGTTAAGAACGGACCTCCGGAACGAATTAAGTTCTTAACCTGAGGTACCACTGTATTTCAAAAGCCATCAGCAAGTAACTGAGGGACAGGGAGGTTGTCTGGGCAACACAGAGCATGATGTCACACACACACACACACACACACACACACACACACACACATTGTCCTTTTACACAGGGTGAGGGGGGTGTTGACAAGGTATTCTGTGAACAAGGAGGAAGTGGGAAAAACTCCATGTAGCATAGGCTGGAGGAGGCTGAGTGCCATGTCTGAGGAGCAATGAGGGACACTTGGGGTTTAATGTTTTGCACCCCCTCCACAGAAGGCTTTAGGTGTAAATATGTTTAAAGTAAACCATATTTCTTAGAGATAGTAGTCTCTGCTGTGACTTGATTTCCCAATGGAAACACAACCCTGAGTAAGCGCCTGGAACCTCATGGAAGCTTGCTACTGCTTGGCAGAGATTTTGAGTGCTGTGTAACAATATTCATTAAGGAGTGGGTGATTGGCAGGGCTGGTTCTACCATTCGGCACAATGAGATGACTGCCTCAGGCGGCAATGTGGAGGTGGTGGCAGTTCCCTGGCTGTTCCTTCCAAGACCCCTGGCTGTACACTTGTGCTGGAAGATACCATATGCTCTGTGTCCTGCACTAGCCTGCTGCCCTCAGGCGCAGTGCAGAATGCTTCCCTGGGCTCCTTTAGAAGGAATGGTGGGAAGGAAATCTAAATAATCTTGTTGCCAGTGTTAGGATTCAGTGTCCAGTCTGGCTGGTTTCTGTTTATGGAATGAGGGTGAAGATACCATCTTGTTCTTCACTTCAAAAAGCAAAATGCCTTGCACCAGCCCTAGTGATGAGTGGCAGCAGTACAGGGGTACCTCGGTTTAAGAACAGTTCGGTTTAAGAACGATTTGGTTTACAAACTCCGCAAAACCGGAAATAGTGTCTTGGTTTGAGAACTTTACCTCGGTCTAAGAACGGAATCTGAATGGTGGAAGGGCACCAGCGGCGGGAAGCCTCATTAGGGAAAGCGGGCCTTGGTTTAAGAACGGTTTTGGTTTAAGAACCGACTTCCGGAATGGATTAAGTTCATAAACCGAGGTACCACTGTACTGCTTTTCAGCAGACCAAGCTGATGAATACATTTCTGTCTATGTTGGTTGATAACTCACAAGGAAAAATTCACAAACACAGAGGATTAAATATTTACTTGTCCAATGGATAATGCCTTAATCCTGAATAAGAAGCTTTCTGAGGACACCTAGTAAAAATGTACTTTATCAAATACAGCAATTGATTTGTGTTCTAAAACTTGTCTATGAGATAACCTAGCACTCTCCTCAGTCAATAAGGGTCAAATATTTTTGTGTTCGCTAAATATTTTATAGTACAAAGAGCCAAGGCAATAACATTTCTCCTTTCTGAGAGCTTAGTGTGAGTGCATTGTATCCAGCTAAGTCATTGTTATGGTAGACCTGACGAAATCAATGTACTGGAGTTAGTAACGTCCATTGATTCAGTAGATCTACTTTGAGTATGATGCAGTTGAATTCAATCCATTGTTTGCCAATGGCAGATGGAATGTTTATAGTATTTATTATTTCATAGATTTATATCTCGCTTTCTATTAGAATCTTCATAGCAGGTTTGTATGATCCCCTTACCTATACCATCCGTAGGTCAGCTAAGATGCGGGTGATTTAGGAAAAAAGTAGCACATGACTAGAAAGTAGTGAGACTATTGCTGAGGGGGTTGGGCTTTTTAAACAAAATGGAACACAACCTTGGATAAATGGATGATGTGATAGTGATACCAGAAAGGTAAACATGCCCCCCGTGTACAAAACTGGAGTTCAAAATGTTCAAGGAAGTATTTTGTTAAAATATTGCATGAAAATTCTTTGTATTTTCAAGTAAGTGTCTGGAAAATTAGACAAGTATCCTAATAAAATCAGTACTCCTTTACTACCATTGAGGAACTTTTAATTGCTTCTTCTGTCATTATGCATAAGTGTAATATAGCAGCAAATAGCCTAATTATTTAAAAACGAGTCAGAGAACATAAAAACGTTATAATGGCAGAGGATAACAAATGCAATTTCCAACCCATACACAGCATAAATGGAAAAAATGAGAATTTGAGGCTAATTAAGATCAGCATACATTGCTTTGAGGACCAAATCTACTAGATTTAAATTTTTATTACACGAAATTAAGACAATAATAACCAGTGTTAATGTTGCTTCTGAAAAATAATGGTATGACTGTGATATTTCTGGAATGTGATACATATTTGTATGATAAGAAAACAGTTTAAGCAGTAGGCTTTGACTATATTGTTCATTTGAGGAAGCCATAAAAATCTGTATTAAGGGGCTTGTATTGCTGGCAGATAGCCTCCTACTAAGGCTCATTGCTTCAGGACATAGACCTGTATTTCAAGGCTACAAAGGCTTGATGAGGACCTGTTGACAGCGGATGATGTGGAAAACTATTCCCAATAACACATGGATTTTGCCCTGAAATCATTCTACACTGAAGTCATTTTATAGCAGAAAAATTGTTATGCAAATTGACTATCATGTTCGTTATGCAGGTGCAGGTGCAGAGATACAGTTATACAAAGTACTGTATTTCCACCCTGTTCCGCAGTGGAAAGAACCACCACAGAGGCTTGCATAAGATCGATAAAAGCAGTAATAAATAAGACAATTCCTGCTTGCAGTCCGAAAGACACTGCACAAAAAACACAACACATGCCTTGATCTATTCATTTAAAAAGTCAAATCACGTTAGTATGAATAAAAAAAAGCCTGCTTGAAGAAACATTTAGGAGAAAAGACCCCCAAAAATTCTAAATACCTTCAAACTATAACTATAGCCACCACTTCATTTTTTGACTGAAAGCACTGCAAAAATATTCTGCAACCTGCACTTCATCCTGCCTCCTGTACCCATATTTTTATCTTCATAAGAAAGCACTAACTTTACTGGAGTACACCTTGATATATGACTATCTCTTTTTTTGGTACTATATCCTCCCCCCCCCATTATCTTCCACTTCCTTCTTTGCTACCAAGCATAAGAAGTCTATTTGTCTAAATGTAGCCTCAAGTGGTCAATGCTACTTCAGTCCTGCTTTTTAATAAAATTAAAACAAAATTCACATCACATTCCAAACATTCCACTTTTACCCTCACACTCTAACCCCATTGCCCCCCTGTTGCAGAAGCCCAAAGGATGCCATCTTTCAAAAGAGGGCCGAGACACTTAATCTTGGGTTTATGGGTTCAAACTCCACATTGGGCAAAAGACTCCTGCACTGCAGGGGGCTGGACTAGATGACCCTCATGGTCCCTTCTAACTCTACAATTCTATGAAACCCATGAGAAAGAACTACGGTATAGCCCATATACGAGGAGTGGAGAATCTCTTTTGGGACTCATTATCTCATGGGCAACCTATTTTTTTTGGGGGGGGGGCACATTCCAGTACAGTAGAACCTTGGTTCTCAAACTTAATCTGTTCCAGGAGTCTGTTCAACTCCCAAAACTGTTCGAAAACTAAGGCGCGGCTTCCGATTGGCTACAGGAGCTTCCTGCACTCAATTGGAAGCCATGGAAGCCACGTTGGACATTTGGCTTCTGAAAAATGTTCACAAACCGGAACACTTACTTCCGGGTTTGTGGTGTTCGGGAGCCCATTTGTTCAGGAACCAAGCTGTTTGAGAACCAAGGTACCACTGAAGTATGGTGGAACAACTGTTGTTGCTCTTACCAGTGTACAGTAAAAAACAGAGGTTTCTACATACACCCACACCACAAAGATACATCTCTCTATCTAGCCTCATCCAAGAAGAGAAAAGGTATTGCCACAGTTCAAGGATATATCCCAGCCAGGCAAAAGTGCTGGAGGGCACAGAGCAGGACCATTGAAGAGTGTAGCCTGTGGATAAGAGGCCTTGATGGGGATGATGTCTGGCCCATGGACCAGATATAGAGCTCTGCCATTCACTGCCAACTACCATCAACAGCATTAAGTCTCATTGAAAAGTCTACTGGTGAGGCAGAAGGCAAATGAATAAACATGAGCCAGGGAGCATGGTGTGCGTGCCACACACAACAGAGCCGACAATTTCAGTGACCAAAAACATGACTTTCCAGTTCTAGCATTTTCCAGCAGGTCCCAATTTAAGATTCAATATTAAAAGCAGTTAAAACTGACCTGATGGACCTGACTTGCTTCTCAATATAATGTCTCCTTCGACAACAGGCTCAATGCCATAGCTCAGAGGTAAAGCACATACTTTGAAGGCAATAGGTGACAGGTTCAATGCCTGGCATCTCCAGCTAAATGGATCACGTTGCAAATGATGCAAAATGCTTTCCCTGCAAGCTGATGACAAAGAGCTAGATGTAGAAATGGTATGTCCTATATTAGATAGTTGCCTGTCTTCCTTACCCTCACCTCCCAAGTCAAACTCCATCCCCATGTTCTACTTCTTTCTTAACAGTGGTGACCTGGTCCACACCCTGAAAGTTCAACTTTCATTATCACATGTATTCACTTTCCCTTCTTGTCTGCTTAGTCAGACATGGGATGGCCCCACACAGAGTCACTATTTTGTGAGAGAGGTTCAAGCACTTACTGAAAATTTAGCACTCTGTTACTCTGGTGCAACAAATCAACTTTTCTAAAAAAAAGCAGACTTTTAGCAGTTAGGAGAGTCAGACATGCACTGAGAAGTGTGGGCTGAACAACTGATAAATGGGAAGGTTTATCAACACCACACAAGCAAATCAGGCTGAAAGCTCATTGCTGTATAACCAACCTACAAACAGATCAGAACTCCATGAAGCCCAGTTATGGCCTAAGCCATGGGTAGGCAAACTAAGGCCCGGGGGCCAGATCTGGCCCAGTCGCCTTCTGAATCCAGCCCGCAGACGGTCTGGGAATCAGCGTGCTTTTACATGAGTTGAATGTGTGCTTTTATTTAAAATGCATCTCTGGGTTATTTGTGGGGCATAGGAATTAGTTCATATTTTTCCCCAAAGCAAAGTCCAACCCCCCACAAGGTCTGAGGGACAGTGGACTGGCCCCCTGCTGAAAAAGTTTGCTGACCTCTGTCCTAAACTCTGCTTAAGCTTTATGCAAACAGATCTGGTTGTCTGAAGGAGTCCCTGGTCTACACATGCATATGCTAGTTCAAACTAGAGATTGTGTTTGTGTTTGTTTGTACCTTTTTTGAACACTGACCTACACAGACATCTTCCAGCAAGTAAAAAGCTAGCGTACCAGGAGAAAGGTATCTTGCCACCTCTGTTTTAAACATCCAGGAGTTATTTATTTAGGAATACATTCATCACTGTGATACTCCGACCCCTCTTGAGACCTTGGACAACCCCTGCCAGTTAATAGTTCTGACTTGGTAGCACCTCAACATGCAACCATCTCATTATGTTGTGTGTGTGATCAGGTGCGTAATTTCACCCACCACAAGAACCTTGGGAACTGTAGTTTGTGAAGAGTGTTGGGAATTTTAGCTCTCTGGGTGGTAAACCAGAATTTCCAACATTCCCCTGTGGGAAAATAATATGCTTAAAATTTATGGTACATATGAAGCTTTAGTATTGGAAGCTGCCCAGAATGGCTGGGGCAACCCAGATGGGTGGGGTACAAATAATAATTTAGCAGCAGCAGCAGCAGCAGCAGCAGCATCCCACAGTAACATCCCTTCCCAGGCCACTTGCTACAACAAAACAAAAGCCAGTCAAATCTTCAGCCAAGGGAAAAAAGTTGCAACGGCAGACAGCTCCCCGCAAGTTCGGTGCCCCAAACTCTCCTGTCCCAGCTCCACGTGTCTGCTCCCCGACTTCCTACAAGCGTCCCCCACCCGCGGCCGCCTGGCTACCTACGGGCATTTTGTAGTCTTCCCAACCCAGGCAAAAGCGCCGGTCCCTTCGGCTGGGCCACCTTTCCCTGCCCTCCCTGACTCGCCGTGCCGTCGCTTCGGCAGAAGTCAAGTCCCAAGGCGAGTTAACTTCCGAGAGAGAGAGAGAGACCTGGCGACCCCCAGCACATTTCGGGGGCTCCCTTAGGCTGGGCGCAAAGTGCGCGCCTCTCCGCCCGCTGCCCGGCAGGAGGATGGGGCGCGAGCTGCTACCCAGACGGGAGAAAAGGCAGGCCGGGCAGCGCGGGGCGAGTCGGAGGAAAAGCCTTTTGTGCCCCAGGTGAAGAGCCGAGTAAGTAAAGTGAGGAGCAAACTGCTGCGTGAAGTGAGCCTGGCGCCGGGAGAGAACAAACAAAAGGGGCGAATGTCCGCGGGGAGCAAGAAGGGAAGGCGAGTTATGCACGGGGAGGGGGCGTCCGTGGACAGCGAATAGGCGGCCGAGAGGGAGAGCGCCGGCTTGGGCTCTGTACCCCTCAGCGGAGCGGGGGGGGGGCTGCTACTGCGGGCGCGCGCGGAGCTTCCTTGCATGTGGGCTGGCGGCGGCCTCGCTGCCCCCCTCGCGCCCCTGCGAAGACGGGGGGTGAAGGAGGAGGAAGGAGGAGAGGAGGCGGAGGAAACTGCAACGCCAGGAGGAGGAGGAGGAGGAAGCGGCGGCGGAGGCGACCGACGAGAAGGGAGCCTGGCGGAGGCGGAGCCGGCGCTCGAGCCCGGCCGGCCTGCACTCCGCGCAGCACGGCCGCCGCCGCCGCCGCTATCGGCAGCAGCAGCAGCAGCACCACCAGCACCAGCCTCTCCCGGTGAGTAAACATGGCCTGGCCCCCCCCTCCTCCCGTGTACGCTTCGCAAGGGGACTCGAGGCCTCGGTGGAGATTGGGCAGCCAGGCCCGGAGTTGCGAGGGGAGCTGCGGCCTCCGCGGAGCAGTGGCCTGGCGCGGCCCCGCCGGCTCGCCCTGCCCAGCCCCGCGCTCGCCTTTTGTTCCGGCTGGCGCTCGGGCTGGCGCGGCCGGGGCCTGGAGAGAGAGAGGGACGGCGAGAGAGGGTGCGCCGCGGCCTGCAGTGGGGCCGGGAGGTGGGGAGGCAGCAGCGTGGGAGCCTCGCGCAGGGCACCCTCCTCCTCCTCCCCGCGCTCCCACCTCCGCCTCGGCCGGGTGTTGTCATATGGAAACCTCCTAGGAAATGCCCGAAGAACGGGCGGCGTTTGCTCCAGGGCCGCAAGGAGCGTGGGCATCCTGTGCCATTCCCCTATTCTAAACAACGAGCAGCTCTGTACCCGGATCACTTGCCTTTCTGTACTTCAGCTAAGAGACCCTGGTCGTAAACTTTTTTTTTAACAGCGTTACGCCCCTAAGCGGTGTTTTGTTTGTTTGTTTAGTCTTTGCAAACCAGGATCCTAAATTCCTCCCCCTCCACGCACACTGCCCAGCTTCAGACGTTTTTTGGCTTTCTCCCGTGTAGTTTTTTGACTTTCCTTTCAGCTGCAGAGAGTAACAACAAGCTGGGAGAAAGGGGGGGGGGGGGGAGAGACTGAGATTGACAGTGGGAAGACCCTAAGAGCTCTCCTTTTTATAACCTGTGAGACCCATACCCTTTTCTTCTGTCATCAGAAACAGTGAAGTTTGCAGAGAATTGTTTCTGTTTTGAGGTAGGCCTCTGAGTTTCGCAACCAAACTGAGTGCAGTGATTTTCTCTCTCTCGTGTAGCCACTCATTAAAAGAGCACATCACTGCATCCTCCACCTCCATCTTGAAAAGTGTCTCTGGCTTTTTGAGTACTAGACAGTAGCTGTCATAAGGGTCCCAAAGTGTAAAAGATTAAAAGCAGTTACGAACTTCAGTTTGTATAGGAGTATGCAAGCTTTCCAGTTTCACAGAGCTGTTTGGGCAGTAGTAAAAATATTATTATTATTTAAGCATTTTTGAAAACAACGGCAACGTACTTTGTATTTCAACTTTTGCTAAACTTATTTTATCATATGGTTTGCTTTCCTGTCAGTTGTAGTAATATATATCATGCATCAAGGTGCACAGAATGACAAAGTTCTGATAAAGGAGAAACGGACCATTAACCAAAATGGGACAAATTCAGCTGAAGTCAAGGACACTTGCTTCCAAGTCAGGTGTTTAGGATTGGTACCTTTGATTCCAGATAGAGTACTAGCCAATCAAGATTAATCTCTGTATTCTGAAAAATTATTACTATAATCTCACCATGTTGACACAAGTAAAATATGAATCCAACTTGAATTTCAATAAAATAATGACTTTTATTTGAAAATGTGATCTTATTGAATTGAGATCTTATGTAAAGTAACCACCGTGAGATCTTGGGATGAAAGGTGGCATATAAATCTAATAAATAAAATAAATAATAAAAATTGTAAAAAAGAAAATAAAAGAGGAGAGTTCTGTATTACCGAATAGTCCTTAGTTGGTCTACAATTTAAACAAAGGTCAGTGATAGTTTTGTTCTTCACCCTACCTCTCCTTTCTCAGCACAATGGCCTAATTTATCAGTAGGGTGGAGTAAATCTGTTTAAGATTCTGTGCTTTTACTATGTGCTTTGAAGGAGTTTTGGGATATGGATCTCCTGACACAGACTCTGATTATTCTGAGCTTTGATCCCTTTAGCAGAGAAGCAGCCTACAAAGAACTCTTCGTACATAAAATCTGATTTTGTTCTTGGTGCTGTAGCAGCATAAGCCCAGACCAATGCTAATAAAGCAGCATTCTATCCTGTTTCTACAGTGAGAACAGCAGATGGGGAGGAAGCCTTTGTTGCAAGATGACCTGTCTGTTTGCCTTCCTTGTGCTGTTTAAATTGAGGTGCATATGTAATATAGCACTGGAGCGAAGAGCTGTACAGCCTAAAACTGAACATTAATCACATAAATAAAGGCTCAATAAATGGTGGAGCAATTTCACACATGGGGAAGGTATCACGTACGTGAGTGTTCACGAGATTTCCCTACCCACTTATTTAAAATGCTATGTTAAATGCTTCTGCTTCTGTGGTACAGTGTTGAGGGCTCAGTCTCTTTATACAAAAGAAACAAGCAAACCTCAAAACAAACCAAGGGAATTTGTCACTTGCAACCAGTGGTAGCATGGGTGCCAATGATGTTTGCACAAGCGCACAGTCTATAGGACACTCCAGGAAGTAATGAATGAGTAAATCTGAGAGAAATTACATTTTTTCTGGTGATTAAATATAGCAGTTTTGTTATTTTGCAAAAAATGTGTATCTAGTGTATGATTATTGCATAAAGTTGCAATTATATTAAACATTCTGGAGCTTCTCTATATACAGCTCTACTGATTTAAAGAGAACCTTTATTCCACTACATATATTTACAGTGGTATCTCGGGTTACATACGCTTCAGGTTACATACACTTCAGGTTACAGACTCCGCTAACCCAGAAATATTACCTCAGGTTAAGAACTTTGCTTCAGGATGAGAACAGAAATTGTGCTCCGGCTGCGTGGCAGCAGCAGGAGGCCCCATTAGCTAAAGTGGTGCTTCAGGTTAAGAACAGTTTCAGGTTAACCTGAGGTACCACTGTACAAACATTGCATTCCCTTCCTCCCTCAGAGTTACTGCATATAGTAAAAAAGGAATGTTATCCTATATGTAATTTCTCATGCTCTGTCATGGTCTAGTCTGCCATATGAATTGCTTTTTCTTTATATAATCAACCTTCATAATTTTCTTCCCTAAATTTTCCTGTTGAATCTTGCAGTTCAATAACATAGGACACTTGTTGACTTCTTCCAATTGCAAATATAGAGATAGAAAGCACACAACATATTGGCAAACCTAATCAAACTTCAAAGAGTAAAGGTACTCAGATATACCAAATAGCTTTTTTTTGGAAAAGCTAAAGTTTTATGCTTTTGTAGCTTAAGATAATTGGAAGGATCTGATTGCATATATATTGATTACAAAGTCCATATTAGGGCAATAGTTTTTGAAGCTCACCCAAATGCCATAAATTTGTGTGCAAGCTTTTGATTTCTGGAGAACTATTCATCAAGCTAGATGTTAAAACTGCAAGGGGTGAAGGGGATAGGAGGGGCTGCTGGTGTTAGTTAAGCTATCCATGTCTACATCTGGCAAGTTTTAAGGCGGAGCATGAGAGGAATTAGCAGACATTCAAATGATTTGCATTCAGGTTTCATGTTGCACTGTGGCCGCCTGAGAAGAAAATGCATGCATAATGACCAAGACACAATCTCTGCAAATATAACAACCAGCTGTAATTCAGTTCTGCTTCCATTCTTTGGTGAAACATACAGGTTCTTTTGGTTATGGGGATGATGAATAAGGAGAAACGAGGTAATTTTTATATAAACAGAGGGAGATATTAATTTTAGGTGTGCTAGATAATAAAAGTACATAGAATCCAAATTGGTTATTTTTATCCATCATGCACCTTCAGATAATAAAGTCCCAGCTTTTGTGATTAGGAAATCCTGCTTTTGTAAAGTTAAATTAGGTATTTCTCAAGTTTATTGAGTTAGTATGCTTTGATTGTGTTCTCGAAGCTACCAGCATGAGTTTGACTAAACTGCGGGAGGCAGTGGAAGACAGGAGTGCCTGGCGTGCTCTGGTCCATGGGGTCACGAAGAGTCGGACATGACTAAACAACAACAAATGCTTTGATTATATTCTTTCAGTTAAATATGAGACTGCCTATTGGTAAATTTGGACTTAGGAATTCTATCTTCCCCATTTCCATTCAGGAAACCAGAAAATTCAGGATTCATTGTACAGTGGACCCTCCGGGTGCGAACTTAATTCGTTCCAGGGGTCCATCCGCAACCTGAAAAGTCCGTATCCGGAGGTGCCGCTTCTGCACACATGCACAGCACGATAGAGTGCTTCTGTTTATGCACACGCTGCGAAACCCAGAAGTATACACTTCCAGGTTTGCCACATTCACAACCCAAAGTTTACGTATTCGGAGGGATACTTAAGTAGAGGTACAACTGTATAGTATTAAAATTTTTGAGTCTGATCATATGTATGCCTTACTGACTAGTCAGACTTATCAGTTACGTGAGCACAGGATTGCCTCTTTGGTTGTAATCTGTAAAAGTGTGGCATAACAGAACAGTTATGTGCACACTAACCTGCGAGTAATGTACATTGAATACAGTGGGACTTAAATCTGAGGATGTATGCTACTTAATTGCACTCTAAAGAAGTATGTTGTGTAAGCAAAACTTTTGTCAGAACACAGAAATTAAATAACCAGCATTGTATGGCTTTTGATGGCACTTCAGGAAAATTCTGTGTCTGGAGGAAGCGTTCGTAGATGGATTTGGTTTGTTCTCTACACACTTCAATTGAAGTACATAATGCATAACATGTGTAATTGCATCAAGTTGTAAAGATACATGACGTTAACCACATTTTTCTTTAATGTAAGTGACTTCAGGTGACAAGTTATGTGTGCCTCTTTTTAACAAAGTATAATGATGCTATCAGAAGAAGTCTCATTGAGATCTTGCAATGGAATATTCATTAACTGTGTTTAAATAAGGCAGCAATGTCATTGACAAAATGTATGCCTCTGATCTTCCAACAGGTAAATGTTATGATGTTGGGCATGTTTTATTTCTTTCAAGTATTAAGAGGAACATTCTACTTAAAACATTTCATGGATAAAAAGTTGTATGATAACAGATACAGGCTATTTTAAGCCTATAGAGCCCTGTTCAGCAAATACATTACACAGTGGCCATACTTTTGAATTGAGCAAGCATAGGAGAGCCAGCCCACCAACAGTAGATACACCTGCTGATTTGCTCCTGCATAAACTGTGACATAAGCAAAAATTCTTTAATTCCTCTTTCTCTAGTGAACAGTAAAAGTGGCTTTGGTAGAGCTTCTGTTACTTTTAATGAGAGGTCATCAAAGAATCCTTTGCCATAATGTTAGAAGGAGCAGCTGAGGTGCACTATGAGGGGAGATTTCTATCAAAATCATAGCTACCCTGGTAAAATGAAGCTAATAAGTCCTGTGACAGAGGGCCAGTTCGTACATGTATGTATATTCTTGATTCTTCATTGTATAATCACTTAATAGGTAAAGGTAAAAGGTAAAGGACCCCTGGACAGTTAAGTCCAGTCAAAGGTGACTATGGGGTTGCAGCGCTCATCTGGCTTTCAGGCCAAGGGAGCCGGTGTTTGTCCACAGACAGCTTTCCAGGTCATGTGGCCAGCATGACTAAACCACTTCTGGTACAACAGAACACTGTGACGGAAGCCAGAGCACACGGAAATATTGTTTACCTTCCCGCCGCAGCGGTACCTATTTATCTGCTTGCACTGGCGTCTCTACCAAATTCTGAGGTGACATGAAAGTTCTATCTCTGGTGCTTGATATATGATGGCACATTAGTCACCAGATGCTGAATTATCTGGTAATTAACATACATGTGTGAACTGGCCTGCCTAAGCTTTGAGGGGAAAAAATCAAAGTATGCTATACTTTTGTTGCTTTGATTTTCCAATCAGTAGAAGCTGTAAGAATCAAGAAATAGCAGGAAATATTCCTCTCTAAATTTGTGCTTTTACATTTCTGTTGCTCTAATGGGTTAGAGAATTCAAAAAATAATATATAGGTATTATTGCTGCAGAAATCATTGAATTTTTATTTTTTTGCCTCATAAAATGCAAATGTGTTTACATTTACTGGGAGAAAAAGCATTTCGCTTAATCCCAGTGTTCTGGAAAATTTATAGCAAGTTTTTAAATATTCCATTTTGTCAAGGTGCCTGAGTCTGCAGCTCTAGGCTTTCTTAGACTCATCTCAATCCAGTGTTAGGCCCAGTTTTGGGACCAAGACAGCTTTGGTCTCCTTGGTGATTTATACTGGGAACTGTACAGGATAAATGCATTTTGTTAGTTCCGTTGGACATTTTGGCATGCCATCAAGCATAGTATTCTGAGCTGGATATCTGGGATGGGTCTTGGTGGCATGGTGTTACAGTGGTTCCACCAGTCCTTCCTGGAGCACCAGTTTAAGAAAGTCGTGGGAGATCTGTTTGATGCTACAGCCTATGGTGCCCTTTCGAGTTTTAGCTTGTTCCCATGCTATTTAACATCTGGGACAGATGAGCAGAAGTTTGGTGTCATCCAATATGCGGATGGCACAACCAACTGTGTTCTCCCTTCCCTCTCTGTTTAGGTCTTGAATTGTTACCTGGAGGCAGCAATGGATTGAATAAGGGCAAATGTATTGAATCTTAATCCAGGCAGAGATGCTTATGGTCAGTCATATTGATCCAGGAATTGGGATTCAACTGTGGTTGGCACACCTATTGAAAACTCAGGTCATGGCTTGGGAGTTCTTATGGACACCCTGGATGCTAAGTTCTCATCTGTGGCCAGAAGTGCCTTTGCCCAGCTGAGATGATGCATCAATGTCTGTTGCTGTGGAATTCAGATCTGGCCATGGTAACCCATTCCATAATTGCATCACATCTGAATTACTGCAATGCACTCTCCATAGGACTTTCTTTGAAGAGTTCTCAGAAACAACTAGTACAGAATGCAGTAGCTTGGTCATCAATATAGGCTGCAAAGAGGGTGTTCCTAACTCCTTTCCTGAAACAGCTGTAGCTAGCTTCCTATCATGCTGGGCATATCATCTCGCTGATGATAATTTTTAAAGCTACAGCGTTTGAAACTCACCTGGTTCATTTTGCACCTGGCTATCAGCCACTTGTAAAGATGCCTGGGCACCTGGATGACATCGCCACCATCTGGAGGTGCATGCCTGGGGATCCTTGGATCTTGACTGTTTTCACACATCCTGTAGAATTCTATCTGTATCTGTACAATCAGAATTAATTTCGGGAACTAAAAAGTCATACTGCAAAATATGATTTTCGAGTCATCTGGCCCAAAAATGGCAACAAGGCATTCCATTTTGGCAATTGTAACTCAGGTTTAAGGAGCCATTTGGCGGCTAGCTTATATATCAGAGTTTCTAACACTGAGATGTTTTAAATAAAACTAATTTGCCTCCCCAAATAGTTAATTAATTGATTCAACATCAGAATTCAGCCCCAGGTCCCAGGCACTCCATTTATCAAAAGACCTCCTTCAACATTCCCACTCATGCAAATAGGTAGCATTTTGTTGTTGTTGTTTAGTTGTTTAGTCTTCGTGACCCCATGGACCAGAGCATGCCAGGCACTCCTGTCTTCCACTGCCTCCCGCAGTTTGGTCAAACTCATGCTGGTAGCTTCGAGAACACTATCCAGCCATCTCGTCCTCTGTCATCCCCTTCTCCTTGTGCCCTCCATCTTTCCCAACATCAGGGTCTTTTCCAGGGAGTCTTCTCTTCTCATGAGGTGGCCAAAGTATTGGCGCCTCAGCTTCACGATCTGTCCTTCCAGTGAGCACTCAGGGCTGATTTCCTTCAGAATGGAGAGGTTTGATCTTCTTGCAGTCCATGGGACTCTCAAGAGTCTCCTCCAACACCATAATTCAAAAGCATCAATTTTTCAGTGATCAGCCTTCTTTATGGTCCAGCTCTCACTTCCCTACATCACTACTGGGAAAACTATAGCTTTAACTATACGGACCTTTGTTGGCAAGGTGATGTCTCTGCTTTTTAAGATGCTGTCTAGGTTTGTCATTGCTTTTCTCCCAAGAAGCAGGCGTCTTTTAATTTTGTGACTGCTGTCACCACCTGCAGTGATCATGGAGCCCAAGAAAGTAAAATCTCTCACTGCCTCCATTTCTTCCCCTTCTCAGTGAAACATCTCCAGATCAACATACGCAGGACAAAGCTGTGTATTTATTACAGCACATTTACTAAATGTGGTGCACTTGTTTCTTTGCACACATTTGCCTCCCCTTTTGTGCTCATCATTGTGGCAGCTAGAGGAGTAGAAGTGTGACATTTGGTAGTAGACTTCGTTGTCCGTATTGAATTGACCACATGATCCCACCATTTAACAGCCACAAGTTCAGTTAGGAACATGTCAGTAGCAATCTTCCCCAACCTGATTCCCTCCACTCCCATCAGTTTCATTACCATATGGCTGTTCTAGCTAGGACAGAGGAATTGTAGTCCAAAACATTGGTAGGGCACCAAGCTGGTCAAGGCTGGTCAATTTCTCAATTTATTGAGAAAGTACATATGAAATAGCCTCCCTTTTTAGAACTAAAACCTTCCTTTATATCTACTTGAGATTTCTTTACACATGCTATTTATCCATTAATATACTTCATTATTTTGTTCCAGTCAAGCTTATTGTATATTGTAGAGTAGATAGCTATGAAATGTGCTCAGTGGTGCTTACTCCTTATCAAGTGCTTAGAATGATAGCTATAGGTAAATGAAGGTCAGAAAACTATAAGAAATGACCTCACAATTGGGAGCATTAGTGTAGTGTATTCCCAGTGACTCATCTCAAGCAGAAGGTGTTTTCCCCCCTACATCCACCACAGTCCCACATACAGACAGCCTTAAGGTTATACAGGTATTAAATATTCAGAACAGGGGATTTATAGTAAATACGTCTGATTAAGATGGTTGAAGAGACAAAGTTTGATGCTGCAAATTGATTTGGTATAGGATCCAATTATACAGCATCCCAATGAAATTGATTGTGCATGCAGAGTCACAGGGAATTTTTGGCTTGTGTTAGTTGGCTGTAGAATGAAATCTTTTGGCCAAATCTGCCATCTATCTCAGCTGTAATGTCACTCTTACAGATCTTTGCAAGCATTTATAGTAGCAAAACTTCTCTCAGACATTACAAAATCAAAAGGGAATTTCTTTTTTAATATCTGCTAGCTGAAGACAGCAAAATATAAAAATGTGACATTGAAACCTTTGTCTGTTCTCATTTGGAGGGTGATTAACTATTCATGCAATTGTGCTGACATCGTGTTCTCATCTCTTGCATTGTTCTCCCCCTTTTTAAAAAAAGACAAAAAGTTGCAAGATTTTATTTATATAGATCTCACACACTGTCAGCTTCTTCCGTGCTGCATAACTCAGGAGCTTAAGAGTAGCATGCGCTTTACTCTGGAGAAATTTGCTTTGCAAGGATCTGTATTTGGTATGATTCAAAACTTGCTTAAGAGTTACTATTTAGAGTTGGAGCAATGGACCAGGCAGTTGCTAACATGCACTTCTTTATTTATGTTAACTATTCTGTAGGACTTTGGGTTCAGCCCTTGATAGCATGAGCATAAATGTGCTATTTTCATATTTATTTATTTTACAAATTTATAAACTGCTTCAAAGCTATGTACAGCAAGATAAAAATAATTACACAAATATAAATTATTAAAACCTTATTGACAAACTCTGACTATAATAAAACCGTTCCTACAGCTATACAGTTAATATTTCATAAATGACTGGGTCATGCCATAGGGAAAGCCTTCTTAAAAACATATTCAGTAGGCATCTAAACATCACAATGCCGGATGCCTGTTTAATTTCAGATGGTAATTGTTTGCAGACGGCTGCAGCTGCAGCATTAAATTCCCGTTTCTAATACAAACTAAGCTCATGTCTGGGGCATGTGAAAATCTCATTTGTGCCCCATCTGAAGAGCACAGTTTCCAGCCAGGGATGTATGGGTTGAGGCATTCTCTTAGGTAACTTGGTCCCAAATATGTAATTATTTATAAAGTAGACAGATTTAATGTAGGATTATAAGCATGTTTATTCCACTGAGTTCAGTAGGACTTAGTCCTGAATAATTGGAAATGACTACTTTCCCTATGTGAACCTACTTGGACCCTAAGATCAACATCAAAGTCCTTTTCTCTGAGCTTCCTCTGAGAGCTGTTTGGAGTTTGGCAATAAGAGAATGGGCCTTCTCTCTGGTAGCCCCGCAGTTGTGGCATGCCCTTTCCAGGGAGTTTCCTGGTACTGAAGGATGCCTGCATTGGAAGGGGTTGGACTAGATGACTTGTGATCCCTTCCAGTTCTACATTTTTATGATTGTATACTGATTTATTGCACTACTTCCAGTAAGCTACCCAGTCCGATTCAGTGTTTTAACATTGGTCTATAAAGCCCAAAACAACCTGGGACCTATATATTTGACAGAATACTTTTTTTCCTGATATCTGACAGACACCCAAGCTAAGATCTGTTGGAAGGTCACTTTCATGGTCCTGACACAAGATAGGGTGTTCTCATTGGCAGTACCTCCTTTGTATTGAATCCCCTCTTTAAGGTAGCTGTGTTTAGATGACAGGTAAAATGTATTCTTCCAGGCCTTTGGAACTTGATGCTCCTTGGAGTTGAAGCTTGGTGTTGCTGTCTTTATAATGGAAGTTTGATTTTGTTTTGTTTTATATAACCCTTCATATCATATATAAGTTCTTATCTGGAAAAGCAAAGGGCTTAAAAAGGTGAAAGAAGTAAATCCAAATAAATAGATAGAATACAGTCATGCCTTGCGAGTCAAAGGTTTTGCCTCCCGAACGCAGCAACCTGGAAGTGAGTGTTCCAGTTTGTAAATGTTCTTTGGAACCCGAACATCATGACAGGGCTTCTGCGGCTTCCGATCGGCTGCAGAAGCTTCCTGCAGCCAATCAGAAGCCGCACTTTGGTTTCCGAACGTTTTGGAAATCAAACGGACTTCTGGATTAGATTCTGTTCAACTTCCGAGGTACGACTGTACAAATAAATTATGAATTCTCAGTTATCTACACTAAAGATTTTGAGGAGCAATTTTGAATCCTACTTTGGGGGCATGTCCAGATTAGCAACATTTGTTAGGATGTGTGCTTGGAACAGTTACTGCAGTTTGCATCTCATACAGTGAGTTTCCTATAGGACTGTACATCAGCAAACAAGTGTATCATGGCAGAGGTGCTTGCCTCTTCCAACAGTGTTTCCTCAGTTTTGACAATAGGCTTCACACTGCCAAGCAACACAATCACTTTCAGCAATAGTTGTAAACATATTCATGACTAAAACTGTTTATGTATGAGGAAATAACTTCAGATAGTCGACTCACAAAATATAACTATTAGTAATATTAAGTTATATCAACAGAAGCAATAATTCATTTTTTATAGATATACAGTGGTACCTTGGGTTAAGTACTTAATTCATTCCAGAGGTCCGTTCTTAACCTGAAACTGTTCTTAACCTGAAGAACCACTTTAGCTAATGGGACCTCCTGCTGCTGCCGCGCCGCCGGAGCATGATTTCTGTTCTCATCCTGAAGCAAAGTTCTTAACCTGAGGTACTATTTCTGGATTAACGGAGTCTGTAACCTGAAGCGTATGTAACCTGAAGCATATGTAACCCGAGGTACCACTGTATACTATATGGAAATTGATGCAAATATACACAAATATATTCACTATTGTTTGAGGGTGTCAGTGGAGTCTGTTTCCTTGCTGCATATGTATCTGACACAGGATTTTTAATTTCCACATCCGAAGCATGTCAGACCAGGAACATTATTTGATATAATTGATTGGGAAATAATATTTATAAGCCCATTTTTATAAACAGTTCAGAAATATTTGCAAATTAGTGGCAGTGTAGTATAAGAGCAATTTTTATGTTATGGTACATCATTTTGATTTTAAATGTATTCACTTCGCATATATTGTAGTTGTAATATGATTGATAATACCAGTGTTATGACTTAGTTTACATGTTGCTAAGCACTAATTATTACATAAGCATCACTTATAACAGTTGGGTTATCTTGATGTTGTAATGTTGTAAGGATAGGAATCTTCTGTACTGTTCTTCAGATTCTACTTTGCAGACCTTGGAAGGAAACTGCTGTAGTGGTAACAATGTGAACATCACATTGTAGCTATTTAACATAGATTTAACATATTTAACATAACAACTTCTTTTTTGATTCATCAAAAGTATTCTGTGCCTTTAAAAGCTTCCTGAACAGGGAATTCCCCATTATATGTAAGCCAGATACACCAGCTGAACTTTTACAGAATTTGCTACAACTTGATAAAATGTATTACCAATTCTAGATTATTGCCCCTGAGTTTCTTATTCTTTGTGGGTTTTATATTGATGCCATTGAAATTGTGTTCTCTAAACACCAGTGTGCCCTTGAAAATAATTTCTCAAAAAGTAAATTGCATACCTTACGAGAACCATTTAATGATTGCAAAAAAGATGTGTCATTGTTTACATATGACGTGCACAACAGACCACTTCATCTGATACTGTCCCACTAGCAGTTTGAAAGTGGGTTAGAAGCCTCTAGTTAAAACACAAATAACAGGCTTTGATGCCAGGTAGGAAATTTTGTAGCACCCATGCATATCACTTTTTCTGATCTGAAATCATGGAAGATTTCCATATATTTGTTCCCAATGTGTGAACCTACAGAATACCCAGTAGTATCATATCTATTGAAAATGGCTCAAAATAGTATTTAAAAGTAGAAAATGTGTTGGTATCAAAAAATGAGAAAAGTTTTAAAAGCAACTGGGTATTTTGTAATGTCAGAATGTGGAAAGCTGGCAACAGTGTACGGCGGTGGTAGAACATGGAACTTACAATTCATGTTTAGTATCTTTTTTTTAAAAGAAGAGGATACTATATAAAAATGAAGATGTACCTTTTAACAAGTTGTCTATTTACCTTTACCCTTATATTTTGTTAAGCTGGTAAAACTTGACTTTCCACCATTTGCTGGAATTTGCTCTGTTTTGGCATTTACCTTTTAAAACCTGACACTCTGTCAAAGACTATTAAGTTAAAGTAGGACTTTTCCATAATTAGGTGAAGAAAGCATGGTGCTTTACTGGTACAAGTGTCCTTACTGCTTCTGTATACGTTTCAAAACTATAACCCGAATTAGATGTTACAGACAAGGTCAAATGCAAATTTGGACATATACCGTACCTGAGGCTGCGGGGAAGCAATGTGGGAAAGCTTTAGAGCATGAACCTGGTGGGCTTTTGGAGCCTGTATTTTTGAGACACTGGACTTACATTTGGCTTTTTAAGAAGGCGCTGTATACCTTAAGAGCTTCTACAACCTTCACTCTAGCACGAGAATAAATATATTCTGCTGTCATTCTGTGTACAAGCTGTTCGACTCTTTAATGATACAAAAATGTTTCATACATGAGAGGCTTTGTTGTGTTTCTGTCACACTTGTGCCAATTTGCAAAAGTGAATATTGCAGCAGGTTTTATAAAAGGTTGTAAGAGTTATTAGCTGTGCTGACAGCACTTTTGTTGATAGGCAGATTTTCTAATTCAACCTTCATGTTTCTGAAGTTTGATGTGTCTGAATGTATCAGTATGTTAAATAAGGCATGGAGATGTTTGAAGGCGGAACGGGAAGTTTTCAGATCTTAAGAGAAGAGATGGAAAAGCATTGATCCCCCTCCCTCAATATTTTACAGTCACTTCTGATTTCTTCCTTCTTAACGTCTCATGATTTAATTACTTTTAAAATAAAGTATTTAGGATATAAATTGTATGTTATTTGTAAATCACAATAGGGCAATCCAGATCAAGCCTTTATTTTTCCTTTGAGTTCAGGGAAATCCAGAAAATGGCTAAAGAGTATCCAACTTTACAGGGCATCAGATAATTTCTGTTCTAAAAGTAAAACAAAAAGATTTAACTCAGATAATGGAAGAGTAGGAAAAAGCACTATGGTAGTTATTCCACTTCTGCAGAAGGCCTGAATGACTTGCAACCTGTGCACCCCCCATTTGCAGGAGAGGAGGTTGCATGCAAAAGGAAGAGGAACTGAGAATATGCTGGCCGATAACTGGTTTTCAACATCATGATATATCACCAGCTAAATATCACAATATCTTGATATATTACGATACATATCTGCTGTTGTGGGAGGCCTCGTGGTGACAGAGGTGACAGAGAGTCTCGCCCTTTCCATTCCATGATGGCGGAGGGTGTGCAAAGGGTCCCACTGTATCTCCCCGTAGCAGCACCATGCTTCCCTGCAGCAGCAGAGGGCCTTGACGGAGCTCCCTGTGGCAGTGGAGGGCTTTAAAATTTAAGGAAGTAGTAGATTTAATAAAAAATATTAAATAAACTTCCATCTGCTTTCCCACTCAGAGATCTACCGTATTTTTCCATGTATAAGTCTAGGTTTGTTCCCTAAAAATAATGTCAAAAATTAGGGGGCATCTTATACATGGATACATCTTCCCCCATTTTCTTAAATCTGAGCCCCCCCCCGTCTTATACATAGGGGTGTCTTATAGACAGAAAAATACAGTAAGTGAAATCTATGCATGCATAAGCCCCTCTGAGTTCAACTAAACTTCTACTTTCCTGGGAGTAAGCCTCATTGAATTCAGGAGGGCTTGCTTGTGAGTAGACATGCATTTGCTTGCGCTGCGTACCAAAAAACACTTTCCCCATCATTCTCACATAGTACCCAACCTCCCATTTCAGCATAAATCTTCCCTCCACTCCCCCCCACACCGAAGGCCCCCCCTCAAAGCCCTCATTCTACCAATCTCTCCCTTTTTATCAAAGAGAGGGCAAGCAAGTAAAAAGATAGTTTCCTTTATAGAAAAAAAACCCTTTTGGATAGAGAGGAAAGCTGTTTAGGGGGAACCAACAACATAAACACCACCATAAAATAAAATAAACTCTTCCCCCTCTTTTTTTCATTGGTGGGGAAAGAAAGAATTGCTTTTCCATTCTTTGTTTACTGTCTAGCCGTGGGGGGTAAGGGGTTTTCCTCTGCATAATTAACTGAGTTTGAAAGCACGTCAAAGTGCAAGTAGATAAATAGGTACCACTTTGGCGGGAAGGTAAACGGCGTTTCCGTGCACTGCTCTGGTTCACCAGAAGCGGCTTAGTCATGCTGGCCACATGACCCGGAAGCTGTACGCCGGCTCCCTCAGCCAATAAAGCGAAATGAGTGCTGCAACCCCAGAGTCGGTCACGACTGGACCTAATGGTCAGGGATCCCTTTACCTTTTTAAGTGGAAAGATACCGGTGAAGCATATTGCCTTGTTGAAACACTTTATCACGATGTTATCTCAATACAGGTATTCAACGATATGGTGATGTATTGGGCAGCCCTATTTACATATAGGCAAAATGATTGTGACAGTAGTTCTTGGCTTGGAGAAGAAATTTGTTAATGACCTACAAATAAGGTTTCTGGGTATGAACACTGATACATCTGCAATGACCTGCTACAATGATGGGAGTCCCAGATTAGCTCTACTGATGTGCCAGCCTTGCTGCTTCTTTGCCATTCTCCATAGGAAAGCTAGAGTGTTAAGTCTCTGCTTCATAATTCTTTATTCAGCAACCAATTGTGTTTTGACATTACATGACATTACATTTAAATTCACAGACCACTGACAAATCACATTAATGACTGTTAATCTGCCTCAAGAGGCTGATCCACCATAGACATGAGAACTTACGTGTATATTATACAGCATTTTCAATATTAAAACAGAGATAAAGCATAACACAAAAAGTTCTAAAAAGCCTGAGCCAAATACAAAGGGCTGACTCATTGCTGCTGTAATATTGAACCATGGTTTAGCATTACATCTGAACTGGGTGTACTTGCTTTTAATGAAGTCTGATAATGATACAAAGCATAAAATTTAGGACTGCTGCTAAAACTTCCTTGAAATTTGTAATTGTTGCAAATTTCCTCAGAATTATTGTAGAGAAGATAAACAGGAAGCAATGATGAATTTCACTGTAGGGAATTATTCCAATTGATCAGTATTACTTAATAATTAGAGAGTTGTTTTCAGTTGAACTCTGTTATCTTCTAGGCATATTTTTATTTGTTTACCTGTAGAAGGTCAGTGGGACCTGAACATTCTCAAGGTTAAATACAAAGTCAGTGGCTGACTGTTGAAAGGCCAGAGACAAAGCCAATTAAAATAAGTGAGAGTCTTCTCAGTGAAATCAGTAGCTTTAGGTCAGAGCTGTAATTGATTAAATGACGTTTATCTTTGCGCAATCTGGTACTTTGCAGCATACACAAGGTTATTCTGCCGCACACTAATTGTGAGATGTCCTAATCCAGAATACTTGCTCTTCAATCCTTTCAGAGCCATTAAGGAAGTAAGATAAGTGTTGTGTAATTATTCCATATGAAGTGGTTTGCGGATCACACTGTAAGTGCTGTAGAAATCAATTTAGTCATAGTTTCTGAATCTTTTACATTAAATAAATTGGCTGCCTGGAGATAAAGACTAATATTCCAAAACAGCAGTAGATCTCCCCCCCCCAAAAAAATATTTAAATCTCAAATACAGTGTAAGATGTAGAAGATTTGACAAGACAATTTGGAGTCTGATACACTTTTTCAGCTCCTATGATTGCTCCACAAGTACTGGAAATTTACTTAGGCTGCAATCGAAAGCACATTAGTGAGTATTCCCTCTTTTACTTTCTTCTGAATAAAGTTTCCTAGGGTTTCACTGATAGTATGTTACAGTAAGAAATGTTTGTGTGTCATATTTTATTTAGAATTTAATGTTTCTAATTTCAAATGCTTTAAAGCAAAATAGCTATAATAAACAGTAAAAGCTACTTTATCAGTACAACTAAAAAATAAAATAAAAGCTATACTGAAAATATGTAAGAATAAAATGTTAGTTTGAAGGACTATTAATGCAAAGGCTAAATTAACCACAGTGTTGGTGTGATTTTGTAAAGGTTCAACAAAAACTGAAGGTTATTAGAAATGACAAATTAAAATGAAATGTTTAGATACAAAGTTTTCTTTTATAAAGGGCATTGGTTTTACCTTTCTAGAATATCAGATGTGCAGTCTTTCCATTAATAAAAACTTGCTCAGTGGGAAGCTCTTATTGTGTACTTTCCAGAATAGTGTTATTAGATACTGTCAAATGGGTATCTAAGCAATAAATGTGTTAATCTCGTATCAAAGGTTGTTGTGTAGAGTTCTAGTCTTGCTGGAAAATCTGGAAGCTGAACAGTAAAGCTGTATGCAAAAATGCTGTCCTAAGTGTATAGTTAAGATATTTCAGACAAAAATACATAAGAATAAATCCTAGAATGTTGTCTATTCATCATGCATAATCCTTCCTTTAATGACTCTGAAAAATTAATACCTACTCTTAGTGGAACAGTTAAGAAAATTGAGCTATGTTCAAAAACTATGTGTTTACAGCTACCTTACCCCTTTTCCTTGGAAGCTTTATAAGAAGCTGCTGCAGGAAAGGGATTGTGAGAAACATCATGGGAGGAGTGTTTCTTGGACTAAGGTGAAACTGGTGTGCATAATGTGCATTTTTAGCTCATACAGACTTTATTTTGGGCTTCTTTCTAGACTTTCGGAGCTGAGTTCATGCTGAATTCACATAACAGTTACCAATATCAGAGGCACAGGTAGCAAATCATAATATTTGCAGGAAGGAGATTCCTAGCACAAGGTGAATCATACTGCACTAAATGTGGGCTGGCCAATTGCCAGTAAAATAGTAACTCATGATGGGAGATAATATTCTTCCTGTTCTGCAGTTGAATAACTTCTATTGAGTTCTTAAGGAGAAAGTAAGAGATTGCAATTAGTGAATTCACAAAAGGCAGGAGTAGAAGCCAGGTTTTCCTTATATCAGTGCTGCCATTGATTATATAGAAGTGTACAGCTAATGTTGACTCAGTGTTAAAAGAGGAAAGAAAGTTCTTTACCTACTCTGTAAACCTGCAATGCCTAGAGGAGTCATCGGTAATGTGTCATTGTATATTGCATGATCAGTTCATGGAAACCTGATATCTCCATTTTCTTCTTTCTTTACTCACCCCTTGGGGAAAGTATTTATAAAACTGGACATTCTCAGAGTATGCACCTTCTGCAGAAAAGGAGAGTCATGAAAGATACTCAGTTTCTTTGATAATGTGAACAGAAGGGGTCTGTTGTAATTTTAATCCAAAACTTAAGCCTCAAAAGACTGATCAAACAACAAATCAAAGATGAATACAATAAAAAATATATAATATAGTTTGCAAATAAAAATGGCATATAATAGTATGTTGATATTTCTTGATGTTCCTTTAAGCTTATACTTTGGTTATGTAGATCTCTTTACCATTGTTGTAGTGTAAATAATGTGTCTTTCCAAATACATAAAATAATCTTTCTTTCTCCTCTTCCCCACAGGAAATGGGACTTCGAAGTTAAATGAGACTGGATAACGCACATCAATGAAGAAGCTCCTGCATTACATGCTTTAGGGGCAGAACTTCAGAAGAGTCAAACTGCCAGATTTGCTGTACTTTCATAATGAAGAAAATTAGTCTCAAGACCATTCGTAAGTCTTTTAATTTAAATAAGAGCAAAGATGAAAGTGACTTCGTTGTAGTTGCACAGCCATCGTTAAATGATTTTGGAAAAGATGACTCCTTGTTTGGTAGCTGTTATGGTAAAGATTTGCCGAGTTGTGACATCAACAGTGAAGATGAGAAAGGTGGAAAAAACAGATCGAAGAGTGAAAGCTTAATGGGTACGTTGAAAAGGCGGCTTTCAGCAAAACAAAAGCAGAAAGGCGGCAAAGGTAGCACGCCATCTGTTAGCTCTGCTGATGATGACACCTTCTCTTCTTCTTCTGCTCCAATAACCTTCAAAGATGTGAGAGCTCAGAGACCTCTTAGATCTACATCCCTCCGAAATCACCATTATAGCCCAACTCCATGGCCGCTTCGTCCAACAAACTCAGAAGAAACATGTATAAAAATGGAAGTGAAAGTAAAGGCCTTGGTCCACTCCTCAAATCCAAGCCCTGCACTGAATGGTGTTCGCAAAGATTTCCATGACTTGCAGTCCGACAGTGTGTTCCAGGAACAAAACAATGCATTGAAAAGTACAGAATCTCAGAATGGAGATTTGCATCTCCATATTGATGAACATGTGCCTGTAGTTATTGGACTTATGCCTCAGGACTACATTCAGTATACTGTGCCTTTAGATGAGGGAATGTATCCTTTGGAAGGATCACGTAGTTACTGTTTGGATAGTTCCTCACCCATGGAGGTTTCGACGGTTTCTTCTCAAATGGGTGGCAGTGCATTTCACGAAGAAGAGGGTCCAGTGAGTCAAGATGTAGTAGTTACCCCAGATATCTTTGTTGACCAGGCAGTGAGTGGTTTATTAATTGGTACCACCGGAGTCATGTTGCAAAGCTCTAGAGTCAATCACAGTGATGTTCCTCCGCTCTCTCCATTGCTACCTCCAATACAGAATAATCAAATCCAAAGGAACTTTAATGGCCTAAACGCCACAGATGTCCATGTGGCTGAAAGTATGCGTTGCCATTTGAATTTTGATCCTAACTCTGCCCCTGGAGTTGGAAGAGTTTATGATTCTGTACAAAACAGTGGCCCTATGGTTGTGACCAGCCTCACGGAAGAACTGAAAAAACTTGCAAAGCAAGGGTGGTACTGGGGCCCAATTACACGATGGGAAGCAGAAGGAAAATTGGCCAGTGTTCCTGATGGCTCGTTTCTTGTACGAGATAGCTCTGATGACCGCTATCTTTTAAGTTTGAGTTTCCGTTCCCATGGTAAAACTCTTCATACAAGAATTGAGCATTCAAATGGCAGATTTAGCTTTTATGAACAACCAGATGTGGAGGGACATACTTCTATAGTTGATCTCATTGAACACTCCATCAGGGACTCTGAAAATGGAGCATTTTGCTATTCAAGGTCTCGATTGCCTGGATCTACAACTTACCCAGTCAGACTGACCAATCCAGTATCTCGTTTTATGCAGGTGCGCTCGTTGCAGTATCTGTGTCGCTTTGTTATACGCCAGTATACCAGAATAGATCTGATTCAGAAACTGCCTTTGCCAAACAAAATGAAGGATTATTTACAAGAAAAGCACTACTGAAGGCTTATGGGAACCTTGCATCTTGCACTTTGGGAACAACAACAAAATAAAATAAAGAAGAGAGATACCGTTTACAAACTTTAATTGCTATCAGTCTTTTGCTGCCATAATTTCATTTTGTGCATAAAGAAGGGTAATTCATTTTTATTTGTTTAATGGGTGGTCTGGGTTTTATGTTTTAAAATAATGATCTCAGCATATTTTTTTTAGGAGAGTGAATAGCTATCTTTCATTCAGTGTGCAAAATAATCACAATGTGAATGATAAAAGTTTTCCTAAAACTCCCCATCTCCTTTGCTGCTAATCCACTGTGATTTTTATGCATTTGAAGCACATTTCATGTGTTTTCAACCATAAGTAAAAGTTGACACTTGATGGGATATGTTTTGTCTTTTTCAAACAGCCTGGTTTTGTTTTGTTTTGAATTTAAAAAAAGTGGAAAAATTGTGCCAGTATACAGAATTTAGATGTATGCTGAGAAAGATTTCCCAGTATCCTAATTAAAAACATAAAGTTAACTGTGGGCTGGAGGGAATGTGTGACGCAACAGTTATGCAACATATGTTTTGAAAGCCTCCTTTCTCCTAAACTAGTTTCAAAGATTGTATATATTGTTTTGCGCTTTTTTTGTTCATTCTTAAGCATTTTTTTTAAGTTTTAAAAACAGTCTTTCAAAACAGCCTTGGAAAAAAAATATTGCTACTATTCTGTATTTAGACAAAAGTTAATGTAAATCAGAGGCCATTTTTAAAAGCTATTTGATATCCCTGTAAAACTGATTTTGACTAAGCTATGGTAGCACATGGTTGGATAACTGAAATCTATCCTTTTTCGGATAATTTCAACATAGTGGGTTCTTTGCCAGTAGGATTTTTAAAGTTATTATTTGACCAGAAGATATAAACATTACCCCATATTTCCTGCAAAATTGAGACATCATCTAGCCAAAGTTAAGCCAATTCAAATTTAATTAATTTCATAGATGAGTTATGCACATGCTTAAATTTCTCCCATAGAAATTGATGGGATTAGCAAGTACTTTGCTAGATAATGCCCTTAAATGTTTTTTTATTTGCTTAGCATACATTTCCCATCATTATATTCATTTCAGTATGTAAGATGGGAAGAGAATAAATTATCCCCAAAGTTTCATTTTTAAGAAACCTTGCATGTTTTGAAATTAAGACTGAATTGATTACATTATGGCGTAATCCCTATAGGAAATATTTCAGTGCATTACCAGACTCGTTTCTGCTTAGTCTTATTCAAAACAAGGAAAAGCAGTTCCATTTAGTATGCGAGATATGGGAAAATCCTGCACTAGGTTTTCAAGAGGACGATAGATTTACATAGTTTACACAATGGATCCATTCCAGAAGTTGGTTCTGTAGAAACCAGCAGGAGAATTTGCTGCTGGACCTAAATGTAACTAACTAACTTTGGATTGGGGCCATTAAGATTTGTACTCATGGGACTGCTTCTACCGAGCATTATATGGTGGAAAGGAAGTATTCCTGTTTGCATTAAGGAAAGATCTAGTTAATCAAAATGCTAGCAAGCTGGAAACTGAACTCTGAAATTTCTGGAGAAAAAAAGTAATATTTTGGAGGCTAGTTTGTAGGTTACAAAATTTATTTTGTGCCATTTTCATGTGTCTTGTTTTAGTTTTATGTTTTCCCTCCTATCCTCTGAAAGATATGGCCATTAGTAATTTTCTTTTTCATTTTCCCATCTCAAAAATTCGAATACGTTTCTGTTTAGTAAAAAAATATTAAAGGGTGATAAAGTTTTGAAAAATCTTTGTTTCTGGATAATTCTCCATTGCTTGTTCTACCTAGCCCTTTTTGTGCTCTGAATGAGTTTATAATATTAAAGTACAGTGTTGCTGCAAGGTGCTGCAATGGCGCCACATCCTGGGTTGCCTGAATCGATATGCTAAACTTCTATTTTTAAAAAAAATATTTTTAGATCATAGTGTTTAAAAAGAATATCAGAGGCAAAGCATGACTTTTGCTGTGGGAGTGAGAGGTGGAAGTGTCTCTCTTGCCCAGTTAAAATAGGTTCTGAGGTGTGGGGAGTATTTAGAGAGATGTATTCTTAAATTCCTGAGCAAAGTATTCATGTGTGTCACTTATTGGCTTTGCCATCCTGATATTTATGCAAAATCTTCATTTGGTTTTCTGATTTTTACCCCCAAAGCAAGACTACAAATTTTATACACAAAAGGCACAATAATATATACTATGGTACAGTGTTTTGAGTCTGAGGAAGAAAGAAGTAATCCATTTTATACAATAGGAAGCATACTTGTTAGCTTAATACCCTTGTCATTTGGGGGGTGGGTGCGGGGTATTTCCCCTTCAAATGCAAAAATAAAAGTCTGTGTGGTTGGAGTAAAAACGTTTCCTGGAACAATAATCTGTATTATGGCAAAGGTCAAAAGTAAACATTATCCTGGTGTCTAAACTCTAAATAATGATGTTATGAGTTATGATGGTATTACAGTTCCATATGAGTTGTATATTTAGATCTCTAATGTTCCAGTCATATTGCTGTTCTGAGACAGCATGAACTTGCATTCTGCATTCCTTCTCATACTCTCTTCAGTTCATTTGTATTAAAAACAGGTTTTCAGAGGTGTTTTTGCAATGCTGACAGATTAGCTTTTCACCGCTTTCCTCTTTGCTCTTGTAGCACAGTTCTACAGGAGCAGCTGCTTTCTTCCACTGTGCAGTTTAGTGGACTTGGGGAAGACATTGTGTCCCGATAAATGGCAACCTATAGTCATATACTCCATAAAAGTATTAAATTGTTAGATCTGCCTTTGTCCTTCCCGTTGCTAGGCCTTCATCTCCTAGCAAGCCAACCTCTCATCATCTAGAGCAGCAACCACCAATGCATTCACTTTCCCTCAAACACATCTGGGCTAAGCAAGTGGTCCAGCTCGAAAAACTGCCCAGTAGGAGCAGCTATTCTATCTCTTGCTGCTGACAGCCACCTAGCAAATACCTGAGCGTGGATGAGCAGACATAAATGCAGCACTGATGCTGGTGTTTTGTTTCTGCTCTGAATGGTCCTGAAGCAAGTGACCAAGCTTGTTCAGGAGGTGGGGAAACATTTAAAGTGTAATCCAACACCATCTGCCCTGGAGGATCTTCTGGCCCAAAACTGCTTAGGACAATAAGACAGACAGAATGAGTGGCGTCTGCTCTATGCATTTCCAAGCTTCAGTTTGGCATTTGGGCGGCAATTGCTCCTTGAGGTGAGTTGCACCCATGTATTACATAAAGGAATGAGTACATTTCAACTGAATGATTCCATTGAAAACACTTTTTGAATTGCCTTTATTGCTCTATTCTTTGTACTACATAGGATGGACATATCTTATTGCCACAAAGATCTATGTGTTATATTCAGTCACATTTTTGTGCATTTTAACTGGTTGCCTAAATGGCCTGCTCATATGTTCAGTGTAATAACAGAGCTTATGCAAGACTTCATAACAACCTCCAACAAACATAGTCTGCAAGAAAGCAGAAGCCCCTGTTCACAGTTGCTGTTGAGTTTCTCCCGTGTGACATTGCTCATGCCAATAGATTACTCCTGCAAGCTGTTAATCTGAGTCATGTTTAAATTGCATTTAACGCATAGTGCATTCTTAGATTGACAGTTTATAACACTGAAGGAAAGGGACACTCTAAAGTTATGGGAGAACTAAATCAGTCAAGCTGCTCAGCATTTGTTTTAACCTAGTGAGGTAATTTCCTAAAGTTTTCTTACTATTCTATAAACAAACGGCATATCAATGTTTTTCTGCTGTTGAAACATCAGCAGAAATAATAAACAACTTCTGGGAGGGTTGGTGGAATACTTACGGTTGGTTATGATGAAAAACACTATTGCCTCTGCACTAGCATAGCTTGGTTAATAACTGCAGTTTAAACATGCTAATACTATAAGCAGAAAAGGCTATTGTAGATTGGCAGGAAAAATAGTGGTGTAAAATTAGACCGATAACAAGTTCATGATAAAAATAAGACAAAGAACTAATTAATTTGTATGGAGAAAGCAAATTAAGTTTGTAACATAGGAAGCTAGCTCAGTATTGTCCACACTGACTCGCAGGGACTCTCGAGGGTTTCAGGCAGGGGTCCCTCCAAGCCCTGGAGATGCCAGGGATTGAACTCCTGCAGGCAGGGCTCTGGCCTTCCCTGGTGCGAGTGCATCACTTTAAAACAAAACTACTGATTGCATTGAGGGCAATAGATGTATTGTATTAGTGTCCTTCCACCAGATAGGTTTCGAGAAAGCAAATGTGAACTGCAGCGGTGATTTCTGAGCTTACAATGAGTAGAATGTGGTGTAAGAAACAAAGGGAACAAACCAGTTTGACAGACCTCCACATATAGACAATAGGATTCAAAAGCCCAAAACCCCAACAGGTCAGTATGTGGTGTCTCTGGCAGTCTGGCACCTGCATAATTCGTGTTGGTTGCAGTCCCAGTGGAGGGCCTCTGTAGCCAGTGTATCCAACCGCTTGCTGCTCCCGCCTTTCTCAGATGTGGTCTGGAAAGCCTGAGACCCTTAGAAACCCCCTCTCTGGCGTGTTCCCCGTGGGCTGCGAGCACACAAAAGCTGAAGCAGACAGCTGTGCACCTGTGCTGCTGTTCCTTCAGAGGGATGGGCTAGACTTCTTTAAACTAGTTTACCCCCTTGCAGCACTATGGTTTCAATAATAAAGGGATTTTTTTGTTTTAAAGACTGGATTACAAGCCTTTAATAGATTTCTTCTGTTGTTACAGCAAAAGCACCTGACAGTGCTGCTGAGATGTGCCTGCCTTGTTTCTTTGCTGCCTTTAATAGGCTATGAAATAACACCTGCATATTGGATATTTTCAAACCTGGTGTACTCAAGACTAGAGAGAGATAGCTTACATGCACAATACAGTGTAATGGTGATTCTGGCATATCAGTCCACGGGAAATAGACGTATTTTCCTT